TCTAACGCACAGGCCAGCGAGCTCGTGCGCCTCTGTTGCCACAAGAACCCGCGCGCTCGTATTTTAGAAATTGGCGGTGGAACTGGAGCTTGCACACAGCATGTTGTAGACGCATTAGGGCCCACAAAGCCGGTCGGCCGCTATGATTTCACGGATGCCTCCGCCGCATTCTTTGAAGCGGCGCGCATGCGATTCTCAGACTGGGAGGACGTTATAGACTTCCGCCGGTTGGACATCGAGGCTGATCCTGCCGCCCAGGGCTTCGAATGCGGATCTTACGATGTGGTGTTGGCGTGTCAGGTTCTTCACGCCACGAGCAATATGCGGCGGACATTGGATCATGTGCGCCAATTGATCAAGCCCGGCGGCAAGCTCGTTCTCGTTGAAACTACCCGAGATCAGCTTGATGAGTTTTTCACTTTTGGCCTCCTGCCCGGTTGGTGGCTCGGGGAGGAGCCAGAACGCCAGTCTGGCCCGTCACTGACTTCTGATATGTGGCGCAGTGTGCTTGATGCTACTGGATTCAATGGCGTGGAGCTTGAGGCGCGTGACTGCGATAGCGAAGAGTTCTACATGATTAGCACCATGATGTCCACGGCAGTTCCGGTGTCTTGCTCGGATAAACAGACTGAAATCCTTCTGGTTTATGTGGATCCGCCTCCTCCAATGAAATGGGTCCAGGATCTCCAGGTTGCTCTTGGTGAGAATAGCAGTTCTTCATCCTCGCTAGAGGAGCTTAACGGTGGCTCTGAGGTTGAGGGGAAGATGTGTGTGTTCATAGGGGAGGTCGAACATTCAATGCTTGAATGCGTGGAAGAGGATGAATTCAAACTCTTGACTTCAATGCTACAGATGAGCAGGGGAACTCTATGGGTCACGCGTGGAGCAGCCATGGCGTGGGAGAATCCATGGAAAGCCTTGCACCTCGGGCTGCTACGCACCTTCCGGAACGAAAATCCAGGCGGCAAGTTTGTTTCATTAGACCTGGACCCCCAACGCGAGCCTTGGACGGCCGAGTCCTGCAATGCCGTTGCGGATGTCTTCAATGCCTCTTTGCTTGGTTCGTCGCAAGGGAAGGAGTTTGAATACGCAGAGCGAGACGGAATCGTGTTTGTGCCTCGCATTTTCAGCGATCCAATCTCAACCGACGAGGAAGATTCTGTTGTCATCGAGCAATTCCAGAATGAAAAGCATCTGGTGCGATTAGATGTGCAGACTGCAGGATTATTGGATTCACTCCACTTCCGCACGGATCTTGCCGAGGCAGCTGGGAGCGATGAACCGTCAGATGACTGGGTGGAGATTCAGCCGAAAGCGTTCGGTCTCAACTTTCGTGATGTCCTCGTAGCCATGGGCCAGCTGGAAAGCGATCGCGTTATGGGTTTTGAATGCGCTGGTATTGTTACGAAGTTGAGCAAGAAAACGCCCATAACAGCCCAACGATGTCTCGCAGTCGGAGACCGGGTATGCGCCCTGATGCAAGGGCAGTGGACGTCCAGGGTGCGTACAGCCCGAACCAACATTGTTCGTATCCCAGAAACCTTGAGCTTCGTTCAAGCAGCTTCAATCCCACTAGCGTTCATCACAGCCTACATATCTCTCTACACCGTTGCTCGGCTTCGACGCGGTGAAAGAGTGCTGATACACAGTGGCACGGGAGGGGTTGGCCAAGCGGCCATCATTCTCGCTCGGTTCGTCGGGGCTGAGGTTTTTGCCACTGCGGGAACGCAAGCAAAGCGCAATTTTCTCATCGACAAATTTGAGCTAAGCCCCGACCATGTCTTCTCGAGTCGAGACTCCAGCTTTGTTTCGGGCGTCCAATCCTGCAGTGGTGAAAAGGGTGTGAATCTGGTGCTCAATTCGCTCTCCGGACCTCTCCTGCAAAGCAGCTTCGACTGCCTGGCTGACTTTGGCCGCTTCGTCGAGATTGGCAAGAAGGACCTCGAGCAGAATAGCCGGCTTAGCATGGCTACTTTCGCGCGGAATATTTCGTTCTTCTCAATCGATATCCTATACTGGCAAGAATCCAGGTCGGCTGAAGTCTCCAGAGCATTGACAGAGGTCATGCGGTTGCTCGAACAGAAGACCATCGATCTAGTTGGTCCAATCTCCGAGTACCCTATATCGGCCATTGAAAAAGCATTCCGTACTATGCAGAGCGGGCAGCACGTTGGGAAGATTGTGGTGACTACAACCGGGGCGGACATGGTTCCCGTCCACCGGTGTGATATGCCCATCGTGTTGAAGCCCGACGCATCGTACCTCGTCGCTGGCGGGAGGGGTGGTATTGGAAGCCGGGTTTGCGAGTGGATGGTGGAGCGGGGAGCACGGCATTTACTGATTCTATCCCGCAATGCGCGTACGCAACCATTCGTGACTGGCCTTCAGCAGCGGGGCTGTACCGTACGCTTACATGCCTGTGACATAGCCGACGAGAGCCAACTTCAGGCAGTCCTTCAACATTGTCAGGAGGATAGCATGCCGCCAATTCGAGGCGTCATCCAGGCGGCCATGGTGCTCAAGGACGCCCTTATCTCGCAGATGACGGCAGATGATTTTCATACCGCACTACGCCCGAAGGTTCAGGGCAGCTGGAATCTTCACATGATTGCACCAGACGTGGACTTCTTCGTTATGCTCTCGTCTCTCGCGGGTGTCATAGGTGGCGTGGGACTCGCCAATTATGCGGCCGCGGGGGCGTTCCAGGATGCCCTTGCGCAGCACCGGACGGCTCAAGGAAAGCACGCTGTAACTATTGACCTCGGGATGGTCAAGTCGATTGGCTATGTGGCGGAGGCTGATCCAGCCGTGGCAGAACGACTGGCCCGGATGGGCTACCAGGCCATGCATGAGGCAGAGGTCCTGGCCGTGCTCGAGCAAGCCCTGCAAACGTCTTCCATGTCGCCCGCGTCATCCTCCCCTGCACCCACATCGCCCGCTGTGATCGTCACTGGCATCAACACGGGCCCCGGTCCCCACTGGACCGACGCTGACTGGATGCAAGAGGCGCGCTTTGCAGGCATCAGGTATCGCGATCCCGTGCGAGGCCACCAGCATGGAACCTTGTCGTCCGTCCCGGTGTGTGAAGATAGTCTTCGCAGTCAGGTAAACCGTGTAACTACCCAAGAGGAGGCCACTGCGCTGGTGGTGCAGGCGATCGGGCAAAAGATTGTGGCCATGTTTGGTCTTGCTGATGCTGAAATGTCTGCCAACCGAACTCTGGCCGAGGTGGGCGTCGACTCACTTGTGGCGATCGAGCTACGCAATTGGATCACCGCCCAGCTGAGCGTGGATATCTCTATATTTGATCTGATGATGGGAAGCACAATTGCGGAGGTGGCAGAAGTGGTGATGAAGCGGTGCATGGGAGCTCGTCAGGAATGAGTGAGCTGTGTTAGGGTTTTTGGCTGCCAGACGGAATGAGCGAGCGAGAGACTGCATTTTGGAGTGTTCATTTGTTTCCACAGTTGATAGGTTTGGAACGTGCGCATAACGAATAAGACCTGACAGGCCTTTGCACAGAACATTCCAGACAGTGCTGCGGCATAGAGGCTCTATTTGGATATCCTTGTCATTCCGAGCTTCGAGAATATCCTCGCTTGGATCATCGGTGTCAATGGCCCCACTCTGTCTCTTTTTGCCCTGGGTCTCAATTCTAAGTTCACACTATCATTAACTCGAAACCCCGACGATACAAGCCCGCCCTAGTGAGACTTAATCAACCCCTCCTATTACTCGACGCTCGCTTCCGCCGCCGCAACTCTGATGCCAGTCCACCGGTACGATATGATCAAAATTACTTGACTATGATGACTGGCAGAATGAGGAATATCCAGAAGATTGACACCGTCACGAGGATGGGTCGAAATTATTGCCGAAGCAGAGTAATTGTAGGCTTGGTGACGGGATACACCGCGCGTAAGGCCATATACACCATCCACGCTGGGAGACGGATCCAGGCTCGATCATCCTTCCATAACGACATGGCCCATTTATCTCATCACCTAGCAGTCGGTCCTCCTCATTCCCTTGAATGTTGAGTATGACTGGTCGTAGTGGATTGGTATCCGTTTTTCTGGGGGACCTGGTCCGAGACAGCCTCGCTTCTGATCGATCACAGGGCGAGCCTGTTCTACCAACGGGAACAGTTTTGGAGATTCAGGTTTCCACTGCGGATTTGATGCCCCTTTACCTCGTCTAAGGAGTCTATCTTAATCAAGCGAAAGGGGAACCATCAACATCAAATCTCAAGATGGACTGGATGGATTCCTTTAGGGCACAATGGCTGGATAGCAAGGAAGCAGGAGCTATGACAAGATTTTTCTGGATAAATATTCGACTGGGAGGCGAGCGAACGGATACTGGGAAGGAAGCGGTAGCTCTCGCCTGAGTTCATCCTTGGGACTATCTAGACACGTTGTCTTTCAGGGAATTGCTCATTCGAAAGCGGTATACTAGGCATTTCATTTTCACAGTGCTTGGAACAACACGGCCACGACCTACAACGAATAGTATCATTGTCCTGTCGTGTCAGTTTGGCCAAAACATCTTGTTGATGCGTGCTACTGTCCTCTCAAATCTTGCCCCCATTGCATGCTTACCCAGACTTGCAGGAGGCGAGACAATGCACGGTACCATCACGAAGGGACTGCTCGTTGGGGAAAAAAAAAAACACGGTTGCATTAGGTTCTCGAAGCCAAATCCGTAAGAAATAATTCATCCAAGATTATGCAGTCAGTAATCCTTACAACCTACAGGTCCAATATGCGTCGTCTGGAAGACCGCGCAACACCATGCTCACCATCTCTATCCTGAAGCTCCCAATATCCTCTCCGGTCAACTGGCTCTTGGGGAGCGCCGCTGAGTCTTGTTTGACGGGTTCGAGCATCATTTTTCAAGACGTCGTTGATAGGCTCGGTCTCAGTCGAGTTGGCAACGCCAGGCATTGCATGCTCTCCCGGTGGCATCACAGGTACAGCTGGATGCTCCTGCGATGGTCCTCAAATACTCTGGTGAACTTCGAAGAGATTTTTAGGATCGTACGTCTGCTTCAGCGTTCGGAGACTGGGGTATTTGGCGCCGTAATATGCTTGCCACCAGTTAACCAATGTGTTATCGATGAAATTGACACGGGCCGCTTTTTTGTCGATGGCAAATTCCTTAAGCTTGTCTCGGAGGATTTGCACGAATTCAAACATCTCCTTTTCCTTTGTTTCGTCGGTCCAGCTAGTCTTCAGTGAAAGCACGTACTCTTCTTTTCGCCAGGGAAACGCTGTAACACCCGCGGGCTGCTTTTTAGTCTGTTTCCCAATATGATTCCAGAGAACGTGACATCCACCATTCTCGTACTGCGGCTCAGTGCGAAGGGCCCGATCGAGATTGAGAAGCTTGCTCCGTTCGACAATAGCATCGGTATGCGCGAGATGGAGGTTGAGCTGCTGGCGGGAGGGTTGGAAAGTGCTTTGGGTTTTATCTAGTGTTAGGATAATTCTCACAAATAGTTCCAAGATATGAGGCTCTGTCTAATAACAAGGAATAAGGACTATAATCAACTGTATAAGATGTTGTTTTCATCAGCATTAAACCTTTCCGCTTCACAACACTATCAAACGGGCTCTCCTCACGCCTAGCCCTAACTCATCCGAACTTCCCCTACAAACATCTTCCTCACAAACCAATTCCCAGAATACAGCACACACAGAACAACCAAAATGGTTCAAATAAATTATATTCAACCTATCACACGATAGGATCTAAAAAGAAAACCCAGTGAGGGGGTTGGAGGCAGAGCAGCAAAAGCAACCCCAAACCAGGCCCATCAAAGACAAGCCCACGGAGCAACACCACCACCCTCACCCTCACCCTCACCATCACCCCCAGCCTCAGCATAAGCCCCATTTCCCCCCCAGACCCCCGGCCCAGCCCCCCACTGCTCCATCTCCCTCGGCAAATCCAGCCTCAGCGCCGCATACCTCCCCCTCTCGAACGGCATAATCACCGCCTCCATCACCTCAACGCAGATCCGATAGCCCTCCACCACAAACCACCCGCCGCCGCGCGAGATTGACGGGCGCGTCATCCACCCCTCCGGGAACAGCGACGCTCCATGCTCCAGCAGGAACTTCCGGTAGTGGGCAGTCGTGCGCCAAAGCCCGAGGCACACGTCGCCTGGCTTGAGGCCGGCTTCTTCGTGCTGGGTGCCGGCGAAGCTGGCGAGCAGGTCGAGGCAGGCGCGCGCCTCGGCGCCCCCGATGCAGCTGACGCACAGCGCGTGCTGGCAGGGGGGCGGGCCGGCGCCCACGATGCCGGGGTGGGCGTGGGCTTCGAGGTGGAGCCGGAGGCGGTCGATCAGGCTGTCGCGCGCTTCGAGGAGGGGGATGCGTCTTCTGGGGGGTTGCGGATGCGGGTGCGGGTAGGGGTGGGGGTACGGGGAAGGTTGGAGCGAGGGTTGGGGATCGGATTGGGGTTGGGACCTGTTTCCTCCTCTTTTGGCGCCCTTTCGCTTAGAGGGCATGTTGGGGTGATCTTGAAGTCGAGTATTGTCTACGATCTTGCTCTCAAGGGTTAAGGAGGCGAGGGGTTCGGACGAGGTGAAGGAGGTGGGATGGGTTGGGTAAATGGATGGGAGTACTTATATTCTTTGGGGCCTGGGGGTAGGGCTTTGTGGTGAGGGTGTGGTATGGAGATGTCCTGGCTATGCCTTTGTTTGGTCAAGGGTCGTTTTTTTGGATGCTTGTGTCAGAAGTGGGATCTTACGGTATCTGTGAAAGGGTGGTCGTGATGAATGAGAATGGCTTTGTGAGGGTGAGGAGGACTCCAATGAGAGATACTACCTGCACTTGTGCCTTTTGTTGCAGTCTTGCGGTTGAGGAATCTAGGTCGGTAGGCATGCTTTCGAGCATCTGCGTTCGAGGGATGCAGACATCCAAGATCTCAACTGGCAATAGCCTTCATCAAGGAACTTATGAGAGTGCAAGAAAAGCCGGAGTGCTTATCAGAACCTGTGATGGTGATCATCCAGCACAACATCCATCGCAGGAAGAAACAAAAAATATATATATCTTAGAGGAAAGTGAATAGCTTATCTAGTCTTGAGAAACACAAGCACGGTCCAAATGGCTCAAGCGATGAAAAGGATCCCAAGTCTGTCGGGGATGGCACCCGCCGAGGGGGAAGTATAGCTTAGATCTCTATTCCCCAGAGTATAGAGGTAGGTGTATGTGTATATTCACAACTGTATTGAAAACTAGACTTTAGCTCATTGGCTGCGTACGTTACATTGAGCTTTCTATTAGCGTACCACCCGAAAATAATGAAGCTAACCACTTTGGGCACCGGTGTTTTTTTCATAAAACCCTGCAAAGGAGGCAGGCATCAAGCATCTCAGGCACCAGTGACAGATGACTCAAAGCCAGACTGCGATGTTTTAAATCGTTAGGAAATCAAGCATCGATATGAGCAGTACTATAATTGCTGAGTAAAATGATTGTACGCATCATATATCTTTTGTACCGAGAATCCCAGCGAGCAAAGCGCAGTGCGCTCATCAATCCGCACTTGGAGGCTCATTTTGCATCGGGTCATTTATCAGTATTTATGTGATAAGTACAAGAAACACGTCTGGGTGGCGCAATTGGTTAGCGCGTACGACTGTTAATCGTGAGGTTGAGAGTTCGATCCTCTCCCTGGACGCTTTCTTTTTTGCCCAATATTTGGGCTCTCCATCCTCCAGTAGTGTTGGCGATAAAAACAAATTCTCTCCTCAGTAGCAAGAACCACCAGACAGGACCTCGACCAGGAACGTTCAAGCATTTTTACAGATTGATGCTGGTAGCAGTCCACCTGATATTGTGGAGGTCGATGGCAGCTGCATGACCCTTTCAGCAACGTATTTTCGAACGAGTCTCTGCCTGGGCTGAAAAGACAAAGAAAAATATAATCAGCATGCAACGGCTCTGGCCAGGCACTCCCAGCCCAAACCTATAAGCAGAGAGATACAACCACACAAACCACTAATTGAACAGGTGCATATATTAAGAAAATAGGATCCAGTGTACTGTGTACATCAGACAGGAAATCCGAGATGGCCAATTCTAACTTATCTAAACAGTAACCCGAACCCGGTCTATCATCCCGTACACAAATAAGAGAAACAAATGAAAAGATATCAGATAGTACTTTTGCCCCGGTGGATGACGATCGCTTGCATCGGTGGTGCAAGTCACTTCCCAGATGTTCGCAGCCACCAGAGCCGAGGGGCATTGCTTGCAGTAAGCAGTTGACAGTCGAGTCGACGAGTAGTCATATAATGGGCGTCAAGGGTGAGTGCGGAGAGAAACAGAGGGCGGTATTAGAAAGAGCAAGTTCCTCGCTGCAAAATGTTCATAGGCGTAGCATGTCTGCTGATAGTAATACACTGTAGTCTAATGCCGGCGGATTTACTCCCGAGACACGTCACGGCCAAAGGCCTTGGCCTTGATCCAGTCCATAGCGACCAGGAGACGGTTACGAGCTAGAGAATGGGTCAGTCTAGATCATAAACCTGTAGCACAAGGACACTTACTGCTGAAGCACATGCTCAGGTAAGCACTGCGCCAGAAGAGGTAGGTCATGGTACCACCGCTGGCGATGTTGCCGCTCAGCCAGCTGATGTCGGCAACAGCACGCTCCTTACCAATGTAGGCCAGACTGCCCTGGTGAGAGTACTGGAAGGGACCAATCTGCTTGGTTCTCCGCAGCTGCTTCTGACGCTCGCGGATCTCGTCGAAGATCTGGTTGCGCTCCTCGTCGCTCTTGGCCGTGGCCTGGGCCTCCGACAGCTGCTTCAGCTCAGCCTCGACATTCTCAGTCTTGGCCATGGTGTTGAACAGGCGGGCGAGGAAAGCACCCTCCTGACCGGCAACCTGGGCAGTAGGAGCATAGTTGGTGATGGCGCAGTCACCGACAGCCCAGACGTTCTCGGCGCCGTTCACAACCAGGTACTCGTTCACAGCCAAGCCGCGGCGGGAGTTCTTCTGAGCGGGCAGCTGGCTCATCAAGTCGCGAACAACGGGGCGGACAGCGTTACCGGTGGCCCAGACCAGCAGACCGTAGGGGATCTTCTCCAGGGTCTTGGTGCCGTCGGGGTTGGTGACCTCGGCCTCGATGAACTTATCGGTGACGTTCTTGACCATGGTCTTGGCGCGGATGGTGATCTTCTCCTCCTTGAAGGTCGACTCAGTGTAGTCAATCAGCTGCTTGGAGAACATGGGCAGAACGTTGGGCAGGGCCTCGACCAGGGTGACGCGGAAGTTCTCCTGAATTTCGGGGACCCACTTCTTCAGATCCTCCTCAAAGAAGTCCTGCAGTTCACCAGCGAACTCGACACCGGTCGGGCCACCACCAACGACGACCATGTGCAACAGGCGCTTGACCTCATCGGGGGTTTGATCCTTGAACATGGCAGTCTCGACGCAGTCCATGATGCGCTTGCGGATCTTCTGAGCATCATCAACCTCCTTCAGGAAACAGGAGTGCTCCTTCACACCCTTGATACCTGTTTCGCATCAGTCTCAACTATCGCTACGCAACCCAGATCGGATCACTTACCGAAAGTAGCGTTCTCAGCGCCAACACCAACGACCAGCATATCGAAGGGCACCTCGGTGTGAGAAATCTCACCCTTGATCTCGGAATCATCGCTGATGGAGATGACGCGCCTCTCGTAGTCGATCTTGGTGGCCTCAGCTTCGTAGAACTTGACGTGGGCCTTCTTCTGGCGGAGGATGTTGCGGATGGGCTCCATGATAGAGCGGTGCTCGACCTGTCCAGTCGTGCAGGAGGGGAGGAGAGGGGTGAACAGGAAGTAGTTGCGGGGCGAGATGACGACGACATTGTAGTTCTCAGTGTCGAGCTTCTTCAACAGGGAGACGGAACCCCATCCGGAACCTGTCGAACGAGATGCTTGTTAGCTGCTGTCTGGCCTCCGCGAGCGATCGCATCACACTGAAGAACGAGAAGCCTCACCCAGGATGACCAGAGTCTTCTTGGTCGGGTCGGGCTCGATCTGGTCGACGGGGTGGCACGAGTCGTAGACGCTGTAGGCCAGGTAGCCCACCAGACCCAAGGAGCTCATCCAGGTCAGGCGCCAGGTCCAGCGCAAGAACCCAAAGCGCTTCTTGGGCTTGGGGGCGGGCAATGCGGGTTGAGAAGCATCGGCGTAGGCGCGACGGGTGGAGCGCTGGAACTGCTGCTGGGAGAATCTCAAGGGACGTGCGGACCGGAGGAGCTGGGGTCGCGTCGAGAGCGACCTGCGCGACAGCGACGACAGCTGCATAGCGGCGGATGAGGAAGCCATCTTAGACCGGATAGCCAACGTACTTCCAACCATTGTCGCACCTGAGCCAGAAGGCAAAGGGAAAAAAGGAAGGGAAGGGGGGAGGAGTGGAGAGGGGGGGGGGTTGTGGGTGGGTTTGTGTTGAGTTTTGAATTGAAAGAGAGGAAGAAGCGATTCGCAGGATGATAACAGTCCGACAGGCTCAAAAGTGACTAGAGCCGAAAAAAATTGGCAAAAGCACGAGTCACTGGGATGACTGATGCGATAAAGAGGTCGATGACGGTTAAGCTGTTTTGGGCGAGCCGGTGTGTCGGTGGAAACAGTGGGAAGAGTGGAAACTGGGACTGGGAGGATTTTGTCGCAAGGCGGGAATTTGCTCGATCTGGCAGTGAAGGCAATTTTTCCTCTTCGGTGGCTGGTCAGCTTCAGCAAGAAAAGTGGATTCGGAACACTCCGGTCGGCGGGCCAAGGTTTTTTATGTACTCCGTAACTTTTGTGTAATCTCTGGTTGTTGCACTGGCTCGTCTCATCCGTCAATCGAATGGCATGTAGTCTAATCAATACTTGTTGGTCAGCATGATTGGGGAAGAAACATACAGAAAGAAAATGTTGGAGATGGAGTTGTGAGGGGGAAATCGCTCGCTCCGTGAGGAGAAAAGAAGAGATCGTGAGGGGGAGAGAAAGACGGGTCAACCCGGAAAGTGGGCTGTCGACTTTGGCTCTTATCATTCCACCCCGAATCTTCACATGTCAGTCATTCTATCGAGTTCACCGATGTCGGTTTTCTAGAAGTGTACCGATGCGTGATGAAGCGATGAAGAGACAAGATCAATACGATGAAGCCGATTTCCTTATTCTCTCTTCCGCCGGCTAAGCGTATGGCTTCCTTCCTAATCCGGTAACCACAGCCCAGCCACCAGATGACTAAGCTCGGCTCGGGCGCGCTTAGGCAAACTAGTCTGACTACGTACGGTTCTTCCCGAGCCTTAGTGCTTTAACCCGGGTTCTTCCGGATTTAGACCATTTGTTCTTTGGATGGCTTTGACCATGCCACATGCCACATGCCACCATGACCATAGGGGATCCATAAACGCTCTTTAGAATCCGGGGTAAACTACCTCTGGATCCACTTGTTTGGAGAGGCTAGTGTTAGTGTGACGCAAAATGAGCAATGGTCTTCAGCATTGCCGCACTGACAGTATTTACTTCTACTGACTGAGCTGAGTTCCAGTGTATCTTTACTCCGTATACATACGGCCTTTCAACCTACCCCCACCCAACCCATCCACAACCCATCCGCAACCTATCCTACTCTTCTTTCGTCGTCACCACCATCCAGACCCTGCTGGAAGTGTACAAATCTCAATCACACGCAGAACCCTTTACCCGACGCCATGGTGTCAGAAGGTAAAGTCCTTCACCACCTTCTTTGGCCGAACAAGGGTAACTCCTCCACCATTACCACCACCACAACCATCAGCAATATTAGACTTACTGCTCTGTTCCTTAGACCGCAACAGAACCTTCCTCTTGCTTTGCAGATGTACCCAGAGTTTGTGCTTCGGTCCCAGACCTTCTCCGCCAAAGTCGTACAGCAGTTGCGCGATCTCCTCCGAGATCTGCAGGGCATCATCCACCCGCCCTTGATCCTCATAAGAGTGGAGGAGAAACCACATGGCTTGGACTGGATTGAGCAGGTTGTGTTACTATGCGGCCATCAAGTGATCAAGAAGAGAAGTGGTATCGGTACACCGGAATGGCCAGACGCCCGAATTGAGAGAGGCAACGAGCATGCATGTACTTACTGCGATCCGTATGCTCCCCATCCGCCCGTTTGGACGGCTCATATCTCTGTTTGGAGATGACATCGATCCAGATGGCCTGCGCCTCCGAATGCCGTTCTTGACGCCAGTACAGATGCCCGAGCCACGTGCGGGCCGCCAGGGTTCCGAGGTGGTTCGGCCCCAGATTTCTCTCGGCGACGGGCAGCCCTTCGAGGAACAATTGCTCGGCCTCTGCAAACCGATCCATCGCGGTCTGGATCTTGGCCACAGTGAGGTTGGATTGGAGGGTCAAGGGGTGTTCCCGGCCCAGGGTCTGGGTGCGGATCTGCCTCACTTCCTCGCTCATCTGCAGCGCGAGGGGCAGGTGCTCTTCGCCCAGAAATCCATAACTACTCGCCAGGCTATCCTGAGCCTCCAAGGCCTGGGAATGCCTGGGGCCTAGGATCTCTCGCAGCCCCTCGTAGGCCCGACACTGCAGCTCGAACGCCTTCTCATGCTCTAGATACCGATGTTCGACATGAGCCAGATTCTGCACGGCAGTGCATGTCTTCTCATGCTGGGGTCCAAACCCGTCCAGCTCAGATAGCCTGCCGATGACTTCTTCATGGAGGCGATAAGCCTCCTGGAGCCGGCTGCCTGCCAGACAGGTGGTGCCAAGATCATCCATGATCTGTAAAGTGATGGGATGATCGGTACCATAGACGCTTTTGGCCGCGTCCAGCACTCGATATTGCAGAGCACGTGCCTCGTTATTGCGGGCCCGCAGAGAGTAGGTCTTGGACAGCAACAGAGCAATCGTGATCCCGTGCTCGGACTCGGGACCGGACCTTGCGAAGATGTACTCCTTCACTCGACGCTGCAACTCCTCTGCTTTGGCATATTGCCCGCAATGAAGGTAGACCAAACTGAACTTGGCGAATTCTACTGCCTGATGAGGTCTTTTTAACCCTTGCTGAGGCAGAGTGGACAGGTACGTCATCTGGTGCCACGGCCGATGCACGCTTCTCTGATTCTCGGCAAACCGCGCCTCCACCTCCTCCTGACACTTGAGCACATGTTCCACGTGGGGATAGATCTGGCGCTTGTACCTCTCATCCAATGCCGTGAGCCCCCGCGGAGCGTGGAAAAAGATCGACTGCGCCAGAGCGGTCGCGGCTGCATGGCACCAGAGGGCCTGCTCGGCGGTACTGGTTTCAGGCCGCTGTCGCACCCAGGTGTGCACCATCGGGTGCATCCAATAACTGTTGTTTTCATCGTGGAGGGTCACCATGCCTAGTCGAACCAAGAGTGACAGCGCACTTCGAAGCCTATCTTCGTCGAAGGGTTGGTCATCTTCGTCTCGCAACAGATCCGGCAGAGTCGGGCTCGGTCTGGTCATCCGGTCGGCCATTGTGGTAATCCACTGGTAGGATGCTGCTATCCAAGCCCTAGCCACGGGCACTGGAATCACAGATGATAGTGGTTGCTTGGCCGTCTGCTCACGCCGCGCTTGAGTCTCTTCTCGTTCTCGCCGAGGGTTCGTAGCCGCGGCTTTGATCAGATTAAATTCAATGTTCTCCCAATAGAAGAAGGAGAACATATACAGCAGATCCAGCGCATCCCGCGATCGCCGATCGCTTCTCGATTTAAGGCCAACGTATATCATCTCATATGATGAGTAGACACTCAAATTTATCGCTATGGACACGATTAAATGGGACCTCGTTGATCTGAGGCTATGGCACCTTGTTCTTACCCTCTCACTACCCTGGTGGATTCTTATCTATTTGAAAAAGCGTCGCCAGAATGAAGTACGTTACCGGTCTTCTATTCCTCTTCTCACCAACACCCCTCGAGCTCACACAAACCTCTCTCTAGGCCGATGAGCTCTTTGGTCAACAGCATGGATGCCAGCCCATCGTGCGGAAATTGCCCTACAAGTGGCCCCTGGGCCTCGATGTTTTCAAGAGTCAATATGATGCTCTCGCGCGCGGGAAGCTACTGGCCTACCAGGCGGACTATTTCCAGCAATTCCAGGTCGGCCAGACTTTCGAGATCCGGCTGCTGGGTCGGGTGGGCTACTTTACGATGGATCCCAAGAACCTGGAGTTTATGTTGCAGACGCGTTTTGACGGTAGGCGAAGCTCACTCATACCATGATCATCAGACTCACCAATGCCCCATTGTTCCTAGACTGGGAACTCGGAAATAGCCGAGATGCACTGCTGCCCATGATCGGCACGGGCATCTTCACCCAAGACGGCCTCGCCTGGAAGCATTCGCGCCAGCTTCTCCGGCGACAGTTCGTCCGCATCCAGAGTCAAGACACTGAGATCTTCGACCGTCCGATCGATGACCTCATCAGCACCCTGCGGTCGTGCCCCGGGGACATCGTCGACCTGCAGCCGGCGTTTTTCCAATTCACCTTGGCTACCACCATCCTGCTCATTTTCGGGGAGGCATCCGTCGGCCCGGGCCTGGCACCGAGCGACCACGCCCGGTTTGCCCCCGCCTTCGACTACACCTCGCTGATCTCGGCCATGCGGATACGGCTGGCAGACTGGTGCTGGGCGTACAATCCCCGAGCCTACCGGGACGCCTGTGGGGTGGTCCGCCAATATGCCACCCACTACGTGAACCATGCGCTGGATGATCTGCGAGCGAACGGAGAGGAGAGTGCGGCCACGCGTCATCCATTCATCCTCGATCTCCTGAAGGAGCTCCGGAGCCCCGGGCTAGTGCGGGATCAGCTCTTGAATGTGTTGATCGCGGAGAGAGATACGACGGCTTGTCTGATGTCGTGGGCATGGTAAGAGGACGACGCTTTCCCCTTCCCCTGATCTGCTCGTCTTTGAAAGGATCGTATTACTCACCAGTCTACACTCAAAGTTATCAACTAGTCCGCCATCCAGCTTCCCTCGAGCGTCTCCGCCAGGAAACCCAATCGATCACCAAGGGTGAAAAGCAGTTGACGCGAACCCTAATCAACAAGATGACATACCTTCGATACGCCCTCAACGAAAGTGTGTATTTTACCCCTTCCCTTCTTTTCTCTCCCCCTCTCCCCATCACCCTCATCAATAAAGCTAACCCCTGGTCTGCTACAGCGAACCGCCTATACACTCAGATCCCGGTGAACGTGCGCCTCGCCCGACGCACCACCTACCTCCCCCGCGGCGGTGGGCCCAGCGGCGCCGCCCCCCTGCTCATCCCCAAGGGCACCGGCGTGGGCTTCTCGGCCTACCACATGCACCGCAGCCAGGCGATCTACGGGCCCGACGCGGAGGCGTTCCGGCTCGAGCGGTGGGCGGGGCCCGAGTTGAAGAACCTCGGGTTCGCCTTTATGCCGTTTCATGGTGAACCTAGGATATGTCTGGGAAGTGAGCGTCCCCTGACTAAATTGCATTCTTACTGATAGAAGGGTCTTGGCTGATTAATCAATTGCGACCGATAGAAGACTTTGCTCTCACCGAGGCCTCGTTCGGACTGATCCGATTGATCCAGGCGTTTCCGAAAATCCGCAAGGCACTTGACGCGGCGGATGTGGCGCCCGGCCAGGAAACGCAGACGCTCACACTGGTCGTTTCCAGTGCTGAGGGGTGTAAGGTGCAGCTTGGTTGAGGTGTTTGCCGGGGTGAGCTTATCGGGGTGACTCTGCCACAGGCTAATTTTCGTTCTTTCTTTTTGCTCGAAGAGAGAGCTTGTTTTTTTTTCTTTCTTTTTCATATACTGTACTTAATTAGCACCGGGGTGCTGGCTATGTAGTAGTCCGCTGGATGCGGGGGCCAAAGCGGGCGAATTCCACATGATCATCCTGCAGACTTATAGATTTGGAATGTGATTGGCAGCGGGGAACAGCTCGGCATGCGGATTGATCTAGACTGATAATGCGACAACATTTCCAATCCACTGGATCTCTCAATCCCTAGATCTCTGACAGCGATTTCCACACCGAAATGACTATCTCATTTATACTTAGGAACAGCTCCGCTTGAGCAGGATATATACAAAGAAAGCCACCTCTTCCACCCCAACATGCAGATTCAGATCCAAACTTAAGTTCTAGAGTGATAATGCTGGTGGAAGTAGCAATAGCGAATCGAAGCTGCTTCTTGTTGTTTATAGGCTGCTCAGTCCTTCACCCCCGGGAAGGACGGGCATCGATCGGTATGCCCTCAAGGCGCCGCTATCTCGGGCGGATTGTCCCGGCCTATTCTCCTCAAAGTACCTGAGACGTGGGTCCGTCTCTCCATCTCTATATATCGTCATTCGATAGAATAGATAATTCCCGAAGAGCGTTAAACTCCGAAAGGATGTTGCTGTTAGCCGCTGTATCTGCGTCCCCACCGGTCGCGCATCCCCAAAAACCGAATTGAAAGCCAATGTGGAACATGGCAGGGATTTCTCAAAAACGTCTGCTCAGCGGACTTCGAGGTCAAGGATGGAGAGTTGCCCTGCAGAGCGGTCTGGCTTGTTTGCTCCCGATAGGGGATGGGGTGCGCGTGCTGGTCGTGGGAGAGCTGTGGTGAGCCATACGAATTAGTCTGGGGAATTTGAACATGGATAGAGGTACTTTAGAATCTTTAGAATATGCTGGGCTGGTGGGACTATGCAAGGAACCATGACATACAGTAGGCCGGGCCGGAGGGTTGTGCTTGATAAATGGAAATCAAGGCGATGGCGATCGTGAATGCCATGATGGTTCCCGTCCAGATGTCGATGTGGAGGATGCAATCCAGCAGTGAAGGAGAGGGATTCATGTGGAACTGACTGGGTAGCTAGGTAAGCGTCAGTCGATGGTAAGTCCTAGATCTGATCATCAGATTCAGTATCACTAAATAGTACTCTGTAAGTGCCGCATACAGAATGACCCACTGCATCCGGCGTGATCGACGACCATGTGGGTCACGGGATACGCTTAATCGGGTGGGCCCGGGATTTCTATTGATCCTTTTCCCTCTGGGCTGGGCTGGTCCAGACTACGCCGCATAGCAACAACAGTGACAAAAGCAGCAACAGCAGCAACAACAACAACAACAACAACAACAACAACAACAACAAAGAAATATCACGTGATGATATGGCGGTAGGGATGATTGAATCAATCAATCAATCCGGATCTCATTGACAGGCCAGAAGGGAGGCAAAGGATCTATTTTTTTTTTCTCCATCCGGACACATCAATCAGCCCACCTTATCAAGGGCGTCAAAACACCAATTCACCACATTATCTGTGTACTCGATCTACCCACACCTTTGCAGTGGTCAACATACACGTCCCATTCGAGCTGCATCAGCTGCAGCTGGACTCCGTCATGAGCGAGTCCCCAGCTACACCATTCTCGAAGCCCTCCACACTTCCCCCGCAATCACTGTGCAGGGACAACCTCGACAAACGGTTACTCAAGCGGCACCCCCCACGGCACCCCAAGAACTTAGCCGACTGGCTGCTCGATCATCAAATTGGTGGGTGGTATTCATCTGCGCCCCATGAAGTCTCTAACCTGCCCCTCAGAAATCCCCCTCAACCTCATCGCCCTCCTCATCCTCACCCACCTGTTCGTCCCCCGCGCACGGAAACGCACCTCCAAATTCTTCTCGCCATCCCACTACAACCCGGACACGGGACGATATGCTATCGGCGACGGGGACTTTTACTTCCTGGGGTTCTGCGTCGTGCTCTACACGGGCCTGCGCGCGGGGATCATGAAGTATATCCTCGCCCCGCTAGCTACACGCTGGGGCATTTCTAAGAAGAAAGATATCACGCGATTCTCCGAGCAGGCGTGGCTGCTGTGCTACTACTCAGTCTTCTGGACACTAGGGCTGGTACGTACGATATATTCCCGGGCTGCGACCGCCGCTACGACTTTCCCACCCTCCACAGCCCCCAAAAGAAGAAGACGCACAAAAGTCTTGCCTAACTGGAACCACTAGTACATCTACGGCACCTCCAAGTACTTCCTCAACCTCCGGGAGATGTTCACCGACTGGCCGACGCGCGACCTCCCGGGCCTCAGCAAGGTCTACATCCTGGGCCAATGGGCGTTCTGGCTGCAGCAGATCCTCGTCCTCAACATCGAGGCCCGCCGCAAGGACCACTGGCAGATGCTCGCCCACCACCTGGTGACGGTCGTGCTGATTTCGACCGCGTATGCGTTGCATCTCACGCGGGTGGCCAACCTGGTGCTCATCCTGATGGATGTGGTGGATATCTTTTTCCCGGTGCGTTCTCACCCTTTCTCTTTCTCTACGCGGCGAGAGAGGCAAATCACTTATCCTCAGAAACAGCTCGCCAAATGCCTCAAATACCTCGGCTACACCACCGTCCGCGACATCCTCTTCGGCGTCTTCATGCTCGCGTGGTTCCTTGCCCGCCACGTCTGCTATCTGCTCACCATGTGGGGGATCTGGAAGTACATGCCCGAGACGATTGCGGAGGGGTGCTACCATGTTTCGGACCGTGGCGCCCAGGCTTCGCTCCGTGGACCGACGCCTCTCCCCCATCACGGCTGGTCACATTTGTGGACCCCATTCTATGATCCCACCGGCCCCATCTGCTACAGCGACGGCATCCGGTGGGGGTTTCTGGGGGCCCTGGGGTTCCTGCAGCTACTGACGGTGCTGTGGTTTGTGTTGATCGTCAAGGTGGCGGTGCGGGTTGTGCAGGGGATTGGGGCTGATGATATTCGGAGTGATGACGAGGGGGAGGAGGAAGATGAGGAGGAGGAGGAAGAAGAAGAAGAAGAAGAAGAAGAAGTGGTGGTAGAGCCATTCCCGTGCTCGTCACCTGGGTGGAATCGCAGGGCGGCCGGGAGCCGACGGACGGCGAGCTCGTCCGGCGTCAGCTTCGATCGGAAGGAGTTGCTGAGTCGAATTGGGTGTGAGAAGCAGGTGGACTGATGTGGCTTCCTTTCTTTGCGGGGGATCCTAAAAAATACGAACCAGCTCGTCGGTCCTGGTCGATTTCCCTACCGAAATCCCGGTTTGCTCTACGGCCTGGGTGGATGTCTGTCTTCCCTATGGCGTTATGATATACATGAAAGGAAACGGAGAATCCGGAAACTGGCGGGTATGTGTGCTGCACTCAATGATATTTCATACCTTACTATACCTTTACTACCATGAGCCGGGAAATGCTCCGCTCCGCTGAAGTTCCCGTAGGGAAAGACCTCGGCGGTGCCAGCCTGAAGATGTGTGCCAGCGGCTGTTTTTGGCAGCAGGTGACTGCCGAAAATAGCCACATCTCTCACTGTCCGCGAGGTACTTTCGGCCTGAGGCTTCCAGCATTGTGAGCGCGTCCATCAGAGCTCATCCAGGCACGCTCATCCTCCGCTTGGTAAACTCCTCATCGCCACGCCAGCTGGGAGCGGTGGTGCACTTTCTTGAGCTATAACCGGCCCGATGTTTTATGCTCGATGCTTGCAGGGCTGGCTGAGTTATCAGAATTGAACACCTGGGAAGCTATTATACATCGTGGCTTGAGTGACGGGCTGTGCCTGCCTGGATCTGAGAATAAATGGCAATTGCTTGATCGTATGTGGCATGTGAGGTCCAGCCATCCCGGCTCATGATTCCTGATAAGGCGTCCCAAAAGTCTTGTACTTCATTCCAGCCCTCACTATCCTCATGATGTTTGCGAATTTCTTCGGGAGAAAAGTCGATGGGGCACTCGACCGTATGGCCGAGTGAACTCCACTTCCTTCACACATTGTTCAGTAAGCACACTTGGTCAACTATGCCGGATTGGCTCACAACTTACCTCTGGATCCTTATCAACGACTCTCGGAGTGGTATAATATCTCTATCCCATGTATTCCCAACAAAGCGGATTGGATCGATTAATGTCTTGCCATTTGGACACGGGAACACTCTGCTTAGGGTTAGGTTCCTTTCTGCCGTATATTTCTCGTAGAGATATAACAGGATCGAGTCGGTGACTTTCCCCTTAACCGCACGTTGCGCATTTGCATCGAGTTGCTTGAAATTCTCCGGTAGTTCGAGGATCAAGTCGCCGTTATAATGAAGAAAATAGTAGTCATCCCCTGTGCGTGCTGTGATGGGTAGAGTGCCCCGGCTATTGCCCGGGGCTACCAGCTCGGAGGGGGTCAAGAGTTAGGGCAAGGCGGTCAGAAAAGGCCTCGGCGTTAAATGACAGCCATTCTGCAATCTTATAGCCCTTAACCGTACTTTGTGTCGAGGCGTTATACATGTTGGTCCCGGAGGCAACAGGATGTATCTGTTATAGTGAGCGGCCCGGCCCGGCCCGGCCACTGTTTAGAGCTCACAACACATTATTATACACTTTAGATAACGCTTTTTTCTTATTAACCAACAATTCTTAGAGTTGTCTGGACAGTACAAGTGACCAGCAAGCTTGATGAGCCGGCATGTGTATTCACAACCACAAACCTAGCAGGCTATCGCCACGCACGTGACTCTGCTGAATGAATGCTATTTCTAAAAGATATGTGTCATTGCCAACTACTCAAACCAGATGGAGTTATCCTACGTCTTGCCTTACATCGAGCAGAGATACATTGCGAAATTATACATGCATGAGGATGGATTGATATAAACGTGGTACGAGGACATCGTCAATAGCTTTCTTTGCTATGGCGGGTATGAAGGACATGGAGCAGAGGAAATCCGTGCGCGATTGATCTTGCATAGCTTGATGCGCTGAACTTATATTTCTATTTCTGCATTGCCTGGGATTCCGCGATATAGCTATTTTCATACTAGATACATGAAATTATGCTAGATATTTTAATCGCCAGCATATCGTGTCATTGCTGCACGGGTCAGATAGACACAGATTTCACCTATCCCTGGGCAGAATGGCAGAAGAGTGCTTTCAAGAAGGTGTATGCTCTAAATTTGTTATGAAAGTCATTATACATGCCGTCTTCTTGTTCCCCATAATCAGATTTAGTCTATACGCATGCAGTCGCTGACTGGCCTATTGCCGGACGTCAATTATAAGTAGATAACGAATTCGAGAACGTTTATACCTTGGTAACAACAGAAGTGACGTGACTGTATGGGATGACATTCTGGATTCCGACACATCATGAACCATCTCACACAGTCGGAGGTGAGCCAAATATATACTCAACACCAGAAGACGCAAGCTAAATAGAGAGAGCGCTGCCTCTGTAAAGCCCGCGGAAAGTATACCCGTGTCCTGGCCCTTTCAACTGAGAAACCTAGGCTTTTTCCACCGGTCATAAATAGAATAAGTGTAGACGTGGAGAAATTCCAGGCCCACCACTTTACGAGTCTTATCCTGGCTACCGAATGCATAGCAGATAGAAGAACACTCCGCTGTACTTCATAGATTGCAGTAACCTGTAAAGCATCAGTCTCCGGATGGCGTCCGTTTGTAACGACTCAAGTGGATATGATTATGGCGCGGCTGGCAGTTCTGAAGGACAAGCTTTTAATTTTACAAGTAAAGCAAAATTCGCTCGGAAGACAATTCTGCTTGAATAGCAAGATAGTTGCTATTAGATTTCCAATGCGCGCCTATGCTAGTGCCTCGAGCCCGTTACGTTAAATCCAGTCGGGCGCTTGATGGCCGGACACGGCACGGCGACAGTATCCGACCACCTCGACTGGAAAATGTATCAGTATTGGCTCAGTGATTGCTGGCGCTGCTACGTATACAGCGCTCCGATTAAGGCGGCGACGGTCAGCCAGGCCCGCGTGCGGATTAGCTGGTAGATGAATATGAGTGTGGCAACTAGAGTCAGCAAGGATCATGATGACGGCCCCTGCCACAGAGGGGTAATACGTATATGCCGTCCAGCCTGCCATGGTACTAGATGAGTGTGGTGGTTTGAGCCAAGTTGGACCTGAAATGCGAGATGAACATGGCGAGACGGACTGCAGACCTTTCGTACTGGATGTCAGGAGAAGGTGTAGTGTACAGATGCTATCAGTTGATCGATCATCGACCTATTTCGTACTTTCAACTTTGTTCAGCCTAGCGGATTCAAGGCTGGAACATTAGCAGTGCTGAACATGCAAGTGGATCGGTGCAGGACATTTTCAGTTGGAGGCAGTGACTCCATCGAGACCCTAAGCCAAGCTTCACTTGGGCCACCGACCGGATACACTGTGGAGCAAGCCTTGGTCGGTTTCCAAACTGGTGCTGGATTCTACTCTCGATTGCCCTGCACCGGCAGCTCTTAACTCAGTTTCCAATTCTGACCTGGTTGACTGAGAAATTTCAGGACTGGGATTGTCTGGTATTGGCTTCTTCTCTGCACGGTCAACGGATGCGAGAAGCGTGAGCAGAATATCCTCTTGCTCTGCAAGCCCCATTGTATACATCTGCTGAGCCAGCCTCTCCAAATACATTGCATCTGCTAAAAGGGAGGTTTCTGTTGATTGATGGTCCGTCCGATCTTGCGCTCCTGCTTGTTCACCTTTCGAGCCGGTATCTGTTGTTTCTGTACTCTTTGCTGGTCCTGTACCTGCTGGTTCTTTACCTTTTGGCTCTTTGCCTTTTGGTTTGGTGACTGAAATGTTGTTGATTCCGTAATATTCAGAGAAGAGCACGCTAGAAAATGCCGACAGAATATGGAGGGCGTAAAGAGTCGTGATGTCGTTGAAACTTACAATGGCAGGAGCATACCCCAAGCTTCGGGCTGTTTCACAATCCATATATGTTGAAACAGAGATAAACTCGTTCTTCTCCTGGTCCAGCGTCCAATTGGTGTTATAATTTCCTGCCCTCAGAGTTCGACCCGGCATCGAGTGATCTTGGAAGCCAGCAATCAGGTCCCTCGGCATTTCTCTCTTGGATACTTGAAACTTGTTATACCTTGCTACTCGTCTGTCGCCGGGGTTCCAGGGTTTGACAAAGCGCAGTCTGGCTGATAGATTTCGGTAGTTCTCTTCATTCAGTTCGAAGGGTGATCCAAGACAAAAGACGCTGCGCGGATTTGCATGTCGCATTGCGGAACATTGCTTTTTTTTAGCGTGAAAGAGCCAGAGGGATAGAGCAGAGGTAATGCGGTCGGTGTCAGCTTGCCAACCACCGTCTTTGAAGTTGACGGAGAACTCCACGCTTTCGAAGTTCTCACCGACCTTGACTGGGATTTGCCATACCAGCTTATCCACGATATATGTCCGCAGCGAAACGCCCATGTCATATTCCCATTTGTTCGCGAGAAGCTCAATGGCCAATCCTACGGCGCGTCCTTTCTCAGTAGCCGGACATCCCCAGCCACATAATCGTTCCAGATCTATGCGTTGTAGCATGAGCGCCTCCGATCTTCGAGAATGGTCAGTGTTTGGAGAATTGACTTTGCAGGACCACCATCCTTTGGTTTCGTCCAAAGCCCACTCTGGAGTCTTTTTGGACTGGATCCCTTCAATGTAGTCATTGTTGGGTGAGAGGGCGAGAATAAGAGCCATCCAATCCATCTCATGCTCGGGATGAGTCTGTATTGCAGTGGTCGGTCGAGGAACCTGACGGAGCGCCACTCGAATTATAGCCATTATAACGGTGCCCCCGAAAAGGGTGATCTGCAATGGATAGTGCATTCCAGCAACACCCACAACCTGCACTGGATATCCAAGACCAACGCACAGAATAATGAAAAAGCACACAAGCCCATTACCCTTCCCATAGGTAAAAGACGGTCTGTAATGGGACTCTAGGATTCCGTCTTGCACTTCTTTGAGAATAATGTAAGATTTGTATCGCGGAGCACCGTTTGGTAGGCCCCGTTGTAGCCACAGGAGATATGCTTTATCCCTCGTACGCGTAGCGAGTGGCTTCCACACCACTCGTACCGCTGTCTTGCTTATCTCGTACGCGCAAAGAACAAGGCCAATGAATAGGGCAGTGGTGCCACCAATAGCTAGCCCGGCTGCGTACGCGTGTGTGTCATACCCGTGCACTTTGGTAAGGGAACCAAGATGCTGAACGTATGTAAGGACTGCTAGCACGATCAAACTCAATTGGAAGGGTATGGCAAAAAATAATGCTAGGATATTCGATCTCCTTGAATGGGAACAGAGATTCAGGAGAAGATTCGGTGGCTTTCTCTCCTCGCGGATTGAATCGAATCTGTCATCGACCTCGGGTACGAGTCCTGGTAAACGTGGCTATTAGGTGCTTGCGTTCCTTGTCAACGTGGACAGATCTACTTACCCAGCGGACTGAACAGATTCCCACCAGTTGCTGGGTGTTTAATTTCCTCTGGCATCTTCAAAATAGGTTTGTCTTGGTTTTTCTTTTTATAAACCCAGAACCCTTGGATTTGACCGTTCTCCGTCGAGCGGTCCACAGATACACCGTTCCAAAGCTCACATGTATTAAACGATGTTGAAGATAACAGCTCTTTTTCTATGAGGGCACTCTCCTCGTGACCTCTTCCAAGCTTGCTCTTCAAGAATTGAGTACCCAGTATCCTGAAGGTTGTACTAATGATGAATATGACGCCCAGAGGACCTATAGCAAACAGGAGGTAGTCTGGCCAGTCAACTGCTTGTGCCAGGTAATATCTGGTCGCATCCTCACCGAATAAAGCAAGAAATCTGGGAGCGTTAGCAGAAAGGTAGGGTCAGGTTCCAAGCTATGATCAGAAGCTCTTACGGTAAAACCTGGGCGATGAACCCGAATGAGAGGTTATCAGCCAGTGATGAAGTTGAATTTCCAGTTGGAGCCATGTCCTTCGATTTATTTTTTGCTTCTTCATACACGAAGTATCAAAGCTGTTTTTTGTGTAGAACTGTGCAACGAGTATTCTGGGCAGGAATATACAGCAACTTCCAGGCAACGCCGCTCAATTTGCAAACAGGAGATGAACATGTATTGATATAGGGGTCAAGAACTACTCTCAACGATAGAATTGGTCCCTGCTCGTAAATCATGATTTCATAGTTGGTAGTATGGCTGCTGGGTTATTCAGTGCTCGTACAGAGGATATCCCAATCAGTTCTCGTGATCCATGGTCAGTATGAAACAATGCATGGATGCATGCAGCGGCGAGACACTTCCACACGGCTGTTGTACATGAATGTCATATCCCAGAACTATTCTCATAATCAAAACTAGTATGATCAACTGTAGCTTTAATTACCATCATCCTGCCATATCAAGATACGTACCATGACAATTGAACGTACACGGCAACATCGTGACTTTCTTTATCTGAGAGTCCTTTCTGTTCCAGTCTAGCTTAGCTCGGATCCGCAGCAGTCTTGAACTCGAATCCGGATCGTCTCCAATCCATTAGAAAGCTCGGTAGTACCTATTCTCTAGGCCATGAAACCTTACTGTAGAGAAGCTCTTTGTCTAGTAGATTGAGAATCAAGATTGGCCACGAGCTTATTTTAGTCTGGTAGGCTTCGTAAAGTCCCACCTGCACTGCATTATGCCACTAATATGGTTGGGTTTAGGTAAGGTATTACTACCTGAATGACATGGATGACCGCAAACGGTAACCGGCTACTTAACCGTGGACCCGGTGACCCTCCACATTCACCTCACCTTGGCCGAATAACTTGACTCCGGCCCCGCCGAGACCACTAGCTACCATTTGAGGACCACCATATCACTGTAGTGGTCAGTTGTTGTGCCATTATTTTGCCTTTGCATTGGTTCCTATCCAACTCTCTTCCTAAGCGCCTATTTGATCTATGTTTTCACGTCACTTCTGTTGTTACCAAGGTATGCATCACGCGCTCAATTTCCGCCCACCGCGCCATGGAGTCATTCCCCAAAGGATGTTTAGCTGTGCGAGAACGGTAAGGTCAATCCAGGATCTTTGCCCAATGAGTGCATCACTGACCGGACTGATCCCTCGAATGAACTCCCATCCCGGCCAAGAAGACACCTTCTTTGGATGTATAGTGGGTTTCATGGATTCTTCTGAGTTTGTCCATCAAGAGCCCGTTTTCGAGGACTAGACAGATTCAGCTCATTCCCGGTCCAGATTTGCATACTTGTCCAGGAGTCGATAGGCTCGCTCTCCCCATGGACTCAACATAATCCCAGTCTCCCATACATATTCTCTGTGTGCTTTAATGTTTCGACATGCTCTGAGCAAAGTGATCCAGTCAGATTCATATACAGCAGTCATCCTAAACGAGTTGATGTCTGGTCGAACAATCTCAAGGTCAGACAGGCAGGCGTTCAAGACGTTCTCATGATATACATCCTGTCCATTTAACTTGATGGGAATGCTTCCGGCGACAAGATCGACTAGGTCCGCATAGCTGGTTTGTAGTCTTTCAAGTCGGGCTGATTCCGGATAAGACCTTTTCTCCTCAACCACTAGGTTGCGGAACTGAGGAGAGGATCAACATGTCAGAATTGATCTCAAAGACCCAATCCAGAGGCGAAAACAAAAACATACAACAGAAGGGATTCGCTGGTGGTCACCCACCCAACTACTAACCTCCCGGCGTGTGGCTTAAGTACGGCTGAGCGGACGGGAAGCCCTGTTTTCCACACCCTATGGTCGTATGTACTAAATCTCTGGTTGAAAAACATTATAGACTCAACTGTAATGCTTCCTTTGGCATCACAATACAAACCTAACAGGCAGTTACTCGCATAATTTCTGATATCGGAATTATATTGGTAAGATTTCTTCAAAGCTTAGTTCTCGGGTTGTTACCTAATCTTCTTAGTACGTGTTCACTGTAGCACTACCCGGTTTTCTGAGATAGATTGATAATAGATGGCAGTTCGACTGACGGGCGCAGAACCAGATCGAAGACATGATAAGCTCTGTTACATAGGCAACTCAAGCGGTAGGTATACTAATCAGAGATTAGGGCCAGAAAACCCGCGCATAGGGTTGCAAGAGAAGAACCTTAGAAATCACGATTAAAATCTAAAGGGATTATAGTCTTCCAGGAACAGTGGGCAAGAATATTATGAAAGATAAGAACAAATAGTATAACCTTTTTCTAAATACTAAACTCTGCGTGACAGGTTTTAAGGGCCAGAATTATATAACTAAATATATTAGAAAAATAATTACATGGATGAGTAGAAGCCGCTGTCTCGCTTAAGATTAATTAGTAATTATTAAAAAGTAGTTTCTAATTCTTTTTATAATATTACATGAAGCCTTAAGCCTCCTTTCTGTGAATGAATATTGTAAAAAAAAAGATACTTAGTATGTATAAATAATTTAGCCCAAACGGAGGGAAGGTTTAAGGGCCTTCACGTGCCCTTCCAACCTTCGCGATACCATCGCGAAGGAATATCATATATCAGGCCTGAGGCATCCATCACGCGATGGCTAAGCGAGGTGGTCGCGGAACCACCTAAGACAGCGGCAGCCTCGCGAAATTAGAAGAATAAGCAACATCATCTTAAGGCAACTACTACTATTCTTTATACCGCGATAGATATTCGTTTGCTACACTATTTCACCCTACCAGTCCTAGTAGAAGAAACGTTAGCTAATTGATATAGCAGAGTATTAAAGCTGCCGCTGCATCCACAATACTAGATGTACTAGATAGAGAATAAGTAAATAAACCACTAAGTACTCCAGCCAGGTAAACAAGTACGAGGATTGCAAGAAAACGCGTTCCGTTTAAGTGAGTTTCTGCCCATAGTAATCTCGAAGCTCAAGATCCGGCAGGTCTTTGAAATAAGCAGTTGCACCGATCGGAATCCGGTCATTCTCGATATACAGGCTCTCGCTGGGACCCTTCAAGATGCTGATGACCCCGAACCCCCCCTTTCGCGTCCAAAGGGGAAATACAGCCCTCGAACGTGCGGGGTCAAGAGCTGAGGGCGCAAGCTTCTTTTTGGTGACAGGGCTAAGAAAGGTCTATAATCCCAAGGACGTCAGTTACCTGGCCAAGTGAAGGCATCTCGGGCTTCGCCGCCCCTTACCATTGTGCTAATATTGACGCCGGCGCCAGTGCTTGAAGCCGATATCCCCCCTTCAGAGAGCAGACGGTTGGGTCGATACTTGGACACGACCACGGTGATTTCCTCCGAGTGCTGGTTGACGACCCAAACGCACGGCGGGATGCCCTTCGCAGCTCGCACAAGCGCACCTATGCCTCCCTACACAAGGAGTTCAGATATCAGCCGTGATTGGCAAGAAGAATTGGACATTTGGCTACCACTGGACTGACCTTTGCTGCCTGAGGTACAACCGATGGTTGGGACGGAAGGGCCCTCCAGCTGGCGTCAGCCTCTGGCTCTGGAATCTCGTTGGCGGCCATAGGCTCCCCTCTCGACCATTCCCGAATGGCATAGTCAACATTAGGCCCAGGATCTTGCTGCGTGAAAGGCAAGAGGGAAAATGGAACCTGAAGCACATCATAACGGATGGGGGTGGCGCCGGGCTCGGCCTTGACGGTACGTGTGCCTCCGGACGTGATGCAGTTTGCCAGCTGCTCCAGGTTGGATTGGGGCCCCCGGCTGCCCTTCCGACGATCATCACGATTTACCAGATGCCTGAGATCCACGGCACGATTGGTGAGTATCAGCACGAATTGCTCATCCACGGGCTGCGAGCTCGGGACCCCTTGTGGCCACGTCACCTCCATTCCTGTTAGGTCCCCGAACTCGGTTCTACCCAGTGTATAAGATCGATCGGGTTCCAGATCGATCCCTGTTGCACTAGCGCTAGAGACTAATTCGATGCTTCCCGCCACATTGATGTCGAATACTGATACATAAACGGTGCTGGTACCCCTGTTAGTCAGCCGGATGTAGATTCGATCGTGTTCGACCACAGTGCCGCTACCGTTCTGTGGAATAATCCTGCCCCGATCGCCTTGATATACTATGCCGATTTCGGTCTCGACGGTCTGTCGCAGCGCCTCGTCATCTTTTCCGCTCTGGAGGGCGAGCAGGTGTTGTGCCCGGGCGAGTTGTTCGGCTGCCCGCACTATAGTCGTGAACGCAGCAGCTGACGATACATCATCTGGAAGCTGCTGGACTGCAATCTGAATACCGTCCCTCGTGCATGTAGTCACTTGACCTTGATCGTGCTGGAATTCCAACAGAGGTTCATGATCGTGCAGTGCCAGGAACTTTGATTTCTGGATGGCCTCTTGCAACCCCGACAAGACAGACGGGGCTTTGACCGGCCATCTAGGCAAACTGTGCTTGACCAGAAAAGCCAACACCCCCTGATCAAGTATACTGCCTGTCGAGGTCGGGGTCCGTGGGCTTCGCTCGCTCTTTGTAGGTGAGCTCTTGGCGTTTGACGACAGGGAATGGGTCAGCTGATGGGCCTCCGCGTCTGCGAGGCCTTCAAAGTCCTGGTAGAACTTTTTCCCGCACTCCTGTGATTTCAGGTTAGCTTGGATCTGTTTCAAGAGACCTGGAGAAACACATACGCATCTCCACCTTATTCGAGAAGTGTCCTTATCCTGGGGCCTCTCCACGAGTTCCATAGTTTCCAAAGCTGGGAAAAGAGCCTGCTCCCACAAAAGGTTCGTCAGCCATCTCCCAACGCTGCTTGTGGCTCGCCAAGCGCGCTCGCCTCTGGTGAGGGTAGAGAGTGTGTTAGCTGTTTTGGAGCCACCCGTTCTTTCATGATCACGGATACCTAGAATGGCCTGGTGCTTATTCTGACTTGTACTGGTAGTTGTACCATGTTGTTTTAATCCACATATCAGCATGAAGGGTGCCCAGTAAGCGGGCGACGAATTGTCCAAGGGCTGCGTGTTCTCCAATGGCTGCACATCTCGATATAGCGCGACTCGCCTAGGACCTTGGATTTGCGGCATTCTCCCGCGTTCTTCTCCAACCCTTGCTCCACAGGAGTCGCTGGATTCGGGCTCGGATAGAGGGACATCGTGTCGGAGCTTTTCCTGTGCGTTACGCAAGGCATCTGGAAATGATTGACCCTCGCTAACTCCTTGGTAGAAATGCGAGATCAGTTCACAAGTTGCTTCATCATCCACAGGCCACAGGCTGACCAGTACTGCACGGGCTCCAGCAGCAAGGAGCGCGCGACTGAAGCCCACGACATCGTTTCCAGCAGTCAAGGCCCCCTGTCCTGTCTGACACGCACTGAGCACAACAAGATCAACGTCAAGATGCATATCCACAAGTTCTAGTACGGACAGTTCATGCCCATTGGCGAGACTAATGGAGGAGAGAAGAGGAACGTCTGCGACGACTTTACAATGTGTCGCAAGATGGAGAATCGAATGGTCGCTGATATGCGCGCGGAAGTTCGAGATGTTGGCGTCGGCACTAATAAAGCATTTGGTGTTCGGCATGATTTGCGCAATGCGTGATACTTCCTGCTCGGTGCCTGGGAGAGAATATGCGCGTTGGTGCTGTCCGTACATATCTTGGAACGACATATTGCAGGGGTTCCCTAGAGCAAGCACAGACGTAGGCCTGCCCTTGGCTTGGCCGGAGTCCAGATACCTCAGCAGACTGACCGACGGAACGTATGTCACGACATGCGAACTAGAGAGCGGATCGCCGTTCATGAAGGGCAATGCATGGAATGGAACGAAATGGAGAGATCCGTGAGGAACAATGACTACTCGTCTGGAGTACCCCAGCAACCCGCGAAATGGTTCCAGCAGCTCATCAGAGAGAACCTGCCCGAGCTTTCCCGGACGCAGCATACTTTGACAAGCTTCGTGAAACCGCTTGGAGGCCCTATCAAGCCAGTATATTTCCAACGATTTGTGATGAAGCCCCATCATTCCCTGAGACGATATCGCCCATGAAAACAGGTCTTCTTGATCGTGGATATAGATAAGAATTAACACCCCAACAGGAAGTGTTTCACAAACAGCGTCGAGTGTACTCAATTCCGCAGCCCAGGTCCGCAGGGGCGAGCCTGTAGCAGCTATGTCATTTTCCACCGCGGCGATCTGCTGCTCGATGGCTGTGATCTCCGCTTGCAAGGCCGCAATATTGGATCGCTCCGGGTTGTTAGAGTGTAGAGCCTGTTCCAGGAGGCCACAACGGCTTGTTCGCTTGGCATTGAGTCGTCGCCAGCGAGGTAAAAGGCCGGATTCGGAGGACGACAATCGGCCAATTAAGCCACCTTCCATAAGGTCCATAAGACTCCTCGCTTTATTTCTTTCTGCCACATCGAAGATCTTTGCTTTGAGTTCTCGGCGGCGGGAGGCTTCGATATTAGGCTGGTCATGCAGCTTCAGCAAGGTCCTGATGCATCCGACAAACAAGGCGCTAGTCGGCGAGTCCGCTGCAAAGGCGATCTTGAGTTCATCAATGGAAAGACGCTGGCGTTGAACCTCAAATATACTAATCCCTTCCTCATATTGCAGGAGCGCAGCTTCGAAGTTTCCCAGCCCTTCCTCCACTTGTGCGATACGGCCAAGCGACAGCCAGCTTTGGCCGTCCTTCTTCCACCAGTCAGGCCAGTTCTGCGAGAGGAGATGCAACCATCTATGAGCTTCTTCAAAGTGTCCAATCTCACAGAAGAAGCTGAGCGCTCGGCTTGCAGCCTGCCTGCGTCGATCATCGTCGAGAGAGGAGGGAAAACCCAGCCGAGCCATCCGGTCCATTTCTTGCAGCTCCCCATCTACATACTGCGTGTAAGCAGGTGCCGCCCGTTGATATTCTCCCTCGTAGGCGTCTGCCAGGGCGTCAAAGTAATGACGGCGGTACCCTGACATCGACTCTGCCGCCGCCCTGACGCGGTCAAAACAAACGTGGGCTTCCGCTGGATGTCCATTCTTTTTCGCCTCCTTGCCGCTATAGAGGTCCTGATAAATTTCCGAGTCGGCCAATTGTGACTCCAGGAAGAGATCGGTCATCTGTGTAGCATCCTGTTGGTAGAGAGCTTGTCCGACGGACGGCTCTGGATTGGAATCGGCAAGGTCCTCTCCTGCCTGTAAACGATTGACCAGTTCCTGAAATATGTCAAGGCCCGACGACAGGCCTGCCGGGCCTGCCGACTCATGCGTCTTCCGGATGCTCTTGATGTAAGCCCGCACGCGCTCGAGGAGGTGCGGTACAGCTCTCTTTGTAGCAAGCCCCAGCATCTCGATTGAAATCCATCGGGCGAGCCGGGAAGCTTCCGCCACCAGCCCTGGCTCTCGCTTCTGGACCTCGAGGCACTCGTCCAGAGCCCGCTCCAATGTCCTGGTGCAGCTGGGGAAATCATGCACCATTTGATAGACCTTCAGCTGATCAACTATGGAATGCACCCGTGACAGTGAGGCCTGCAGAGCTTGGAAAAGAGTTTCTGCAAGCCTAAAACAAGCCAAGGCGCGTTCATAGTCGCCGAGGTGGTTGATCCATCGCCACCCAATTCGGGCGAAGAAGAGGCCAACTCCCAGGGTAAACCCAAAGCTTCCTTCTCGACGACCCCAGGTCCCAAGTGACACGCCGAGTTGCTGGGTCTGCTCGCTCTGGTCCCCTTGTCCAATGGCGCAGAGAGCCAACTGCGCGCGGCCCAGCTGTACGGCCATCATATCGCCGAGCTCAGACGAGATCGCAACGGCGCGCTCGATGTCCGTTTTCGCCGCCGCAAAGCTCGGCTCGAATACAATGCGTCGCATACCCTCAAGGACCTCGAGGTAGCCGAGGCGCATCTTCACCGCGGCGATCCCTCTCCGCGCATTTGCTGCCGCAAACCGCGTCAGTGCCGCATCGTACCGAGCCTTGGCCTCGCCAATCCTCTCCGTGTCAACGTCCCATTCGGCCTCATCCGCCTGCCAATGCAGGCAAGTATCGTACGTTGATTCCGCCAGGAGTGAATTCCAAACGCCAGGTGAAGACAGCGGGGCGGCGAGAAAATCACCCCGCGTGAGTTCGACATCGGCCAAGCCGACCGAATCGTCGACTTCGCGAGCAAGTTGCTCGGCTATCGCAAGATCCTGCATTGCTTCTTCCCGCCCATGGATGCGGAATGCAATCCGAGCTCGGACGAGTCGCATATGGCCGAGCATCCTCGGATCTGGACGCCAGATTGCCAGGGTGTCGTAGTCCGTATCAATGCCTGACAGCAAAGTATCCTGCGCGGTACGAAACGTAGAATCCGCCCCTGGATTGGCTCGTGGAAAGGAGGCGAGCGATCGGTAGAGCCTTAACGCCTGGCCCACAACTCGTAGCGGTGGGTCTGTCGAATACGCCTCGGAGAGGGGACTTGTCTGTGCCTGCCAGTCTTGAAGCGTCTGCACAGTGTCGAAGCGATATTGAATCTCCTTTGCTCCTGCAGGGCCATTGTCGGGGAACAGCGCATACTGGGTTCGTGTCGCTTGATACAAATACAGACACGCCAGCAGCTTGAGGGGTAGATCGGAGTGCTCCATGGTAGTCGCTGCCCTCAAATCTGCCAGAGCCCCGACGCAGTTTCCTTGCAGAGTTCGCACAATGCCCCGGCCGGTGAGGGCTGCAGCGAGCCTGGTTTTGTCCTCCGCATCACACATTGAACACTCAGCCTCGACAATCTGAAGAGCGGCCCGGAAATCACCGGTATGGTGCGTGTACAAGGTTGCCACTCCCAGCGCTTCGTATACCTGGTGCAAGACAGGATACTTCTGCACCACAAGAGGGGTATCTGCTTGGCTCATGGTTAAAATCGCAAAGACAGATCGATCTAAAGACCATTTGGGGTTCCTTGAGAGTGTTCAATTCAAGTTAGCTTTTACGGTGAGGTTTCCTGTCAACCAAGTCACTACTTGCACCGCCTCCGAATTTATATGCATGCTCCTTGTGCCAACCCAATTTCAACACCGACCAATTGACAGTATCAAGGGACCTGCTCAACCTACCTTGAAAGGATTCTAGTCGTAGCTAGAGAGCGACCATGAATAGATGAAGGCTTACATTGATCAGGTGCCGTTTGCATTGCTGCATAGCGGTGGCTAGTCGACGAGGTCTAGACCTATGCAACAACCGGGTGATACTCTCTGTCTATGGTTCACTTCGTGATGCACCTCCCTGAATTCCCATCCAGTCGATTTTCCATCATTTCCGTGGTCGAAGTACATGCAGGTCTTTGTTCTTTCTGATGCACGGCTCACAGCGGCCAGAAAGAGTCATGGCCTCCACTATTGATCAGATGATTACAATCCTATTTACGAGGTAGACTTGAGAATTCCCACGGGCTGTATGTGCCACATCGAATCGTATTTGACATCACCTTCGCGACCGTCAAGTAGCAGGGGTCAAATGAACTGGAAGGAGATACAGGTTTTATTTATGTCGTAAGGGAGCCCTGCTTTACACAGAAGGGATTTGATTCACAGTCTGCTGTATACACCGAGAATATTTCTTTGCGATATGGAGTCATCCTCGGAAAGGTCCTCGAGCAAGCGAGCGCTATTGATCGCAAGCCCGATACACGGTTTGAGGGGTCCTTTGAATGATGTAGAAACCATTGCCCGTGTTCTCGAGAGACAAAGTTTTCAGATAATTCGATGCTGTGGCCCCAACGCCACGCGTAACGGGATCCTGACGGCATGGCGCAACTTGATCGACACAAGCACGACTGGCGATGCGGTGACCATCTACTACTCCGGCCATGGTGGCCTTGTGAAGAGCTCCGAACCAGATACGGATATCCATCGGCCGCTACAATTCATCCTACCCTTTGACTACGATAAGAGTACAGACGATGACTTCCGGGGCATCTTGGAGATTGAGTTGTCGCATCTGCTACTGGAGACCACCGAGAAAACCGACAATGTCACAATCATCCTAGACTGCTGTCATGCCGGGCGGATGGCTCGTCATCCCAGACATGGCAGACGAGCAAATCCCAAGAGGATCGCCGACGTGCAGTATCGCAACCTCCGGCAACATCTAACACAGCTCCGGCAGAGTGGGCACCTTGCACGCGAATTGGACCCCTTTGGGAACCCCAACGCTGTGCGTGTCATGGCGGCGGCTGCCACCGAAACAGCCTGGGAGTGTGAAGGCCCCGAAGGCGAGTGGACCGGCGCGCTGACGAATGCCTTAGCCTCTGCGATTGACGAAGCCGGTCAACGACAGGTATCTTGGAGATCGACCCTGTTACGTGTGCATGAGCTCGTACATGTCCAGTTCCCGCAGCAGCACCCCGTCGCCGAAGGACCGGACACCCGCCTCCTGTTCGCGACTCAGAGGATCGCGTCCAGCGCTGTGCTCTTGAAGATGCAAGGCAATGATCCAGTGCTCCAGAGCGGTTACGTTTCAGGCGTTCATAAAGGAGATGTTTATGTTCTCATGCCCGCCGGCCACGAGGTTCCCGATTCTCGATTCAGAATCGGAGAAGCGACTGTCATTGCCCTGAATGGTTTCAAAGCCAAGGTTACAGTGGAGCTTGATTCCCCGGGCGACGCGACGCATGCGGGACCCTCACGAATGACTGAAGTAGCCGCCTCTAGCAAGCCGAACTCCTCCGATTCTACACATCCTGAGTTACCAGGAGCAATACCTAGATGGGTACTGATGTGCTACCAGCAGCGTGGTGAGAACGGACACAAATATGCACATGTGAGAGTCTGTAGGGGCGATCGCGATAGGCAATTGTTTCAGAAGTTGAAGTCGGAATACAGCAGCAGGCTCGACATCCGTCGATCCTTTCGACCCGTCAAACTTATGCATTTCACTCAGGTAACCTCCAAAATTTGCGATATATCTTTCCGTCCTGACAAGTTCCTAGTTCAAGCCCGACTCAGGCGACTATATAGCGGCGAGGGAGGACAATGTATGGCCAGAGAACGGCATTCCTGACTGGGACATTCCAGATTCAGAATCACCGGCTGCTGCCAGGCTCAGAAAGATTGCCACAGATAGCAAGTACCTTGCCCATCGCTTCAATCTTTCCCACGAAAATGACGGATGCATGAAATGGAGAAAGCTCAAATACGCGCTGATCAGAGGCATCGCAAGCGCCTTTCCGCGCGTACACGATGCTGAAGCAGCACCCACTCACATCGGCGAGACGAGTGTGATTGAGACCATACCGAAGAGATTGAGGAAGGAGATTCAATATTCTCCGACAGGAAATCCACCCAGCTGGGGGCTTATTGTCGAGGAAGACGTGGACACATCTGTCTGGAAAAGAGCTGTCAAGGAGAATCTTATTGTGGGCCTGTTTTTATTCGTCGTGCTGAGAGTATTGTTTGGCCACAATCTCGTACTTTGGCTTGGCCCTTTGATGGCTCTTTTTCACTCGATTTTCACGATTATTACTTATTCCTTGTAGCGACCGCGACCGAATCGGCCGCTAGGCCTTATGAGATTGTACTTCTAGTTTGCGTTTTCGACACCTCTGAATCGTATCAGCCGAAGTCTAAATTAGCAATGACGGTAGTTCCATCCTTAAGAAAACCAAAGGTACGACATCGTGTTCTGGTCATATGACTTCAAGAAGGCTCCTAATCAGAATTAAATGTCATCATCCCAGCAAGTACTTACATGGTTTGATGTGTACTCGGCATGAATTTCGGGTTATGGGTGGCTAATGCAGGCGGGAAGGGCTTTTGAAAAAATAGAAATAGATAGTTATGCAATCTCTGGTCTATACTTATCTCCACTAGACCGACCATGTTGAAAATGAAGGGTTTCCGGTTCAGCAAAACCCCGTAGTGTATCCATAAACTGGCATTCGCCCAGATTACACATGGATCGGACTCCGTATTGACTTCCTTTGCCAGCTGAATCATTACGAGAAGTGGACTCTCCATGGCGTTCTGTCATTGCTGAGAGGATCAGAATTAGTGGGTATGGGTTATGAAATACGAAAACGAGGGGCTTCCGCCCTCGGCAAGTCAGAAGTTGAGGCGTGCTTGAGAGGAAACAAAGCGAAGCTCTGATTCTAGGCTGGGGCCAGAAGAAGAATTATGATCAGCAGAGCCAGGGTTGCTCAAAGTCTGTATTATTAATATTACCAAGCTGTATAACATAAAATACCTAAACAATACCTCACAATAACACCCGCGACCTTATAGTAATAACTCCGGTGATTTCAGCAGCGACTGTATACTATACCAATACTAATATTCTAAACTACTCTAAAATTCAGACCAGTACTTCCCTCAGTCTCTCTTCAACTTAGATAAGTTTATACTTAGTATAGTTATATAATAATTCTTCTTATATCATAGTAATCAACCTCATCAAAACCACAGATCTACTAATCAATTTAAACTCTTAACTAAATACTGAATATTTCAACCTAAATTCCACAGATCTAGAGTAGGGGTTTGGTGCTTTGCGCTTTACCACCTGGCAGTAAATACACCAGTCATATATTTAACCCAAGCTTATTATCTAATACTCCCACCCCCTATCAAACCCCCCGTGGGGGCGACGGTGGCTCTAAATACTACCCTAAACTGTAGTATCTGGTTTTTCTATACAGCTAAAATAAACTCCAACTGTTCCACTATTTGTCTGGAAAACCATATTGCTATTTACCTATTCACAGAGGCTGACTTCTTACTAAAATACAGCAGCTATAACACGGATCTGCTTGTTAGCAATATATATAGTGTGGATCTCTGGATAGCTAGTAGTATAGCCGCTCAACCGCTATAAACAGCACTACTGTTAATTTACCTATTATCACTGCTACCAGCCCCAGCTTCCCTACTTAGGCTGATATTCCCGCTAACTGCAACACCTGGTATAAAGCTTAAGGCAAGTCTTATTGTATAGACCTCTTCTACTATCTTCCTATAAACTGGAGACTAACTATTCTTGTTTTTTATAAGGCTGCTCCCCGCACTAACCAATGAGACCTTGTGTAGCGCTCCTCTAAATGAGGAGCCCATCTCGATCGTTGTCCGCTCCAAGTGAGATTCAGTGGACGCTAACGTGGGTCTGCTGCATGAGGTGAACAGGAATTCGCAGCTGAATCCGCGGATGATCTCTCCTGGCCAATCGTCCCCCTCCAGCCGTGATGTTGTCATCTCCGCTCTCATCTATCCCCTCTGGCATCATTGTTTTGATGGACCCATTGCCACCTCTGCATGCTCCAGCCCTCTCAGAACAAGGAGAAGGAGAGGAGGAAAAAGGGTAGAGAGACGAGTAGAAGGAAGAGTTTATAAGACTATCCATAATCCCGAAGACTGATAGTCCTTCAACTAGCTAGTACCGTACCAGTAGAATGGTCTACTCCTAGGGCTTCAATTTCAACTCCTACGTCGAGAAAGGGGTTGACCCTCGCACCGGCCAATACAACTGCACCATTTCCCTGTATGAAGTGCCGGCTGGGGTTCGCAACAGCCCCCCGTTGAGCTTGTCCCTCCACTTCAACCCCCTGGGAGGGGACGATGTCGGCCTGGGACGGGGCTGGTCGTTTGGGGGGCTCTCCTCTTATGACCAGCCGTCCCGAACCCTAATTCTGTCGACCGGGGAGAACTACAAGGTCCAGGACAGTACCAGCTCCGTACGGGTGACGGACCAGAAACTCCAGAGTTTCCACTTCCACAAGACGAACACCACCAGCTACCGCGTTACCCTCAAGTCCGGCCAAGTGGAAGTGCTCTCCAACTTCAACCATCGGAGCTTGGTGAGTGTGCCCACGGAACTCTACAGCGCCAATGGCCAGTCCCTGCAGCTCTCCTGGGTGTTCTCGAGCACGCAGCCCCGACTCAGCAAGATCCTGACCGGCTCGCAGGCTCCGGCGAAGATTGTCTACAACGACAGCGCGCAGATCACGACCATCACCCGCGGACCAGGCACCGCCGAGACCGCAACGTTCACGCTGCTGCGCCGGAACGGCCAACTGGCGGAGCTGCGCCTGCCACTGGAGGGCTCGCCCACATCGCCGAGTCCACCGTCCTGGACGTCCTGGAAGTTCACATATAAGACAGCGGGCCTGACGACTGTCACCAGCCCGACGGGGGCCACCGAGACGATTTCCTACCGGGCGGCGGGGTTCCGCCTGCCCAGCGGAGCGCCGGTCTCGGCCATCCCACACATGATCTCGCACACGGTGAGGCCCTTCCATGACCAGCCCGCCATCCAGACCACCTACTCTTACTCCGACCACAACTTCCTGGCTTCGGTGGAGGGAGGAACTGGTCCAGCGACGGTGGCAATCTGTACCTGACTCCCGCCAACTATGAGTATACCTCCACCGTGCATGTCGTGGGCGGATCCACCACCCGCCTTGTGTACAATAAGTTCCATCTGCAGCTCAGCACCCACCAGCAGAACGGTGTCAAGCAGCTCATCCAGACCACCACCTACTATGCCCGCAGCAATACGGCTTTCGAGAGCCAGCCTGCCCAGTACTAAGTGATTTAAATCCATGGTATTGATCTCTGTGGAGGTAATGTAGTAGTGACGACTTGGTTGTGCTCTGTATATCAAGCGAGTGATAAGCGATGTTGGAATCACGTAGGCGACGCGATAAATACACTATAACATTCGCCTGCGGCCTGAGTAAAGAGGCGTCCAGGCTAACGCAATTCCGGAATCTGCCGCCTACGTCGCCGCGGGCGGGCGGTAAGTTAAGCGGTGCGGTGCTTCTTCTGGTCTTGCGTAGTTGACTTGATCCCGCATAAGTCATCAATCTGAATATGACACTCGACGGAAGCTGAATAGATACAATCTCTTCTTTTCATTCCTTCCCGACTGTTGGTTTGTCTATATATGCAAGAGGAGAAGCGATGCATCACCGTCCTGCAATCAAGCTCGTCCTTAACTATTCCCACACTCCCCCTAACCCCAACTTCTTATGCAGTAATGCCAACAGCACTTGTCCCAAGAGATGTCAGCCACTCTGAGACTCCGTGACAGAATCTTCCCACGACGTTCTCATCCAATGCTTCCGGCTGCCACGAGGTCGAAATCGCGAGCCCATCAGACATACTCACCACACTCAGCGTCAAGGCTGCCGCGTTGACCATGGCACTCTGTGTGAAGGTCAAATTGGTGATGGCCATGCGATCCTGCGATGGCTGTGACTGAATGGAGGTGGAAGGTGTGATCGCGGAATCCATTCCTTCAAGCCTGACCATGCCCAGGTTTGAAACCTCAAACGTCAGGGGCCGCACCTGGCCGATGCATCGCATGTTCCTGGGAGGATTCTCAGATTAGCAGCTCCTTATCAGACAGCCCAAGTGACCGGGTGACTTACGCCCTGTGACGATCCGTGTGTCGTCCCAAAGTTGCTAGCCCGTTGTTGAGGGGGACCTGAGAAAGTTCCCTCGTGAGCTCCGCTCGATGGAATCGCGCGATCTCCCACAGCACTGGAAGCTCTTCTTCTCGATTGCCATTGCAATTTCTCACTGCTGAAAGCCAGTGCTGCTGGTAACAGCAGCTACTGTCCGAGGTCTGGTTGACCATGTCTCTCAGCGGATCGCTTCCGGTCCAATTGCGCAATGTGTATGGGGTATGTCCAAGGAAGCTATGTGCGGGGACTAGGGTCGCCAGGAGAACCACGGCCATCGCGTGAATGAGACTGGTCAGCGTTGCGCGCTGCAATCTGCATTGTTCCAGGATTGTCTCTAGCTCGGATGCTCCGATCCGGAGGATTCGAGTCTTCGTTCTGTAGCTGGAGATGCATTCCTGGGTGACGGGGTTGCCTGTCCACGGGCTCTGCTGAGGTTCGAATCAGGATTACCGCCTTGGCAGTGACGAGGGACTTGGGGAAATGAAAAGATGAGATGTTTTACCTCAGACAGTGGATTGCGCAGCCACGAGGGGCATATTGAATGCCACAGATTCTGGGCATGAAAGCCCCATGTTGTGGGAACCGGCATCAGTTCCTCCACAGGCGCGTGGAGTTTTATCGTGGAAGGCACTTTGATCACTGAGACTGCCGTCGTGTTGCTCACGTAGCTCAACGCCTTGGAAAGCTCTCGATGAAATACCATTCCCCCTTGACCATCCATGAAGGCGTGGTGTGCCGCGAAGATCACAAAGACATGGTCCGTTTCTTGCCGGGGCCCGAGAAGCAGTACCTTCCACCCGGGGGTCTCGTGCAAACGACCCCACTTCCGCGAGTGTAGATCCTCCAAGGCTTGAGTGAGGGCACATGCGAGATCTTCTGCATCGTCCACCGAGGAGAAAGTCACCAGCTGAGCCAAATCCAGCGTGTCGGAGCGCACGAAGGTAGGGTGTTGACCGTCTTCCCCAACGACACCACTGCAAAGCGCGCCGTGGTCGAGGACAAACGACGAGACGGCCGATCGAATGATCCGCTCCCAGTCCGAGGGACTGGCTTGAAGTCCCTTCGTGAGCTTGTACTGGGCCGACAGGCAGAAGCAGGGGTAGAATCCGGAGAAGTGGTTGGCATTGTAGATCCGTTCCCTAGTTGGGGCCGAAGAAGACAGTAGTTACATCGAGATCTGTGCCCTTGGAAGTGGATGAATTGTCACGGTCGTGTCGACTTACAGTGTGCCCGCCTCTCTCAGAACACTGTCCTTCTCCTTCTTTTCTGAGCCTGGTTTTGAATGCGGCTGAGGTGAGTTGGTGATTGTGGGGTTGCCGATCAGAAAATTGGAAGGGGAAACAAGAATCGAGCCCTAGATATCTCGATCATCCCAAAAACGAAGGTGAGTTGATTTCTGGCTACAGTCTGGCTACACACTTGGCTTACTATTCCGTTATTTGACTTTACGTGCGAACATAGTTCACTTGGTTATAATGACTTACTAAGGCAGCCCACAAGTCGGGGAATGAGCGGTATACAGCATCAGAAGCCCGAAGGCTGACTTAACTCCAGACCATGGCTCCTGGTACACACTAATGCATGTAAGCCCAGGAAAAGAATCCGACACAGGCCATGGCATACCCAACGATGGGCAAAACGCACCAGCCATCTGAGGAGAATGATGGAAGAATGGGAGGCAAGATTTCACCCGAAATGGCTTACACCGTAGAAGAGTAAGCCACCAAGAAAAAGCCCGGAAGCAGTCCCCACGGTGGACAGATTAGCTGATTAACTGATTAACTGCTTACCTGATTAAATAATTCAATGATTAACTCGTTAGGGTAAAGCATGTCAACGACAGAACAGCGGAACTGTGGCTATGACTATTGTGGTTAGGAGAGCCGGCCCGTCCTCACAGACCGAAACAATCGGAGATATCCGACGCACTCCGACACTGAGACCAACGTTCGTCTTTCCCGCTCTCATGACTTCGCCAACTCAACACTTAACAATAACAAATCAAACAACAAACAAAATGGCCACTAACCTAATTGCCAAGCCCGGGGTGAGCTTGGAGGCTCTAGCCGACCTTCAAGTCCCCCGGGATCTGTCTATCTCCCCTGATGGTACTAAGGTTGCCTATACACTCCAAGCCTTCAGCAAGAGCGGCGAACATGCCACCTCATCCATTTGGATTGCGAAAGTCGGCGAGGAGAACAGCAGTCGCCAGCTCACTTCGGGATTGTTTAATGACGAACAGCCCCAGTGGTCTCCAACAGGGATCTCGATCGCGTTTAGATCGGATCGGCACCGCCCAGGGCAAAGCTCCGCCATCTATATGCTGCCGGTCGATGAGGGCGGCGAAGCGTACCCTTTGACGCCGGTGAACTGCGAGAAGCCCATTGTAGCCTTTGAATGGAATGTCCTCGGCACAAGCATCGCGTACACCAGTGCGGATGACAAAACAGATGAACAGGTGGCAAAGGAGAAAGCGAGAGACGATCCGACGGTTTGGGGAGAGGATGAGGGCGACCACGGGGAGTATCTGCGCCTGAGAATCGCTCACGTGTCAACCCGGCACATCACAACGCTCGTCGCGGGCTATCATCATGTGCACGACTTCACGTGGAGCCCGGACGGCCGGCAGATCTGCTTCATTGCGCACCAGGGGCCCGATATCAACTCCCCTGGATTCTACGGCGCAGAGATCTGGATTGCTTCGATCTCTGGAACAACGACGACGACGACGACGACGACGACGACGACGACAACGACGAAGCGGATTGCCGTATTTCCCGGACCGATCAGCCAGATTGCATGGGCCAACTGTGGCGTCTACTTCATAGCCGGCCATGTCCCGACGCACTGCATGACCTCCCTCTCGCTCTACGAACTGGATCTCGACCAGGGATCCTACGCAGAGCGCACCGAAGGCGATGCAGAGCACTGTTGCATCACGATCCGGAAGAACAGTCAATCGCGCCTCTCCTACCGGGTCCAGCGGTACCTGGCCGACGAGTTCTACTCGATCAACGACGACGGCACGCGGACCAAGGTCTACAGCGAAGAGTGCGAGATGATCTCGTTCGATGTCCTCCAGACGCCGGACAACAGCGCCATCCTGGCGATCACGAAGGGCGACGGGTCCCATCCCGAGGAGGTGTTTTCCGTCTCGGCGTGGGCGGGCACCGTCCAGCTGTCCGCGCACAATTCCGCCCTCGCCGCGCTCCGGATCGCCAAGTCGTGGGCCATCGCCACGCACGCCGCGGATGGGTACTACCTCGATGGGATGATCTACGTCCCCTCCACTTACAACCCCAAGGATGGGCCCCTGCCTACCATACTCATGCCGCACGGAGGCCCCTACTGGCGGATCACCACCGGCTTTGCGGTCTGCCACTGTCTCGAGGTCCCGCTCCTGGTGTCCATGGGCTATGCGGTCCTGTGTCCCAACTACCGCGGTGGGAGCGGTCGCGGGGAGACCCATGCGGCGTATGCTCGCGGGGGGGTGGGCACGGTCGACTACACCGACTGCATTGACATCCTGCGGTCCGGTATCGCCAAGGGCTGGGTGGACCCTGCCCGGGTGATCATCGGCGGGTGGTCGCAGGGGGGATTTCTCTCCTACTTTGCGGTCACCCGGGAGGACTTTCGCTTCCGAGGCGCCATCTGTGGGGCTGGGATATCAGAATGGGACTCGATGGCGATGACAAGTGATGCGTACTGGATGCAGGGGGAGGTGGCCGGCGGGGCGCCGTGGGATGTGGATGATGCCGCCGTCACGCCGGATCCAAACTCGACGAGCGCTGCTAAGAAATGGATTAGTGACACCCACGGTCGGCGGGGCAGCGCACTCTGGCACATGCGGAACGTGACGACGCCCGTCTTGATTCTGCATGGTGAGAACGACGTGCGGGTGCCGGTCGCCCAGGCCATCGCCTTCTATCGCGCCTGTGTCCGCAACAATGTGCCGGTGCAGATGGTGACGTATCCTCGCGAAGGACACTTCATCCTTGAACGTCGACATTTGCAGCACATGTGGGACCGGATCAGGAAGTTTTGTTCTCTGCATCTACAGTGACCCGGCAAATTGCTCGGAGAGGGAAAGGGGGCGCGCGGAGGAGGAGGAGGAGGAGGGGGGGGAGTGGGGGAGACAAACCACCAAGTAAGCGATCTACCGCAATACTGTCTGGGGTCTAGGGTGTCATGCTTAAAATGTAAGCTCTTATTGAAATTGGTCCGTCTCGAGTTTGTACAGTATTTTATTGACCCCTTTCAAGACAGGCCTAGCTCGAGTGGTGGTAAGCAAAGGACGTAGAATGACAGCACCGCGAACTCCTCCTAACCATACACGTATTTTTTGGATGAGGCAATAGTCTCCCTTCTTTTTCTCACTTTTCCTGCATCAACTTTCTTCCCAGTCAGAGCCCAGAGACTCACTGCGACCAAAATCTTTTTTTTTTTCTACCCCGCGGCCCTGAAACCACCGTTTCCATGCAGCTAATTGTTCACCACGCTGTCCCTCCTAGCCACCGCACCAAGCAGGGCTGCCAGCGCATTCGCATTCCCGAGTTGCGCCGCGATCTCCAGCGCCGTATGTCCGCTCGGTGTGCATACCGACGAGTCGGCCCCTCGTACGAGCAGAGTGCGGACCAGATCCGCGCTATCCATCGAGGCCGCCAGCATGAGCGCGGTGCGTCCGTGGCTGTCCACCGAGTTGAAGTCGAAGCCGTGCTCCAACAGGATTTCCACGCATTGGGCGTTCCCCGACACCGTGGCGAGGTGCAGCGCGTTCGTGGCACTACCCGATACCGACGGTGTCTTTCTTTGTGATGGTGGTGGTGGTGTTTGCGAAGGTGGGTATAGCATGTTCTCGGCCGTTATTTTCTCGCCCGGACCCACCACGCCCGGATAAGACATGGGGATCGGGGATGATGCCGAGCGCGGTGGCGGTGGGGGATCGTAACTCCTCAACGACGGCGGTGGACTTAGCCCATGAATCTGATGGTCACCCCCAACTGTGTCTGGTTCCGGCAACTGGAACCTCGCGATGTCCTCCTCGTCCTTCTCTTCCTCCCCCCCAAGTGGCCGCGGACGACGTTCGGGCTGTCCCTCGGGGAAATTCGTCTGGTTGTCATCGGGCAAGAGGCTGGCTTCGAGGACCATGAACTCCCCGGTGGGGTCCCACTGGGCCGAATGTAGGCTCGACAGGTCACTGCTGCAGCACCGCACAGCCGGCGGCCTCGAAGCATGCAAGGGGAGGAGCCTGGCTTGCTGCCGTAGGAAGGAGTTCTCGCGCTCGAGCTCCGCGATCCGGGATTTCATGTTGCTTCCTGGGACAAAAGAAAAATGTGGTTAGTGGATTCTTGCCGCCACCCAGGTTGTCTAATTATGGAGAGTTTAGGCTCGTGCACATCCGGGGGAGGGAGAGGAAGGGGGGGAGGCAAGACACATACGGTAGGAACGTTGCGCGGTGCGATTCTGCTCTCGTCGTTTCTCGGTCATTTGGCGGGCCATCTTTTCCGTCGGGAAGGGGGAGGGGGGGAAGAAGCACGCAAACCTTTCAATCTCCGGCTTTTATCCCAAGCCCAGGGAAATAAACCAGGAGTGTACGGCGGCTCTGGCAGGAGTGGGGGAGGGAGGAAAGGAAGCTCTTCCCCGCTGACTGTACCTGCAAATCAGAGCTATCGCTATCGGCATTTGCAAAATGTCATTGTACCATCCGCCACCTGGTTTTGCAATCTTGAGAGGAAATCGCACGATCCTGGGCCTCCCCCGTTCTGGCCTGTGGTTTGGCATGTTGCTGGGGCAGCTCTTCAGCTAGCGGAGTCGGATTATACAATGGCTAAGCTTATTGGCACTCCAACATTAAACCTTGGAAAAAGAAAAAAAAAAGAAGAGAGCTATGCAAGACGAAGGACGGATTAACAAACTCCATGTATACACACAAGCTACAAAACCTCCAAAGTAACGTACGTACGTGTATTTTGCACCGAGCAGGCCCTGCTTTTTGGCCCCCAATTGGCATCCCCCCCCTCCAACGTCATCAAGAGGAGGAAGAAAAGGCTTGGGTGATTGCTTGTAGATTGCATTCAGTAGTCTATGCTCTTCATGGCCAGCTTCGATGCACATTCGCCCGGGCAAAATGAGTCTAGATCAGAGAAAATCAACCTTCTGGGGGTTGGAGGCCCAAAATCTAGCAATATCACCAGTTTCGAGGGCTAGAGTTGAAATCAGAACCATGATACCCTTATTTCCGGTGGTTGCAATTGGGCTGGCCCAAGGCAGTGTACTGTTCTGTACAGTACAGAAGACAGACTAGCTGCGCATCCACACCAGTCGATTAATGCTGGCAGGGGCAGGACCGACCCGCAACCCGCTATCTTGACTGTTGGAGGGTCAGGGAAATTCCGGGTTTCCATATGCTGTCAGTTCGACGATATCCACAGGATGGATCGAGTACAGAGTACAGAGTACCGGGGAGTATCAGAGCCGCATAGGGGCAACAACTGCCAGACTGACTTTTCTTCAAGCACCGGCCCGCACACCCGCAGTCAGGGTTTCGCGCCTTGCCCGCCCCCTTGGCCAAAGCTTGCCCGCATCGATCCCGGTGAGTATGAGTGTGATTAGGTACAGGATGTCCAGTATTATACAGCCCAGTACTCTAACGTTATACTGTACAGTCCCTCCTGTATTATGCATAAACCAACCACACCACAATCCGTTCACCTTATACTGTACCCGTGAGTGGACAGTAACTTACATTACCCAATTAATTCCCGGATCTTGCAACCAAACGTTATCAAAGCGAGCCAATAAGCCAGCCCTCCTGCTTGCACCGCATGCGCGAACTCCCCTTCGCCCCTCTTATCTGCACAGGACCCTTACAGTAGGGACACCAAATGGCGTTGGCTCGAAGGTCCGACGCTATTTCAACTGCGGCCCGGGAAGGGGGCGTGGACCGACCAAGATAGCTTAACTTACTGTTGACTTGTTGTATCATGCCCGAGTAGCCGGCTGCAGGCGGGGAGAACAAGGATTAATCGAGATCTACCTTCCCTCGGCGATGAGATGGCTCGATTCCCTGATCGCTTCACTTCCACTTCTTGTTAGACTAGGTACTATAAGTGCCGTACAAGTACATACATACATCCACAGTACCACGCCTCGTGACGGTAACCTACCACCCTGGGTGAAAGCAGACTCTCGGTATACTGTAGGTACAGCATATCCGGCAAATCCTGCGCGAGAATGGCGCGAAGAGGACCCATGTGGGCCGGGGGGGGGGGGAGGGGGAACCCACAACCCACCAATCAGAACCATACATATATACCACATAATCCACCTCCACTTGCAGAAAAAGAGGGTCGCATTAGGCTCGGTCTGAAGAAATCATCCATCGTGGACAGCGCCAGCACAATGCGGCTAGATTGGTTGAATTCCTATATACAACTGAGTCACGACTACTGCTAGACTGCCCCAACACCTTTCCCCCCCCCCCCCCCCAAATCCTTCAACGTCAATTGGTCCGCCCGTGGAGCAAGCGGGATCTCTCCCGTAACAAGTCAACTTGCGCTTCCATCGTCGGATGGTCGATGATATCCTCAGTGGACACGTCGATCGCGTGACGTCGGTACGTAAAGGCCAGACTGGAAGCCGTCCACGGGGCGGCGCTGAGCGCGTAGTACGGCAGTCTGGAGTCCCGGCCCGCTGCTCCTGGTCGTGCTGGCGATGCCCACAGGAAGGCCCACGCGCGATCAACCAGCGACCTGATTGCGTCGGTTTCAGACTCCGAATCCACTTGCGTGCTCGGGGCCAGCGGCCCTTCCAGGGTTTGTGGCGACGACGACGATGACTGCGCCGTCGCGGGGGTGGTGATGGAGAGGGGAAGCTGGGCGGGGCCGCCGCCGCCAGGAGCAATAGGGAGCGGCGCGTCCTGGTGCTCGGGGTGGCCGAGGGTCTCGAAGATGGCTCGCAGACGGGCCAGCATGCGTTCCGCCAGGGAGGGGGGCACCCGCGTCGGCGAGAAGCACAGCGTGATCTGGACGAGGTCGTCGGCCGGCTCGGGCCAGGCCAGAACCCAGACGTCCGTCGAGTCCCAATCCACCCCGTGCAGTCGCACCTCCCAGGATCCGCCGTGCGCGGCGTCCGGCATCGATTGCACCTCCTCAACGTTCTGATATTGGACCACCGAGCTGAATCGCGTCATGGGGGCCCAGTCCGTGCAGCGGCGCACGATCTCGCGCTCGCCCATCCATTCGTGCTCGAGGCTGTCGATGTGCTGCTGCTGCGTCTCGCGGAGGAGATCCACCGCCCGCTTGTTGTCGTTGCTGCGGCTGTTGGTCAGAGCGCGGAGACGCACGGGAATGATATTGACACAAGGCCCAAGGACCTGGTCGATCTCCGGATAGGCTACGCTTCGACCCGAGGTCAGGTGGCCGAAGACCACATCCGGCTGGTGGGTGAATTCGGCCAGCACCAGGGCCCAGGCCGCCTTGAGCACCGTCGCGGTCGTGATCCCCAGCGCGGAGGTGTTGCCCGCCACCGCCGGGGCTTGCAGAGTGACGTTGACGATGTTCGCATAGGACGGGCGAGACGAATCCACGATCGGGGTCATTTGCGACCCGCGCAGCAGCCCCTGCCAGTATGCCGCGGTTGCCTCGCGGTCTGTCGTCCGCTGCAGATGCTCGCACAGTTGCAGATAGGTCGGCCGGGCCGGGACAGCCCGCCCGTTGTAGATCGCCTGCAGGTCCTGGAATAGGATGTTGTCGGTCCAGGCGTCCTTGCGCGCATGCGAGTGCTGGAAGACAAACACGCTCGAGCCGTCCGGGCATTCGAGGATCGCCCCGCGGGTGCAGCGCTGGCTGAGGGTGCTTTCTTTCTGGAGATCGGCCGCGATCCATTCCCGGAGACGTTCTGGTCCGTGGGTGGTCCCCCCGGGGATGACCTCGATGGCCAGCTCCCACCTCCTGCACACCACCTGAAGAATGCACTGTTGGTATGGAAGGAATGCGGTGCGTAGAATCGGGGTCTGAGCCACCAGGGTGGAAAAGGCCGCTTGCAACCTCGCCGGCTCTATCCCCTGAGGAAAGTGGATGCTGGAGTAATGGGATGTTCCACGCGAGGCCATCGTTCCGAAGTAATAGCAATGAGACTGGAAGTCCCCCGCCTCACCCACAGCCTCGATCTGATCCAGAGAGACCCCGAGTGTTCCAGCGATCGAGTCCCGGAGCTCGGATGGCAGATCCGGAATGGGGCAGGATGAAGATGCCTTGGCCACAGCCAGTGGTGGTGGTGGTGGTGGTAGTGCGCGAACGGACGTCTGCTCCTCCTGGACGTGACAAAGGGTCGCCATGTCCGAAAGATCCTTGCTGCGGAAGATCTTCGCGACGGTGATGGAGAGACCCATCGTCCTCAGAACGCACACCAGCTTCATGGCATCAATGGAGTTACCACCCAGCTGCAGAAAGTTGTCGGAGGCATTGATCAGCTGCGTTTCAATCCCCAGGACCTCCGCCCACGCCCGCCGAACCGCGACCTCTGTTGGGCCGGTGACCTGCCTTGCCTGCGCCCCAGTAACGTGCTTGGTGATTTCCGTCAAGCTGAGACCCGAGACCAACTCACGCAGGGACTTGCGATCCCGCTTGCCCGAGACCGTCAGGGGGATCTTGCGTATACCGAGGAACAGGGTGGGCACCATCCACGACGGCAGAAGCTTCTGCAGCTTGCCCCGTATCTGGTCGGAGAAGGCCGGCTCGACACAGAGGTCCCCGTTGCTGGGAGCCGAGTCAGCGCAGAAGGCGACGAGGAACGGGTCTTTGCGATCGGTGAATCGAACAACCTCCGCGATGACGTCGACCAAAGTGCCCTCGCTCGCTTTGTGGATTGCCACCTCCACTTCGGCCAGATCCATCCTCTGGCCGCGGATCTTGACGGTGGCATCTTTCCGGCCGACGTAGCTCATCGTGCCATCTTCGTTGTAGCAACAGAGGTCGCCGGTCTTGTAGAACGGACCCTTGGCCCCCATCGCCGCGGCCCACCGAGGGGCCCTGACAAACGCCGCAGCGGTCTTCTCGGGTTCGTTGAGGTACCCGGATGCCAGCATCGGGCCCTCCAGGAGGAGCTCGCCGGTCATCCCCATCGGCCCCATCAGCTGGTGGTGATCGGACGGGCTGACAAGCCAGAGCTTCGTGGCGCCGCTGCGGCCGATATTGGTCGGGCTGCTTCCGGGCCAGAAGTGCGCCATCGACGGCCAGATTCCCCCCTCGGCGGGTCCGAAACTGTTGATTAGATGCACGCGGTGTGCCCAGGTAGCAATGATTTCACTCGTCGGGGCCTCTCCGCCGAGGATCAGGGTGTGGAGGCCCGGCACCTGCTCCGGGCGCAGCAACTTCGTGGACGAAGGAGTGAGAAAGAGCCAGTTGATGCGAAGTCGGTTCACAGCCTCGGCAAGATGGTTCATTCTCTCGTGATCCGGGACGATGCAAAGGGTGCCGCCGAAGATGAGCGTCAGGAATGTTTCCGTATTCGAGACATCTTGTAATCTATTGTTAGTACACCACGAACGCGAGCTAGCATGCAAGCAAGGGGAGTCAGGGCCATACCAAACGCATAGGCTGCGAACTGAAGCAGACGTAGCTCCGCCAGCCGGGCGAAGTCCATCGAGTCCCCCACCTCAGCAGCCAGAGTGCAAAGTGAACGGTGGCTCAACTCTACTCCCTTGGGCATTCCGGTGGACCCAGACGTAAACACCACAATGGCCGTGGTGGAGGAAGGGATGTTCTTCGGTAGCGGGGTCTGAACGTTGGGCAAACGATCAATGAAGTCGCGATCCATGACCACAATGTTGAAGCCCTCGCCCTCGAAACGTTGATGTTGAGATTCTCCCGCAATGAGCAGATCCGATCCAATAAATTGCACAATCTTGCGTAGTCTCTCGGTGGGATGCGAGGGATCGAGGGGGACGTACGCGGCGCCAGCCTTGAGGCAGGCTAGCTTGGTGATCGGGTCCATGATGGACTTGTCAAAACAGACAGGCACCTTGCTGCCGACCGTCACTCCCAGGCGGATGAGATGGCGAGCAAGCTTGGAGGTGATCTCGTGCAACTCGGCATAGGTCAGCGATCCATCCCATGCGTCAATGGCGGTTGCGGTCGGTTTCCGGACCACCGATCGAGCCACGAGGTCGTGAATCAATCCGTGAACCGCCGGGGTCAAAAGCTCGCTCTGGTTGATAGCGCGGATGAGTGCCTTTTCCTCCTCCACCAGTAACTCCAGCTCGTGGATTCTGGTGTCTTTGGCACAAGTGGTCAACTGCGTGAAGAACAGGTGAAGCTGAGAGATCATCCGCGCAGCGGTCTTCTCAGGCACTTGGTTGCTGTCGAAGGTGATCTGCACCTTCATTTCATTCGGGGCGAATTGACAGGCCACAATCAATGAGTTGGCGTAGTAATTGGAGACCGGGGAGAGTTTCTCGCTGGATTGCAGTGCGAGAACCCTCTCGTCCCAGGGCTGCGCTGCGCTCTCCATTTCAATGTCCAGAATCGAGTTGAAGTTGACCGCTTGCGCGGCTTCAGGGCTGAGCTTCCGCAGCTCGTCGAGAGATATATGCTGGAACGGTAGCAAGCGGTTCCCGTCACGCTCGAGTGTCTGAATCAGCTCCCCAAGAGATTTCCGCGGACTGCAATTCACTCGGAAGGGGATCGTAGTGACAGTGGGCCCCATGACGCTCTCGTTCTCGCCGGTTCGGCCGTTCAGAATAACGCCATAGGTCACATCTGTAGACTCAGTCAAGGAAGCCAGAACCAAACCCCACGCGGCTCGCGTGATAGTCGAAACCAGGTTTGACGGGGGCGATTGAGAAATGGCGTATCTCCCAGACACGGTTTTCTCTTCGCAAAGATGTGTCTCGCTCCTGTCCGTGAAGCCGATGGGACTGGTCTCGGATCCTGCGAGGTATTCCTTCCAGAATTTCAGGCTTTCGGCATTCTCCGAGCGCACCAGTTGTACGACCTTGCTGAATGGGACAGCCTCGTCCGACTCCCGATCCATGTAGGCATCGGTGACTTCTCTCGGAAGCTTTTCGAGTGTCCAGGCATCAAAAGCTGAATGGTGAGCAGTGATCACCACCTTCCCGGCCTCGGTGTTGGAACCGCCGGTTATCAAGCCCACTTTGAAAAGGGGTGATGGGTACGGCATCAGGTGGCGCGTCAGATCCTTCAAGTAGCTGTCTAGCGAGGGGAAAGTTGAGCACTGATCTGAGCTCATGGTTCGTCGCACCACCTGAAGGAGATCGCCGGAGGCAGCCTGCAGTATTCGGGTTCGGAATATGCTGTGTCGGTTAATGACCGTGTGCCACGCCTTGGCAAGTCTGTCCCCATCGATGCCAGGTTTGACAGAGAAGATATGGTGGCTGATGTACGCATGGGAGCTTTGTAGTGTGGCGTGCATGAACTGTGCTTGGAGAGGTGTGCAGGGATATACATCCTCAATATCAGTTTCCGACGAGAAGTCACCGTTGTTCTCTGAGAGAATGGAGGCAATCAGCTCCTTCCGATCATCCTCCGGGAGGAGCGAGGGTCTCTCCTGCAACAGGCTTTCTTGCTGAATCCGAACACGCTTGGCCATGTCTTTCAGAGCCGGATATTGAAGGATGTCGGCCACCGTCAAGTCCCCGCCGGCAGAGCCTCTCTGGCGAAGCATGGTCGCAAGCCGGATGGCCGTGATTGAATTGCCGCCCAGTGCCGTGAACTGACTATTGGCGCCAATATTAGTCGGGTCAATCTCAAGCAACTGGGACCACAATGACTGCAGCTCCTGTTCGACTCCTGGTGCCGGCGGAACCAGATTCTTGACCTGGAGGAGAGAATACGTTTCCAGGTCGTTGGACTCATCTGAGAGCCGAGCAGCATATTCCCGCAGTCGTTTCCGGTCCAGCTTGTCGGATGCAGTGTGTGGGAGCTGTGCCATGGGGATGAAATGGGTCGGAACCATGTAATTCGGGAGGAAGCCGGAGATCTCATTCACAGCCTCTCCGCATGCGTGGCGGAATTCATCAGTCATCTCAGCCACTGCCATGATCCCTTGCTCGTTACTTGAACTGACCTTCACAAAGGCGAGCAGGACCTGTGTCTTGGATGGAAGGGTGGCAACATCGACCGCTGCCTCCTTGCCGAGGGACTTGACCAGATGATGTTCAACCTCTGCTGTTTCCAGGCGTTGCCCACGAAGCTTCACCTGAGAGTCAACCCGTCCGAGAATCCAAAGACTCCCATCCTGGGTGAACTGACACAGGTCTCCGGTTCTGTATATAAGGCCGTCTTCGATCCCCTCTAGGCATGGGGGTGCGGGGACAAAAGCTGCATTGGTGGCCGTCTCGTTGTGAAGGTAGCCCTGGGCTAGTTGCCGTCCCGCCACAACGAGCTCACCCACCGCGCCCCGAGGCAGAGGATTTTGGACGTTGTTGGGGTCCATGATCCAGGCTCGCGTATTGATGGGGAAGCCAATGTTCCTTGGGTCTTGATCCCCGCGTTCGACCACGGCCATGGTGGAGAAGAACGTGTTCTCTGCAGGTCCATACCCATTGATCAAGGTCAGATGGCTTTCAGACCATCTTTCATAGATCTCCCGGGATGGAAGTTCTCCAACCATGACTATGGACTCTAATGTGGGAACAGAAGAGGGATCATCGAGTGTCTTGAGCGCTGATGGGGTCGAGAAGAGCCAATTGATCTTCCACCGGCCGATCAGCTCAGCCAGGTGAGAACGGTCTTTGTTGGTCAGAAACAATGTTCCACCGGCGATGAGAGTGACCAGGATCTCGAATGCATGGATGTCTAGATACGCAGTGAGTATGATTCCGGCTCATGTAGGGGTTAATTTGCCTGGGTGCAACACATACCAAACGCCCATGCTGCGTTGCAAAGAACGCGGCTGTTGCGTGTAATGCGGAGTTGTGGGCCGAATAGTCTGGCGTGCGAGGTGATGGCGTCATGAGAAAGGACAATCGCCTTGGGCCTCCCAGTGCTCCCTGATGTAAAGACGATGACTGCGGCGCTGTCGGCGGAGCATGTTCGACGGTCAAGCTTCTTGCTGCTCCACTCGAGGGTCTCGAGCGAGGCCAAGAAGGAATGATCAATCACCTGCAAGGTCGCCGTGACTCCCAACAACCTGTCACTCAGCACTGAAGATACAAGGCATATTTGGGCTTTGACCTGCTGCACCATATCGCGGAGACGCTCGGCAGGGTGAGTAGGGTCCAGAGCAGTATACGCGTACCCGGCCTTCAAGACAGCGAGAATGGCAATGATCGCATTCAAGGACTTCTCAAATAGCAACGGAACCACGATAGTATCCCCTTCCAGGTGAAGTGATTGAAGATACCGAGCCAGGTTGGTACTTTTGCTGTCCAATTCGGCGAAGGTCATGGTTCCCTCCCAAGAAACCAGAGCTTGTTTCTGTCCCATGTATGAAGGGCCCTGAAAAATGAGATCGCATATCAACGAGGGGTTTACCGTGGGGTCATTGGATTTCAAGTGACCTGCCTCCGCTTGTTCTTCCTTACCAACAACTGGACATGGGCGCAAATCCACCAGTGTCTCGTCTGGCTGGGCGTAGAAGATCTGCGTCGTCAAACTGGCAACGGTTGTCAGGACAGAGCTCATGATTCTCGATGGGATCCGGGTGCTGTCGTAGATAGCCTCGAAGTCCACTCCACCTTTGGTGATTTTCACCTCCAGGACAAGATCGTTGGTGTAGTAATCCGCCGTCTGGGCACTCAAGGTCTGAGGCTCGGTGGATACAAACATGGAGTCGAACTCGGACCGGTCAAAGTCATCTGGCTGGATTACAAGGATACTCGAGGCATCCAACGACTGCGAAATATACTTCTCGATGTTCTGCAACCCGGTTTGCTCGAAAGGAATCATTTCGGCGGCTTGCAGCCTGATAGACTCCAAGAACTCTCGGACTGTCCAATTCCTGTTGATCTGGCATCGGATCGGTACAGTCGTGACTGTAGGGGCGTTGAGAGACCATATCCCGTCTACAAACGCATTCCTACCAGAGAGCATCTCAGCGAAAACCAGATCTTCCGAGAACGTAAATGTGCTGATGGTGAGCGCCCACGCAGCTCGAAGGACGAGAGGAATAGTCACTCCCAGTTCACTAACAGCATTCGACTGGTTGGACGGGAGATCGAGATGGTGAAAGAGATGATTCTCAACGCGGGGCTGAGCAGTGCATGGTGCTCGGATCAGGAAGTCGGTCGAGGGACTGCCTGACAGCTGCGCTCTCCAGTAAGAGGCCTCTTTCCCTTTGTCTCTCTCGGACAGATAAGCCATAAATGGAGCGAATGAAGACACTTCTTGCGATGACTCGGGATACATGTAAAGGCCGACCACCTGCTGCTGTATCTGTACCAGACTAAACCCGTCGAAAACAGCATGGTGAAGCAGCAGCGTGAGGGACGCCCGGGGTTCAGCCGAGATCTCGAACCGAAACAGCGGCGTTCCGTATGTCATCGCGGTCCGCGAGCCAGTCGCAGATATATTAGAGGGGGACGTCGACCGGGTCACCAGCTGTAGGGAACCCAGCACTGGATCAAGAAGGATTCGAGTCCGAAGAATGGGATTTGCTTTCACCACGCGATTCCAGGCCGATCGTAGTCTCCCAATGTCAATGTTTTCCTGCAATACATACTCGAACTGTGCGACATATGCACCGGGCTGTTTCGCACCGAGGGCCATCATACCTTCCTGCGTCGGAGTACAGGGGTATATGTCCTCAATATCCTCCTCGCTGAGATCAATCCATTGTCTCTGCAAGATTTCCGACACGGCGGTCCCAGAGGGTAGGAGACTCAATGGTGGCAATTTCACCGGGCCATGGCCCTCACTGGTGGACGAGAGATGCTGAGCCATTTCGACAAGAGAGGGCGTACGGAAGATCTCTGAGACAGACAATTCGATCTGCCTTCCTCGAGCAGTAGCTGAGAGACGCATCGCAGTTAGAGAGTCTCCTCCGGATCGGAAGAAGTTGGATTTGGCGTGCAACGTGCGTGGATCCAGGTGGAGTACTTTCGCCCAAAGCGATGCGAGAAGAATCTCTTCCTTCGTCTTCAATGGTTTGGCATCAGTATCTTTGAGTTCCTGTAGGCGGTATGCCGCAATTTAATCCTGTGTGAGGTTCTTCAAAGTGTCACGCAAAGTCTGTCGATCCACTTTGCCGGAGCGAGTCATGGGGATGGTGGTCACCGGAATATAGATGCGTGGTACCATATAACTCGGGATCTTATCTAGTAAACTCTTCTCGCATCGTTTGATGAGATCCCCCAGTTCTTGGGTGATTGGCAGGACAGAGAATTCATGTAGGGATTGATCGAGACGTAGGAATGCAAGCAATGTTGGGGATTGATCCGCCAAGCTCACAAAATCAGCAACAACGTCAAGAGCTCCAGAAGCTTGCTGCACATGCGTAGCGACCTCCAGAAGTTCAACACGTTGCCCACGGATCTTGACCTGCGCATCCTTCCGACCTACAAATATAAGACTTTCGCCGGTGGTTGAGAATCGGACCAGATCGCCGGTTTTGTAAAAACGAGCTTCTGTGGGGGCCCATGCAACATCGGTCACAAACGCGCGAGCAGTCTGATGCCCGTCTTCAAAGTAGCCACGAGCCATATTTGGGCCTTCGACGAGGAGTTCGCCGACAGCCCCTCGGGGCAGGAGAATATGGTGGTTCTGGGAGTGTACGACCCATGCCCGCCCACAGGGTAAAATCCCGATGTCGTTGATTTCTCCATCAGCCACAATGGGGTTTTTGACACTCGTCACAATGGCTGTTTCCGTAGGACCATAGGTGTTGATCAGGGTGACATCGGTGTCCGCCCATTTCGCTACCAGTGTCGGCGAGCTCAATGCCTCCCCGCCAAGAATCAAAGTTCGGAGACTTGGTACGGTGGCAGGATCCAGTGTGCTCTCAAGAGACGGGGTGATATCAAGAGTATTAGCCCCCAGGCGAGTGAATGAGCCAGTTAGATCATCGCGACGCTCACTCTCTCCCGCCACGCAAACACATCCACCAGTGATTAAGGTAGTAAAAATATCTTCGATGCTTGTGTCAAAGCCATACGATGCGAATTGATACACCCGAGAGCCGGGTCCTCGCTCAATGTGAGGTGCTCGAGTTAGGGCACCGACACAGTATGCTGCGTGCTCAACTTCCACTCCCTTTGGCTCACCTGTAGAACCTGACGTAAACATAATGTAAGCTAGGGAACTGGAGCTGACCTCTGGGAGTGCTGCCTGCGCAGGCTTCCTGTGCAATGTTGGTAGGTGACTGGGGCAAATGAGGCAACGCCCGGTATTCTGGAACAATGTAGCTTGTTCTGCTGGTGCGAGAATCACCGTGGGTTGGACACGCTGAATTATCCGTTGCAGACGGTCTGGTGGATTGGAGGCATCCAAAGGTAAAAACGTGGCACCGGACTTGAGTACAGCCAACATTGAGACGATGACCCAGGGCGACTTTGGAGAACAGATCGGTACAATAGAGGAGGAATCAATACCGGCCTCAAGCAATGCGTATGCAGCATCTGTCGATAGTCTATCCAGAGTTTCGTAGTCCCAGGAGACGTCCGTAGAGTTGACACTCGGTGCTGTAGGTTGTGATTGCACTTGACCGTAGAACTTGGTATGAATGCAGCTTGAGCCTAATTCATATAGAGAGAGACGACCCTCATGTGGAATGTCAAGATCGGCTTTGGTGAAAGGGTTGAAACTGGTCACAGATGTCTCGGGGTTTGTCGAAAGAAGATGCTCGAGTATCTTCGACTTTTGCCTGAGAAGTGACAGTGCCAACCGGTGCGGTATTGCGTCTGTCTGGTAGGTCAGAACCAACTCGACGCCGCCATTGAGCTCTTTGCATTCCATGACAAGTGGGTATGACTCTATCGTCTCATCCAGGCTGTCAATCCGGGTAACAGAGTCCAGTTCAGAAGCCGGCTGGGCGGGTTGAATGATGAGCAGAGAGTGAAACCGACAGGCTTCTTCCATGTTCGCACTGCATTTTCGTATTCCCAAAAGCCCAATGTGGTCTTGGGCTGCCATCCTGATGGAATCAGACTGCACCCCACTCAAAATATCCGAAATGCTGCTATCACCCGTGAACTGAATTCGGTACGGGACGGTGGTGATCGTTGGTCCAACGACGGAGAGCACACCCGGCATCGAAGAAGATCGGCCCCAGTTTGTACAGCCAAAGACTACATCGGAAGAATTGGAGTACATTCCAATGAGGTAGGCCCATGCTGTCTTCAGGTATGATGCAAGGGTAAAGGGCCGATTGGCGCTATTTAATGGAGCCGCGAGTCGTAAAGTCTTGGAACCTGATCCAGTATCGCGAGGCCAATGCGAGGCTGGTGCACCATCAAGATACTCTGCCCACCACCTCCTCGCTTCATCCTTGGGAAGCGAGGCCTGGTGCTCAATGAAGCTCTTGAAGGGGACAATGCTGGTTGGGGCCGACGGGTTCTGGTAGATCGCAGCCACCCGATTGAATATCAAAGAGATGGATACTCCATCAATGAGACTGTGGTGAACATTCCACACAATGAAGATCTTCCCATCACTCTCTCGAATAGCGAGCTGTGATAACGGACTTCCATACGACGAGATGCTCTTTGCATCAAACCCTGTGCCAACACTGCGATCACTTTTCCAGGTCACCTTTTCGTCAATCACGGCCTGGAGGGCCAGATCTCGGTCAGATAAGTAGACTAATCGCGTTCGAAGGATTTCTAGCTCATCATAGATCTGTTCCCAAGCTCCCTTGATCCGAGCTAGGTCAACGGTTGGCAGAGCCTCCATGCAATACGTCGAGACGTAATTGTCCTGGGAGCTTTGACTTAAAGCTATCAGATCTTCCTGCAGAGGTGTCACCGGGTATAGGTCCAGAACTCGCTCTGGACTGACATTACAGAGAGTAGCAGCTTCGGCGATTACCTCTGACAGGCTTGCAGGATCGATCAGACTGAATGGTGCAGAGATAGTGGATAGGTCTGACTCAGTCTCGGAGAGTGATGTCGACCAGAGGCTGGGAGTTTCAATCCCAGCAGAATCATCATCATCGTCGTCGTCATCATCGCATGACATCACAGGGAGCTTAGAGCATACCGCAGCCATTTCACTCAATTTGGATAGTTCCAAGATCGAGCCAAAAGACAGATTCAGTCGTTCAGCACGCGCAGCACCGACCAGCTCCATGGCACTCAGCGAGCTGCCTCCGAGCCGCACAAAATCGCTTTGCGGTCCAATAGAGCTCTCGTTTAATTTCAGAACTCTGGCCCACAGGCTGCGGAGGAGTAACTCATTCGTCGTCATGGATGCATCGGAGCTAGATTTATCATCTTTTCCAATTTGCATTTGTTCTTGCTCATACGCTGCGAACACTTGACGCAACGACTTCACGTCCGCCTTGCCATTGAGGGTAAGCGGCAGTTTTTCAATGGAAAGGAAATGACTTGGGACCATATAAGACGGCAAGATCGCTGCCACAGCTCTTCTGATGGATTCGATCTCCTTTTGGATGGGCTCCGAACATGGCAGCCCAGAGGCAGCCGCGAAGCTCTTCTTGAATTCCACGAATGCCGTCAGACTTTCCCGCGGTCGAAGGGCTGTTCGCCCGCTGTACAGCACCTTCACACGAGCCAGAGAATCCGACGCTTGTATGATAGTGGTCTCGATCTCTCCGAGCTCCACTCGTTGGCCTCGGACCTTCACCTGGTCGTCGGATCGTCCGATGAAGTTATAGGACCCATCGGCGTTTTGTCGAATCAAGTCGCCGGTTCGATATACGCGACGCGGATGCGAGGCCACATTGTCTCGGGGAAGCCACGGGGGCTCAACGAGGAAGGACTTTGCAGTGGCTTCCGGATTCTTGAGATAGCCTCTGGCCACAATGCGACCCTCGATCACCAGCTCGCCAATCTCTCCCGGAGCAACCAAGACCGTGGGGTCCTGCGGTTTGGTCACCCAAAGTCGCCCGCCGATTGGAAAACCAACATTGGCAGGGTCGGAGTCCTTGGTACAGGGCAAGCTCCCCATGCAGTAGACCGAGCACTCTGCCGGGCCTGTGCAGATGATCAGATCTACTGACTCGGCCCAGTTCTGGATGTTCTGATGTGTGGCTGCTTCACCTCCAAGCAGCAAAGTCCGAAGCGATGTTACGGAGGCTGGATTGACCGTCGCGGCCACTGAGGGAGTCAAGAACGCCCAGTTGGCCTGAAGTCGTGTGAGAGTATCACTCAAATTCTCCAGTCGCTCCGCTTCGGAGGGGGTACAGATACATGCCCCGCGCATCAAGGAGAAGAAAATGTCCGCCACGCTGACATCTATACATCACATGAATCAGCCCCACCCAGTCCCCACCTCTAGCCTGAAAGATACTCACCGAATGTATAGGACGCAAATTGGAACAGGGTTGATCCCCCATTTCGAGCCATGAGCAGCAGAGCAGGTGCAGAGGGAGCCATGCTCCACAACAATTCCTTTCGGCTCTCCTGTGCTTCCGGATGTGAACAAAATATACGCTGCATTCTCAGGGGTAATCATGGGAAGCAGGTCCTTGGATGGAAGGGGTGGTAACGCGGTCACTGTGTCACGAGTGATGTTAATCAGGTCTGCCTCTCGAACCCCCTGCAATCTTCCATCGGTCACGTTGGTCAAGATGATGGACGCGCCGCATTGTCGAACGATGCTGCTAGTTCGCTCGACTGGATAGCTCGGGCTGATGTTTGCACAGGCTCCGCCGGCCTTCATGACTGCAAGCATGGCAACAATGGCCCATGCCGACTTTTCAAAAACCAGGGGAACCACAACTTCGGGGCCGACGTTTCGTGCCTGGAGCATCAACGCGACGCGATTGGAGTAATCGTCCAATTGCCGGTATGAGAGGGAGGCATCATGGGATGCGATTGCTGGTGCATCGGGAGTTCGGGTAGCTTGCCGGTGGAAGGCATAGTGCACGCAATCATTCACTAGTGGTGGATCGGGCTGCTGGCAGGAACCAAGCATTGTGACGGCCATGACTATCGGAATTCTGGATTCACAGCAGCTGGGGAGAAACTTGTACTTGCCCGGAGAGGAAGTTTGAATGAGTTTGATTGATAAAGTCACCGGCTTTACCACTCTACGTCCAAAGTGAATGTTATATGTCTCGGTTGTCCACATCGCTGATGCTGATACCATGGGAGAGCGATTAGACGTGATGCAAAGTACCTCTCCGTCAGCCACTCTCAGAGCCGGAATAAGCAAGCAAGCAAGCAGCTTCAGGAGATGATCAGAAAATACTTGTGGAGCAAGTATTCTTACTCTGTCCGGTGATTTGCGGCTACGACACAACCCTTTAGTTGCAGCGAATCAAAGTGGAAATGGATCCTCGTACGGTCTACGTGGAACGAAAAACGACAAAGCTGACCGCATCATCCAGTCCAGGCTTCTGTATTCAAAGATGTCTATGGAACAAGATGAGGCTGACTCTTCTAGGGCTGGAATGTTGTCCGACCTGGTGGGGGGTGGATTACTCAGCCATCTATATCGAACAAATAATCCAGTCTGTAATCCATTGGGTCGATTCAGCCATGGCTTACGTGATTTAATCCAGATCGCAGAGTCAAACTCGCCTAAGGTCTCTCACCGTACGCACATTTGGGTGAGCTTGAGAATTTGGATTATTCGGGTGGCTGACCTTGAAAGCTACCCTGTCGTGATGGAAGACCACGCAATGTGATCCATGTAGTTTACTATTTGACGAAAGCGTGGCAACTGATGCCCGCCTGCCCACAGCTTGTTTCCTGACTTCTGACTCTGTTGGTAGTCAAGTCATCACCCAGCTGTCCCTATGCGATCAGATAGACATCTGCGAGATCAAGCGGGCTGTGATCTTTCCATGTAACCCGCACCTCACTTCCCTCCTTCCTGACCTGCTCAGCTCAGATAACTCGCTGTCCTAGACGCCTCTTTTCCCACCAGAAGTTCGTACTCCGGCAACCCAGTGACGGCATCTAAAACACTTTAATATCCCCAATATGGAGATGCCTCATGAGGCCATGAACATGACGCCGACGAAGGCCCCTTGCTCATTTGCCAGGGAATCAGGGGGAGTGACGAACAATAGCCCTACACTGTCGATAGATGCGGGGTTCGGCGCAACGCAGACATCTAGCGTCCAAGATAGGCCAAGCTCCCCAGCCTCATGGCGCTTTGCCATCATGATGCTCTGTGCCGGCTCCGCTGTATTTCTAATCGGATATGTAAGTTGTGGGTGGGCTCCGAAGACGTAGTTCCGTGAGAAGAACCCCCGGCTAACCATCATCATCAACGCTCGCCTCATGATCTACAAGGACAGTAACTGCGTTGCTACAATAATTCCCGTGTTGGTTGAAGATTTCCATGCCACCGAGGACATGGTATGGTATAGCTCGGCATAGTGAGTGCCGACTTGCTCGGTTCTGGTGAACAATCCGGCTGATGCTCTCAAGCCTGATGACCTCGGCCGCATCGGTCCTGAGTCTCGGGAAGATGTACAATCTCTATCCCTTCAAGATCATCTTCACCATCATGCTGACGATCTTCCTGGTGGGATCCGTTATCTGTACCGTGGCGCAGAATTCTGTGACCTTCATTGTGGGACGTGCGATCACCGGCATGGCCAGTGCCGGGATTCTCTCAGGCATGAACATGTAAGATCTTTTTACACAAACAACCACACACACACACACACACACACACACACACATGCACACGCACGCACACACAACCAGTGCATAAGATGCTAATGACAATCCAATGTGGGGCAGACTAGTGTCGCGCATCTGCTCGCTTGAAAGACGACCCTTCTGGCAAGGGGTGGTGGGGATGGCGGAGTGCGTCGCCATCTGCGCCGGCCCCCTGATCGGGGGCGTTCTGGCCGAGTACGGAGGCTGGCGGTCCTGTTTCTATGTCACCATCCCCATCGCGGTCATCAGTCTCATCCTGGTGTTGGTGCTCTTTCAGGACATCGAAACCCCGCCGGACGCCCATCTCCCCGTCTCGGAGAAACTGTCCCGCTGCGACCCGCTGGGCGTGGCACTGCTCGTCCCCACGATCGTCTGCCTCATTCTCGCCCTCGACTGGGCGGGCACGTACTACGACTGGGCCAACCTCCACGTGCTGCTCCCTCTTGTCCTGGCCGTCTGCTTGGCCGGCGCGTTTGTGGCCTGTCAGGTGTGGCGAGGCCCTAAGGCCACGCTGCAGCTCGGATTGCTGCGTTCGCGGACCACCTTCGCGTGCATCCTCTACTCGGGCTTTATGGCAGCGAGCCTTTACATCATCGCCTACTACGTGAGTAGACCCTAAGGCCGCTGGGGACCACCAGACTAACGAGTTGTAGATTCCACTCTGGTTCCAAACCGCGCGAGAAAAGAGCACTCTAGGTAAGTCCGTGGCCGCGTAGGCGCCCAAGTCCCCCGATTCTATACCTCCATCACGGATGGATCTGAGCCGGATCCCAAAACCAAACCGCAAAAATGAAAGAGATAAAAAGCTTATCAAGACTTAGAATCTGGTATCTCGACCCTCCCGATGGTCCTGGGCCTCTCGGGCTCGCTCTTCCTCTCGGGCTCCATCACCTCGTACATCGGCTACTACACGCCGGCGCTGATCCTGGGCAGCTGCCTCCTGACGGTGGGGACGGGCCTTCTCACCACACTGACGCTCGACACCCCGACGGCGCGGTGGGTGATCTACCAGGCCATCTACGGGATCGGCTGCGGCCTCGGCTGGCAGGCGCCGTACATCGCGGTGCAGACGGTGCTGCAGTCGAGCACCGACGCGATCACGCTCGGGATCGTGCTGGTCGTTTTCGCCTTCACCGTCGGCGGGATCGTGGCTCTGGCCGTAGGCCAGAACATCTACCTGACGCGCCTGGTGCGGCGGCTGCGCCCGATCGACGCGCGGATCATCATCACCACCGAGCAAGTCAATCGCCTGGGCATGCGGGGCCTGATGCAGTTGCTGGGTCCGTCGGCCGAGCCCCGGATTTTGCAGGCGTACAATGATGCGGTGGTCGATGTGCTCTACAGCGCGGTCGCCGTCGCGGGGGCCTCGCTTCTGTGTGCGTTGTGCGTGGAGGTGAGGAGCGTAAGGGAGAAGAAGGATCACAAGGAAGGGGAGAATCTGGAAACAGGATCGGACTGAGTGAAGTGAAGTGAGAGGGAATCGCCCTCGCTATTCTATCAGACTGCGAATCACACCTGGTTATGTTCGGCTTTCCCTGGAAGACTGCCTAGTAGCTCAGAGCCTTATACAAGTAAGGAGCTATAAGAAGCCGCGGAAGAGGAACAGACAGACATAAAAGCAAAATCCAAGCCCTAGTTTCCTCCCCACATCACCCCGAAAGGGAGTGTTACACGCGGTAGACACAAATATTCATCCCCCAGCTCTGTCCCCACAGACATTATTCGTGTACGCCACGGTGCCCGTGCATCCCATGCCGACGGCGAAATTAAAGATGGCCATGAAGACTCCGCAGAGCACCCCGGGGTAGCCGTGGGCGATGGCGGCGCCGAGGCCGAAGGAGTCGGTGGCCATTGCGATTATGGCGAGGAGGAGGACGGGGAGACGGGATTCCGGGGCAGCATGCGTGGGTACGGTTTCATCGGGAAGGTTGGAATTGTCGCTAGTGGCATTTGCTGAGGAAGGAGAGGGGGGCAGAGCCCGATTGCACCAGTCGCACAGCCATCGCCCCAGCATTGTCCCCAGCGCGGAGCCGATCAATGGAGCCACCCCCGTCAGGTTGCCTCCGGCGACGGTGCTCATGTTGCAGGGCGGCGCGGTGAAGATCTGCGATGCCACGGCACCTACTAGTATCGTCCAGGTGAAAGTCACGGACCACATGATGCAGCCCCAGATGACGATGGGGTGCAGGAGGAGGGCCAGGGGTGAGAGGAGGGATGTCCCCAGGGTTTCGAGCTGGTTGGTGGGTCGTCGCGGGGGTTGGGGGAGGGTATGTGTGGACATGCAGATACAGGGGAGCTTGTGATTGTTGCTTCCTCGAGTTTCTCCGTATTTGACGTGGATGTTGTCAATGTGTCATCTGCCTCGTCATCCCGGTCCGAAGGGATCGACGTCTCTGGGAAACAGAACACCGCCGCCCCGAGCAGCAGGCCAAAAAGAATGACCTCCAGCCAGAAGCTTCAGCGCCAGGACAACCCCAAAATGATATATCCGCTGATTATCGGGGCCAGATTGACGGAGACGATGACGGCAAAATTCCAGAGCCCGACGCGCAGGCCCCGTTCGTGCACGCGGAAGACCTCGTTAATGGACAATGTTCCGGCTAGCGCAAAGAACCCTTCCATGCCTAGTCCTGTTGGTCATAGAGGATCTCAATATGTCGGTATCGTAGAGAGGTTCTTGGATATTGGGGCAGACCTTGGAACACGCGGGATGCGATCAACGAGGAGTACGACTTCGCAACTGCAGCCCACCAGCATGAAATCAGGACCAAAAGCGTGGTGAATAAGTACACTGGTCGTCTGCCGAAGCGTGACGGAGGTTGGATATGTTTCGTCGGCACGCTGGATGCGACTGGGAACCTGTACAGAAGCCTTGGAAGTTTCAAACCAGACGATTAGCGCTTGTTGTCGAGGCCTCCCCGAGAAAGAATTTAGTTTAGTATATCTACCCCTTCTGCGTATTTTAACTTTAGTATGTTTAAATATTATAAAGTTATTAGAAGTAAATAAGTTTTGCAAAGCTGCTTAGCTTTAAAGATATTGAAATACCTATAAATACTACACATCCTGTAAAAGCTTGTTCAGTATTATATTTATTTTATATTCATATCTATAAAAAGAATCTGGAGTCACTTTCTACTACTACTATTTTTTTTGTATTAAAAACTAAATTATCTACAACCTATCAGTTAAATTTGTTATTATAGAATAGAGCATATATCTAAATGTGGAGCTACAAAAGTGAGATGATACAGCTGGGCAAGAATTCTATTCTTCGAGTAAAAAGAAAGGAGGAAGGCCCTCCGGGCCTTTATTTTATACTATATATATATATAGCTGCTTAGGTGTTTAAAATATTTAAACTAACTTATCTAATAGATTAAACTTTTATGTATAAAACAGCTGGTCTAATAACTGTTACCAGCCTAACAGGGGCTACTAAAATAATTTCCTACCGGGCGGCGGGGTTCTGCCTGTCCAGCGAAGCGCCGGTCTCAGCCATCCCACACGTGATCTTGCACACAGTGAGGACCCTTATTCCGCCGCCGTCCGACCCCAGTGATCTCGCCTCGTGCTCCTGGCAAGGTGATGTTGAGGCGGAAATATCTGAACGGTTTCTCTATCTGGGGATGAGATGAAGTTGGGCTTTAACTTGTGTGTACATGGATGACTCCCATATTGCGTGGCACCTCATCCTCCCAGGGGGGTGGTGGAAGTCATACATTTCGGGCGTCTTTGTTGACGATTCTGCTTTCCTGAGTGTCTATAAATATTTATCTCAGCCTTCGGCCGGCAGTCCTCTCTTGCTTTTTAGTAAGTCCTCCAGCTCTAAGCCTGGGTTTCGAATAAGTGACCTGCGCAGAGTCAAACAACGCCAACCTTGACTATTCGCTCTGTCGTACTTCAAGTATCATGTGGTCATCGAGCCTCCTCTCTGATTACAAACTTCCTGTGTGTCGCTGCTATGCTTTCCTTGACTGTTCACAGTCACGAGCTTGCCATCGTGTTTGGAATGGAAACACATTCAACGCCTCAGCCCGTTGGACCTGCAACCTAATCATGAACCACGGCATGGGGACTGACCCGCCGGATGTGGTGGCCAAAGAAATAGAAGATGTACGGAATAAAGGCCATGGCGGCGCTGATCGCCCCCAAGATGGTTAAGGTATAGTGGACGCCGATGCTGGAGTAGATCGGGCTTCCGGCAACGGTGATGCCGCCGGACGCCAGGTACCGGGGCATGACAAGCATGGCGAAGGCGGACGCCGCGCCCGCCTCGTACGCATCGATCACATATAGATGCGCACTGACGAAGACGGTTGTGATGCCGAACCCGAAGACCGCAGACGCGATGATGGGAGACCAGACACTGATATGAGGCTAGAAAACCAGGTGCGATCATCAGTAACCCATTATCAGGTATGCATATATATCGAGAGCGAGAAAGAGAGAGAAAGAGAGAGAAAGAGAGAGAGGGAGAGAGAGAGAGAGAGAGAGAGAGAGAGAGATCTCAGTGGGAAGTAGGTGACTTACGTAACTAGTCCAGCCCATCCAGAAGAGACTGATTGGGATGGCTGGGGCGCCTCCAAGCATAGCGTACCACAGTCGTGTCTCCGGGCGGATGCGGCCCAGGGCTTCTTGTTGTTTCTTCGAAATGTGCCAGACAAACGGGACCTGGAAGAGGATGAACATCGAACCGATAAACATAGCAATCCACGTCACGTTGTTCATCCCTTCGGAAAAGTGATAGATATCCTCGAAAATAAATCGGTACCCCTCGAGGAATAAGAATAGAATGATATAGATTGCGATCAGGTAGAGGGAGGTCAGTACAATAATCGGTTCGGTGATAATCCAGGCGAAGGGTCGGGAGGTCGCAATCTTCAGTCGTTGTCCCAGGGAGATCTCGCGTACTTCGGCTGGTCCTCTCCAATGCGGCTGCCCAGAGTATTTGCGCAGCGCGGCGGCTTTCCACGTCAAGAGGGTATCCTGGTGCGTCTCCTGCTGGAACAAGATCATAACCACAAACATTAACCCCCCGAAGATCAGCATGATCCATTCCAGCCACCGAAATCCGATGGTGGTGGGGATATAACTTCCTATGACCTGTCCGATCATCGGGCCATTGAACGCGGGAATTGTGTAGATGACGAAGCCGTATGTCTTCTGCAGCGGATCCCACAGGTCGGCGACGGTCCCGCCGACGCAGGTGAGAGGAGTCGCTGCGAACAGCCCCGCCAAAAAGCGGAAAATGAGATGACTCTGAATATTAGGTGCCAGACCGGCCGCCATAATCCAGATCAGAAAGACAAGCATCGTCACGATATACACCATATTCCGGCCGAAGGTCTCGGAGAACGGCCCGGATATGAAGGAGCCGAGGCCGAGGCCGATCATGAAGAGGCCTGGTATCTTGTGTCAGTGACCAGCTGCGAAGAGTAGGACGAGGATGAGCCGGAAGCATACCAGTTACCAATGAGCCGACCACCTTCGAGACACCCCAGTGTTCACTAATCTGCGGCACCCCGGCGGAATCTATGGCGGAGGCTGCTGTACACGAAAGCCCAACCAAGGCGACTAGAACTGTCATCCAGGCCTTCCGGCGCGGACTGTACTGGCGTGGACTCAGGTGTATATCATAGTCATCCCAGCCGACCACGACAGTCTGCGACTCTGGGGCCGGGGCTTGGTCTTTCTCGGTGGGATCTGTCACACCGGAGGAGTTGTCCGGAGATTTGTCCCCCGCATCCCATGTACCTTCCTCTTCTCTTGAAGGTGCATCATACTGGCGCTGGACAGCTTGGTGGATTCTTCGATACTGTAAGTAGGACTGCATGCTTGGAGCGCTGTGAGAGAGGTAGGTGACTCTGATGAGACCCAGCCAGATACCATGCTTGGATTGTCATTCCCATTTTTTTCTAAGCCTGGGAGTGAGCTGGCACATATAGTCTGTCGATGGCTTACTAAAATTCGAGACTCAGGTCAAGCCATGGGCGGGCCTGTCGTACAATAGAATCGGTCAAGCGGACATGTAATCCATGACACCTTACCTATTCACGGACTTGATTCTATCTAAATTAGGTCTAGAGATCGTGGGGCTTGCCACATCTTATCATCCAATCATAGACGGGTCCGGCCGATACACTTTTCTTGCGGACGGATAGCATGCCGATTGGATGATTTGTTTCTTATACGTCCCGAGCGAACCGGAACCAACGGTTGCAACACGATGCATGCGGTGTTTAAGAGGAGATCTGAGTTGAGACCCTCGGTGGTGGTTCTCACTCTACGTAATTTTAAACAATCCGAGCTGCTGGGATATGTCTCCCTCCCCTTCTAGTGAATTCGTCCGATGAACTCCATGCGTCCCCCCGTGATGGATTTTTCATCCGCTGAGACACCTACCACGGCCCAACGGAAGCGACAAAAGGTTTTCGTGGCCTGTGCACCGTGTCGCCGCAAGAAGGTGAAATGTGATGCCGTTCATCCAAGTAAGTGCCTAATTGAGGCCCGTGTCGGTTTTTGTCACCTCTGATGATTTCTGGCCGTAACCAAAGTCTGCACGGGCTGTCAAAGGAGTTCTGACCAGCAGCAATGCTTGTATACCTCACGAAGGCTCGATAAGCACGGAACGCCGGTTCTAGCCCGGCCTGGTGAGTTAGCAGCCATGGCGAATGAGAGCAGCAATGCCTTGGGCAGTCTTAGCTCGGATGGCCCTTCTCGGCCGGGCAGGGAAGACTCTGGGGCGCAATCGCAGGTCTGCCCCCCGTCATGTGGGGTCGATACCATGACCGGCCTGCTTGGGGACACTGTCCAGACCCGCGAACAGTTCGGAAGCAGCAGTGCAGGCACTTTTACGAAACTCATCCAGGCTGCAGCCAAGAATGTCAACCAGTCAGCAGAGGAACCATTACCGGGTAATTTTGCGAGCATGGTTGCCGATCACTCTTTGGATGAACCGCCTGTCTCCAGCTATGGCGAGCCGGCTCTCATGGTCCTCCCAGCTAGAGATTTTGCCGACCGTTTGATCCAGTCCTACTGGGAATGCGAGTGGTCACTCTACCCCATAGTTGACCGTCCCAAGATTGAGGCCGTTTATCAGACGGCTTGGGATATGGGAGGACCCCATTGTTCGCCAACCACCCTGAGCCTGATCAACCTCTGCTTCGCGCTGGGATGTGCCTACTCTTCGTTGATCCCGCCCAAGGACCGTAAGGCTATGAGTCGGGACTTCTTCACGCGCGCAGAAGCACTGTATCACAGGATTCAGTATATTCCCTCACTAGAAAAGGTTCAATGTCTTCTGCTCTTTAGTATCTATCTCCAGAGCACCGAGCACGTGTTTCGATGCTGGATGGCGGTCGGAGAGGCTATCCGTATGGCACAGAGCTTGGGTATCTACCAACACCAGCCGCCTTCCGCGAGTGAAACGGCGGCGCTTAGAGAGCAAAAGCGGCGCACGTGGCATGGTTGCGTGTGGTTGGATCGGTCAGTTTCTATTAGCGTCTCGCTCTCCCCGGTCCTCGGAATCTACTCGGACCATAGAAGTGGTTCCTGGATAGGCTCACGGCTGACACCAAACTTAGGGTAATGTCTGCTACGCTTGGCCGTCCCGGCATGATTCCCAGTTGGCTGTTCAACTCCGTCTCACTGCCCGCCATGATCGATGACGAGTTTATAGATACACAGGCAACGAGCTCAGCTCTTCGCCCAGACGGCAAACCATGCATTCTAGCCTTTGCTGTCAAGGCATTCGAGCTGTATCAACTGTTCGACAAGATTCTCCAGAAGATCTACCTGGGCCCCAACGGGGGGGAGGACTATGAAAACAAGCTCATCCCTATCCTGGAGTTCGACCGGGAAATCCAAGCTTGGGAGGATTCGCTCCCCGTGCATCTCCGGTATCACTCAAGCATGACACGCGATGCGCTCACTGATCGACAGGCAATAGTCTTGAGAATCCGGTTAGTGCTAAACACCACAAATTGCGTATTCCCGAGGGTGGTAGTGGCACTAAGCTCTGCATAGACTGCTACATGTCCGAATAGTGTCACTTCGTCCAGCTCTCATCCGGCATTGTAAACCTGGTGCTTCTACATATACTGCGAAGCCGCAGACACCTGCCAGTTCCTTTCTGTCGCAGGTCCTCCATTCGGAGTCTCCGCGGCTGTGCTTCCAATTTGCACACGAATTGATTGACTTGTTTGCTGCCAAACTGGACCCGGAATCAATGACCGGTCCTCTCCCATCATGGTGGTATTCTGTTCTTTGTGAGTTAGCCACTTCCACGGTAGGGTTTTGGACCCCCTTGTCTCTGATACCGTCTTTTGCGTAGATGTGTATACTTCCGCCACGGTGATACTCGTCGAGCGGTTCCTCGAGACCAAGAATGGCGTCCCCCAGCAGAGATCCAACGCCCTGCGGGGATGGAGCGCAGCCGTGCGCATCCTCCAATCCTACAGCTTGGTGGCGGACTCCGCGGCCAAGTGTTTGATGACTCTGGAAGCGCTGTCGGAGACCCTTTCTTCTGCGCAGCAGGCGGACACTGTTCGGGGCCCAGAAGCAGTTGATGCCGAAGCCCGGCATCGGGATCTGTTCCTGGAGATGACTCAGTTGTTGGGCGAGAAGACGACTGTGGCGCCGTTTGATTTCGACGACTTTCTGTGGTTGGGATGATTCGCGAATGCGTGACGATCTTCTCGCTGTTTCTAGGTTGGATCTTCTTCCATGTTTTGCGGTCGATTTTAGTATATGTGTAGGCCGTCCATCTCTCCAGTTTGTACTTCATACGGGTCGTATAAACGTTGAAAGTGGGGTGATATCCCACAAGCCCGCCTGATTCTTGACAAAAATCAAACACTGTGCGTTGACCAATCATATGGTTCTCACCTCTGGGACCGATGAAGTTATAGTGGCCCCTAAAGCCGGGAGCATCCTAGGGGACTATTGATGCCAATCTGTACGTCGGTGAGATGTCCCGCAGATTCTATATAGAGACTTGGGAAAGCTCTAGACATCAAATTGCAGATTCCAATGGCCTAGATGCTTACTTGGTTTCCCATTTTACGCACTACTCATACTTGCTTTACCTGCTTGATGAGGTATTTCGTAGGCAGCCATCTTATCGAGGAAGCACCTCCGCGATAAGACCTCAGACAGATTGGGAGCGACAGCTCGTTACTTTACTAGTTTTCCGCGTAAGATGCCAGCTGGGTCACATTTCCAAATTGATGGTAAAACATCGCCGACGTGGAGTTTAGCACGTTCTTCTACAGCCGATACGTATATATCTTACTTGAAAACCTCCTCCTTTTCCCATCCTGCGCCTTTGAGATTCTCCAGTCCCTTGCTGGGGTGTGGCCTGGAAGGGTCCCGGTATGTGACTTGATAAGGGTTCGGATCAGCGGCCTGGTCGAGGTTGGAGAGGGTATGATTGACCTCGCGGTGCTTGGCCTCGTCAGCGCGGATGTAGTAGAGAAGATCGCGGATGGAGCGGTGGCCCGCGGGCATCTTCCAATACTGCACGGCAATATCCGGCGCCGTGCCGTTCTTGTTCCAGTCCGGGAGGTTGCCGGCCTCGATCTCCTCGATCGCGCGGGTGTAGGTGATGACGGCTTCTTCCTCGAGGTAGCCCACAAAGCGGTGACAGGTGCGCGGGGAGACGAGATACGCCAGGAAGAACGTATTGAAGAAGACCCCCTGCGCCCCCAGCACCATCAGGCGCATGAACCACTTCGGCTCGGCCAGCTTCAGGAACGTCAGCAGGTGCATGCGCTCGTTGAACGCCTCCTCCAGCAGCATCTCGATCCAACCGTTGTCGCGCTTCATGCGGCGCAAGCTGTGCAGGTGCCGCAACATCCCGCCGACCATCCCGGGCACCCCCGCAATGCTCTCGAGGAACACGAACCGCGCCAGCCATTTCCTCTCGGTCATCGCAAAGCGCGCGGGCAGTCGCTGGCCGGGCTCACGGTGTCGGTAACCGGTTATCCAGTCCATGCCCCAGCGGAGGGACCGGACCGTTGCCAGTGCGACCCAATCGGACCAGGTCGTGGCGTTCCGGTGCGCCAGCTGTACCCGACGCATCTGTGCCTCGGTGTATCTACCCAGCCGGCTTGTTAGTACCAGAACCTAGAAAACCCGGGCTTGCGAAGAAAGGGAGCTCATCTTACACGGGATGATTCCATGCTGTATCCACAGTCTCAACATTCAGTTTCCCTGGAGGGGGGAAGTAATCTTTGTGGTGGTGTTGATAAGGATGCTGCGAGGTGGTGAACCAGTACGAGATGAGGCTTCTAGTTCGGAAAGAGGTAGGGGTAGTGGTCGTAGCTCTGGTGCTTACAGCCCACGGGGTAACCCGAAAAGGGGCCTGTACTGCAACTCGTAATGGGGTCATGACACGGCTGTCCAATATTATTATCTGGTATGTCTGGAACGCTCGGGGTACCCCTATCATCCCCTCAAGCCTGCTTTATATTCATCACTCTGGACTACGTCACGTTGCACCGCACGGTCTAGCTCACAGAAGCAGGATGTATACATCATGACGAAGAAATTGGAAGGAGGCGAATCCGGAATCCAGCATTCTAACCATGTCAGGACTCACAAACGCCCGGGGCAAAGCTGAATCCGCGATACGGCGAGATGATGCCGAGAATCGAGTATGCCGGGCACCAATTGGAAATATCCAATCAGCAGAGGATCCGACCGAACCGACTCGGGGGCTCAATGGGTCGTCCCGGACGGAATAGTTTTCTACTGGTGCCGCAAATCACGTTTTTGTGTACTTCTTACGAAAGCATTCTGATTCTCCTTTTCTTCTTGTCTAGATTCTTCTTGTCAGGCAAATGTACGCGCGAGAAAAAACATAAGGTTTACGGAGATTCGAGTTTTGCAGGTTTTCCGCACCTGCTGGCCATACTGGTACAAGAGTAAAGGCTGCGGAGAATGGTACGGCTAACTTGGCACACTTTGTAGGTCTATGCCACCAAAATACCTGCCTTCTTTTGGCTGGAAGACGCACAAATATATACAAGGAAAACCCTTCTTAACGGATATTGTCACTCAGTCCAGAGCCGTAGCTGGCGTCGGGACAAAGCTGTAACTTTAGCCTTACATTGTCAAGAGTATGTCATGTCAACACATAGATCCAATACGAAGCATATGCGAACCAGCGGAAAAGAAGTTCTCTACCGACTCAGGGACATCTTAGTTCAGTCTCTGGATGGCCAAGGAGAAGTCAGGGCGTTATGCGGCGCCCGCGCGGAATGTTTTCCCTCCTTTCCCTTCATACACTCCACGTCGTTCTCTGAGACTACCGCTGGCCGACCGTATTTATATGGTTCTTCGGAAGCTTTGCCCTTAGCCCATTGAAAGTATCGCCAAATAACGAAGGTGCTCCCAACGACTCCCACTATCGAGGCGACACTGTACTTCAAATTCCTAGGAAGGATCAGAATCAGTATTACCTTGAAAGGAATATCAGAGTTACATATAATCCTTACTTCTTTGCTGCTCTGAGAGATCCACTGGGGCGTGCTCCCCGCATGGACATCCTGGCTTTGGTGTGAAGCATCTATCCAGAAAAAGGGGAATATAAAGAAGTTTGAAGACGTTCGCAGTCTAAGTGGGAAAATGGAAAATATCGACCAGAGGGCTTGTGATGAACAGGAATTCTTTCAATTATGACAGAATCGGCTGATCCACGCACAATCTTATATGATCTCTACAGGATGACGACGGTACTGCTTTCGTCACGCTGTCGAGAAAAGGGCCCTGATCCGGAAGGTGACTGGATGTAAAGTTGACCAATGTCTAGTCTATCCGTGGTGGATTTTCATGACAGCCGGCACTGCCGACCCTTTGATCACTTCATGATTAGCCAACTGATTTGGTCATTTAATCGCATCCTCGCTGTGGGCTCCAATATAGACCCAATCGTTGGTGTCAGCTCTGGCGGAAAACTGGGACCGAAACCGGCCTGCGTTAGAATGTATGGGTTAGTGCTTCCTAAGATGCCCTATGCGTAGCTAAATCACTTTGTTCTAGTGTATGATGTTACGATCAACACCTCATACTCCTGGGCTATGTTGTGACCTCGGCTAGAAGCAGTACCACGCATACGCATATATTTGGGGGTCGCTGGATAATCAAAGTTTTACCGGCTCAAATGCCCAAGAATGCCTCATTAGACTAGACATATTGCGACCACCGACATGGAGTTTGGCCCAATCGCCTCCTCAAGAAGATGGTACTTGTCTTCCCACTTAGGGTCGGTAGAGCGACCCCATCAGTGTACCGCACGCATTCCTTTCGTGTACAAACAGCCTACATTCCGGCGTAAGGTTCCAAGAATCACCCCTGTGTCATCTAGTTCAGACCCCTTTGCCATGATGTCCCATCGACGGTGTAGTGGTGGATTGGCAGCAGTGCTGATCAGGTAGGCAACCGCTGGGATAAATCTAGGTCGAAGGAAGCCACAGATAGGCGCAGAAGTGATGTTCAATCCATCAATTTGCCTCATTCACATCGACCGCCTCTGTTCGGAATTCTGCTCACTAAGGATATGCCCTGCGAGGAGTGGTTGACCAGGCTGCAGCTATGAAAAGCCCAAACTCATACTAGTCCTATGGAGCCATCAATGAGACCGCCCCTGACTTGTTTGCGGCGGCGTGTAGTCACAACCGCGTGCAATCCGCCTTCCACGATGGGGTGAAGTGGCAGTGCCAACGGAAAATGTGTCCTTTCCCCAGTGCCGTCTCGAGTCACCAGAGTGAAACAGTATCTCCCTAAACTTCGGGAGGGCCTGGCTGAGCACGCGCTCGAAAGTATATGTGCTCTACTCGGTGACCTAGGTCCTGGGTCTACTGAAATGGGTGTGATTTGCTCGGAGAAGCTGATTGTTATCCGGCTTTGCAACGTTTGAAGCAGCAAGTCGGGGCCTTAAGGGCAGCACGCTACTTTTGTGGCTTCACAGGCCTGATAAGTCCATCAAGCTCGCATAGTTTATTCGTACCTGATCTTTATAGCCGTTTCGCAGTCTTCGGGAGTACGGCAATGACCTGGCATTGGCCTTCGAGGCATTCATTCCAAATATGGTGCACTACGTTTCGCAGTCAATCCACGACGAGTCTCAGGTCGATCCACTTCGGAAAACTGTGATATACAATACTGTCGGATCATTAGCCGGAGGGAGCCCTAAGTCGTAAATCCCTTCAAAAGCTTCAGTTGGTCTGGAGACTCCGGAGAAAATACTAACTATTCTTGTACCATATTCTACTGACCGGCCGCCACGGCGCCTGTCAAGCAGTTGGCATCATGATTAACCAACTTATTTTTTGGCCTGGAAACTAGATATCATCATAACTAGATCGTGGATTGGGTGAGGTTTCTCTCCCAAATTGTCTGCTTTCTGCCGTATGGATGAATGGATGATTTCATTCACCCTGACCCCTTGTTCAGGCAATTGGAAGGCTAGCGCTACTAAACATATCTCTTGAATTAGCAATGATCCTTTTGCCACTTCTTGAACGAACATGAAGACTCGTCAAAGCCTGCTGTGGCCTTCTAACCGCTGATGCTGATTTGCTGCCCGGATGGCGCGCGGCTTCGGAGTCGCTGTATTAAGGGAAAATAGGTCGGTTAGGTATAGAATAGTAGCAGTCTATATTATTAAAGACTAACTTTCTAAAGGTCTAAGAAAGTTCTGGGAGCTAAATACTAGGGAAGTTATTAAGATTATAACTGTTATATGGGGGATATATAGGTAGATCCTCAGCAGTCCACTATATGTTTAAAGGTTACCTATGACACTAGACTAACTATTATAACAGCAGTATTAACAGCTGTATACAAAAAAAAAACCTAATTATTATAAATAGTTTTTAAATATATAGTAGGCGATTAATAATCTATCCATATATTCTCTGTATAACAGCTATAATACTGATAACTTTTTAACTTTTTTACTACTTGACTCCTAAGACCTTGCTAGACCTTATAAATAGCAAGAATTAGTCTTAAAAAATGGACTGCTACTATTCTATACCTAACCGACATGCTTTCCCTTAACAGAGATAGATAAAAAAATAGGATTAAAAGTCTTTCTAGTGCAGTATTTATCGTATATGTATATGAATAGCTTAAGTAAATAGAAAAATCAAATAGCTACATAAATTACTAAAAACTAGGCTGAATTTAACTAGTTGTTGTTTTATGAGTTATACAAATCTTACATGACAAGTATGGCCTCTGCTTAAGCATAATCCATCCCAGCAAACACTCGGCTGTAAGCCCACTACTCTATGTCCAACACAACATACCTTCCGTATTATGTATGTATGCAAGTCAAAAAGCCATTTGTACTTGAACGTCTTTATATTGTATTTTTATCACAGGGGCCCCACTGATGAGACCCAAATTCCTCTTGTCCTGAGGCTACCTAATCTTGCCCTGAAACAAAACGCCCATATCATGCTAATGCTTTCCCTCTCATGTGTACATAACCCGTCAGCAAAACAAATCAGCGCCATTTTCATGCAACAAGAAAAAAAAAAGCTCCTCGTAAGATTCCCCTCCAGAGTCCAATGTGGATGCAAACAGTGGTCTTTCCAGAGAAAAAACCGATTTCTATCAGTGATTGGAACCACAAGAAAACAAACGCCGCGATGTCATGCTATGTCGTGACAAAAAAATCGAGAAAAAAAAAGAAGAAGAAATGAGAATCTGTACAGGAATATAAGGATGATAAACGGTGATGGCGGAATGGAGAAGCGAAAAGTGAAAAGTGAAAATGCTTCGTATCAGTGTCAAGGTCGTAAAGCTGCATTCAAAGAGTAAGGTGAGGTGAAAAGACTTTTGCCCGCTTCATGGAAAGTTGAAGCTGGAGTGGAACATAGGCTGCCCGATGGGTCCGGATGGCCATGCTTCGTGGTGCAGGTAGGGCAGCAGGCCGGTCTTGCGTTCAGAAATCGTCTTGCCCAGAGGCTGGTAGTGCATGTGGTCAAAGGGGACGCTGCGCTGCTGCTGGAGGGAGGTGGAAGGAGGTGGGATCAGAAGGGTGTTGACACTGCGAACGGGCCGATACGGTGAGTTGCGGTTGGCGAGGAAGAAGGACGGCGACAGGTGAGTTTGAGGGGTGACGGAGTAGGCGGAGACGGCGGGGGAGATGGTAGCCGACGAGATGGCAAACGGACTGTTGTGGTGTCTGCTGGGGTCCGGCAGCGAGGTGTAAAGACCGTTGCTCAGTGGAGGAACGGTAGGGACAGTGACAGCAGGGGCCACAGTCGTGGTGGTCGGCATCTGCTGTGAGATCCAAGTGTTGGGAGGAGCGTATACCGGCGGCATCACGCGGCCAGTCGAAGGCAACTGGGGGACGGTGGAGACGGCAGGAGGCATGGTCGGCGCCAGACTGAGAGCAGGGAAGTTAGGCCGTGGAAGACGAGAGACGGAGTCCGGCATAGCAGGGACGAGAGAAGGCACCGATGTCGATGGGGCTGTAGATGTGGATGTAGGTGTGGATGTGGATGTGGATGGCATGACGGGCGGTAAGGCGGGAGGCAAGGCGGGAATGTTGGTCAAGGCGGAAGATACCGGCAGATTTGGCACCATGGCGGCAGTATTTCTCTTGGACGGCAATTCCTCCACCGCCTCGTCGCGGCTCCGCTTGCGTGAGTTCTGGTGGCTGCCCGCCAGCGACATGTCACTCGGCGGCAATTGACACGCCCCTCCGGCATAAGGCAGTCCATTCAACGGCAGCGGCCAGTGGTGTGAGCGCAGAGCATCAGTCGCAGGCGGCGAGGGCAACTTCGAAGGCGAGCACAGAGCAGCCCGCGAAATGGGAGCCAGACCGGGAGAAACCCGGAGTGCGGGAGGAACAGCCGGTCTGTCGCTCTTCTCCGCCACTCGCGGAGCGTTGTTGAAGTAATCCGCGAAAAGGCCCAGCTTGACATGCCATTGGCGCCATTCCTCCTTCGACGCGTACAGGTTGTAGCGGATGTTGCTCAAAAACTCGACTTCCATGATGTGAATCTCCTGCACCGTGATGCCCGAAACCTCGGCCCACGTCTTGTTGGTGTATGTATTGTCATCGAGAACTGTGGAGAAGTATGTCAGCCTCATCACGATCTTATACACAGAACCCTCATGCGTGACAACCTACACTTGTTCCCCAGCATGAGTGCAATCGTCATCAACCTGTACTCGCTGCCCTTCTTCCCACGTACCCCGGGATTGAACTTCTTCAGGCGGTAAACGAACATGAGAGCGAGCAACACCACATTCTGGCTGACCTGGGTCGTGGAGAGGATGTTGGTCACCCATTTCTGAAAGCCAACCGTGGGCATGGTCTCAGGGGCGAGGGGGCCGGCCGAAGGCGAACGCTCCTCCACAGCCTTTAACTTGGCCGCACTTTCGAACCAGAAAAGACACGTCATCTACATCCGATTAGCACCCTCGGCCCAAAAAAAATCCATGAGACTACTCACCTGCGCAGCAAACTCAGCTAGACTCCCCTTGCTGTTGTTGATCGTCGATGGGATCTGCAGATACGAGGCCGTGGAATTGGTGCTGCTTTTCTTCTGACTTCCCTGCTCGCGGATATTGTTCTCCTTGACCGGAGGCTGGTAATGTGGCTTTGACGTCGGGACCATGGCAGTCGCTCCATCGAAGTTCATGCGCGGATAGTCGGAGATCTTGGCGTAGGGCGGCAATGTGATTCCATCGAGCTTTGATCCGTAGGCGGACGAGGGGATGACGTTGTAGGTAGCAACTCCGTTCATTTCGCTCGGAGGCGTTGGTAGACCGTCCCGAAAGGGAGCAGTCCAATTGTCCGAGATATCGGGTATCGACTCGAAGGGTCGCTTTCTCGCACTGTCGGACCGTGGGTAGGGGGCGATGGTAGGTGTGACTGGGTGAAGTGTGGGGAGTTGAGGTTGCGGTGGAAGTACCGGAAGAGACATATGGCAGGACGTCCGAGATTCAAGTAACACTTGCGAAGAAAATCGAAAGGTGAAAAGCCAGAACACCGAGATATCTGTAACACCGTGCTCACCAAACTCTCATCGGGATGGTTTTGGACTAGGTAGGTTGGGTTAGGTGCGCTGGTGTTTGTTGTTCGATCCAGGCAGCTTGTCAAATCCGGTGCGTGGGAGAGGTATGCAATGGCTTGCGAGCACAGCGGCTGATGTTGATCTGTATCCTTGAAGTTGAACAGGAAAGTCGCCGGGGGGTCTGGCTGGCTCGAGAACCGCGAATATCAAAGGCCGCACGGGGGAATTGGTAGGATAGCAACACTGTTGAATGTTGCCCGCCTCGATGGAATGAAGGCACTGAAGGGGGTGGAAGTATTGAAAGGCCTTAATCAAGGATGGACAAATATCACATAGTATATTAGTGGTAGTATGTATGATGGCAAGGCAACAGTAGTAGTAGTAGTAGTAGCAACAAGCCGGATTAAAGCAGTAGAACTGAAGTGGCAGTGACCAGAATGATATGGAAGGAGAGGTTCAGGTCATAGATCCTGCATGCACAACCCAGTTGTAGAACCGAACTATATCCAAGAAACTCGAAGACGCGGCAATGAGATGATGATAAAAGAAAGTCAAAGCAGATAATCTTATAAAAAAAAAGTGGTTGAAACCTCGAATGGATTGGATTGAACCCATATAGGAGATTGAAATAAATTGGATAAGGCAGTATGGATCTAGAAAGCGAAAAGGGCAAGCCAAGAAAAGAAATTAAAAAGAAAAAAAGAATAAAAATAAATTAGATTGGGAAATTAATGAAAAAGTAAAAGAAGGGGAAACGAATAATGAAGGATGAGTGAGGTCAAGACATCATCCTCCATCCAGCAAGCAGCCAAATAACTAATCAACTCAACTTCATAACAACTCCGCTAGAAGAGCCAGGGTGGGTTTAGTTTCTTCGTCCGGAGAAAGTGCAAAGTGCTGTGTCCATACAGGAGAGAGACAGAGTTTGACCCGGACGCAGGTCCAGAGGGTTGATCCTCCCTTCTGGCCTCGTTTGGGTCGGTTTCCGTTTGGTTGACCAGGTTTGATTGTCTCTGCTTTGTCTTGAAGAGAATGAAATACCGGTTGATGTCAGAGCCACGGGGGGGAGGAGGGAGGGAGGGGGGGGAGGGGGGGGAGAAGGGGGAGGTGGAAAAGAAAGTGGAAGAGGAGGAGGGAGGGAGGAGGGGGGACAAAGTGGATGCATGCTACTACCACCACTAACTACGGAGTGTACGGAGTAGTCTAGTTAGTGGAAGGGTAGCAAGGTCAGCAGCCCTAGACCAGTCCCAGCGTTGTTTAACTTACATGAATCCTCAGTTCTTGTTGTATCTGGCACGCTGTAAGTCACCTTACCGGTTTAGGGAAGGTAGGGAGGGCAAAAAAAAAAAAAAAAGGAAAAGAAAAAAAAGGGAAAGAAAAAAAAGGAAGAGGGGTGGAAAGTGTGGGAATAATACGTACCTGCTAACTCCGTCGCGACGAAAGCCCCATATCAGATCCAATAATAAGTTGGGCTTAGCGTCACATTGCGACCGTCATGGTGTGCCGTTCAGAACTTCAGACTTATTTCCCTTTTGGAAGCCGATTTTAAGTGGTCCTTCTTGCTACGGAGTATACCGTTCACTACAGAGGAGTCCGTACACAAGTACACATTCGAGACTCTCACTCCATTGTGGAGAAAAGCAAAGAGTATGCAATAACTCAGCACATTACAGTAGACTTCAGAGACTACTATGTACTATGACAACAATAAAAGAGACAAAATAATCATGCAACAGAAAAAAAAAAGCAACTAGGAAAGGACGATGACTTGCCCATGCCCATACATCCATCTATCCATTCAACCATTCATCATGCACCTCAAGGGAGAAGGGGTGTGTGTGTGTGGCATTGCTCAGCAGTCCCGGGAGGCACGGGAGAAATTGGATGAAGGGAGGTTTGTGCACGCTGAATGTGGTTGATCGCCGGTTCTAGTTCAACCAGACGGAAGGCAAAGGAATGGGGACGGACAGACAAGTTCAGGTACGGAAAAGTACGGCATTTAGGGGCTGGGGGGGGGGGGGGGGTTGGAAAGGTGAGATGCAATGGGGTGGTATTCCTGATTACCATTGTTACGGGCAATGCTTTGGGGCCATCGGCGGCCCTAAGTTCAAGTTCAAGCACGGCACTGCACCACTGCACCACTGCACCACTTCCTACTACTTACAGTAATCGACCTGAGGACCAGGCAAGAATTGAAGTACATACTCCCATACCTACTCAGCGACTAAATTGTTACGGACCCCGGACAAAAATGGGAGGCAGAGAAGACGGAGAGGCGGGGACATGGATGGAAATATGGATCGCTGCGTATGAAAGCTGTAAGAGCCTAAGATGCCTTCAGTGGCACTCACTCGGTTCAATGGTTGATTTACAGTTTTACCTAATTACCCTACTGTCTGCAGTTTGAAGATGGAGTCATACACGGTTGTAGGGGGACACTGGGACAAGTTTAGACTGTGGCAGTGGCCACACGGCCCAATCTGGGACGCGGTTAGTCAGTGAGAGCCTCCGTCCGGATCCAGTGCAAATTCCAGAACTAATCACCGAGGAGCGAAAACCTTCGCTATCCTGCTATTATTAATCTAGACAATTCTGGCACAGTCACCCTGGGTCGGCAGGTTGGTTCATCTTCTACTTAGTACGAGTAGTACTCCTTAGTTGAGTTACCCATAGTAGGACTCCATTAGCGATGGCAAGGGTGCCGGTGGTCGGTAGGCAGAGGATAGTTAAGGCTATGCAAGTTATGGATCACGGGCTAATTGGATGGTTGTCATGGGGAAAGAAGACTGGAGTCATAGAGGTAAGGTAAGAGAAGCCTGGAGGCGTTGTGTCAGGTATGTAACGGGTCCGCAATGGTCGTCCGGTATGAAAATAAACTTGGCGGTTGGACAATTGTTGCTCTTCTAACTGCAAGCGGTCAAGCGTTTCTCTCTTTGAGAGGTAAGAAACTCTCGCCGGTATCAGTAATACGAAACACAAAGTACGGACGGAGCACAGTGCCTCCTTCTCCTCCATCTCCTCCAGCTTCCAGGCTGAGGTAACTTTGTACCCCCATTACCGCATACAGACAGACACGCAGGCAGCCCAGCAGACTGATGGTTGCAAATGTCCGAAGCTGGTAGAGCTTCAAATGAGGCTAAGGAAATGGAAAACATAAATAAAAGGGAAAAAAAACTTTACTTATCGGCAATATCTTCATCTGGTTCTGATCCACCTTTGGGAGGTAGCGATGAGGGCATTAAAGGGCCAAGACAAGTGATGCGCGTATGTAGCCATGATGTAGCCATGTAAGGTATTTTGTGTCTCTGACTGGGCTTGGTTCGAGGCCTCCGTAGTTGTATGAGTATGGGTGTTGTGGATGGACAGGTGTGAATGGATAGCACAAAGGTGCATCCCCAGAGCGTCGGACCCAGCAGCGAGGCATGAACGAAATAATGGACCAATCACCTGACTGCCACTAGATTGACGACTCCAACAGATGGAGAGTCCAATCGCTGCGGGTGATTCGACTCGCACCCAATCCTTTTGACGACAGAGTGCCCAAGAACTTGACTGGACTGCTGCCCCGTACCCTGTACCTTAGGGTATAATTCCTCCTTAGGCCTAAGCCGAAAGCAAAACGCTCTAGAGCCTTGCAAAGTGAGAAGGCTGTTGAGCATCGCCGTACAGTGGTACCTTTCTACAATAGGTAAGTCTGTAGCCTAGCCCTGAGCCCTGAGGGCTCATACAGGAGCAGCCCGCAGTAGTCGTAGCAGCAGCAGTCGTAACCGTAAGCGCCCCTCTCTTCTGTCTCTTGCCCTGGTGACTGACTGACGACTGGGGCGACTAAATGGAAATAGGTGGCCGCGGGGGCCGGCTGGCTTGACTTCAAGTTCAGACGGCCAGCTTGCTTAGTAGTGAGTTAATTAGACTAGCTAGGAAGCAGGACAGCGAGATAGACAGACAGGTGGTCATGTACGATTCAATCCATCCATGATATCCACATCTAACCCGTCCCAACCAATCCCCATCACCACATCACCCAACCTTTACTGTGTACACAGTAGTTGCTGTGCTCATTACTGGGCAACTCTCACTTGTCCGCTCAACTAGACAGTCTATCTGTCTGTGCCTTTCCCAGGTTCCCGTCGGTTCATCTTCCTTCCCTTCCTTCGCCAGCTCTACCGTCATACTCCGCCCCGTCGTAATCTTCCCTCCGTCTAGTCGGTCGGAACCAAAGAAAGAAACCTCCTCCGGTCCGCGCTTGGGATGGAAAGGCTGGAAGATTCGACCCAAAAAAAAAAAAAGTCTGAAAAAACCCGCGCCAAATCTGGTCCATTTTTTGATTGTGTTTCCGCCACTGGTGTACTTTTTTTTGGGTCGTGCTGGTCATGATTCAACTTGCAGCAGAAATGTACGAGGATGGAAAAGGAGAAGCATCCACAGTCGTAGACCCGACCACAGCACAACACAGACACCACCACCATCAAAGGCGCAGGGCGGCGGCTATCGGGTCTGGGTTCCCTGTCAGCTGCTCGTGCAATTCGTTTTGGTTTAGGGAGTCAGTCGGTCAATCAGTCAGTCATTGTTGTCATATTCTGTTAATAGTTTTGATTATGGCAAAGATGCCCTTTCTTAGTCCAAAAAGGGAAGAAATCGTCTTTCCATGGATTGGAAGGGGAGAGAAGGGATGTCATCCGTAGCGTTGGGATTTTTTTGCTCGCTCTCCAGTGCATGCAGGCATCCAAGCGGCAGTAGGCCTGAAACTGAACAATAAGTTACCTGTGGATGGTGGATTGCGCTGCGCTTTGGTCCATAACACATTCCCTATCAACTGGCACCATTTGATGCGAGTAAAAGAAACCACGCTAGATCCAACACGGTCGGAAAGTACAGTACAGTACTTGACTGACTTGACTGACTTCGTAAGTCGTAACACAGGACGCGTCGCAACCTCTCTCCCCTTCTTTCACCCCGTGGTACAGTCAATAGTCAATAGTCAATAGATTACAACAGACAGACAAACAGGGTGACGAATGCCGAAGATCAATTGTGTTCCGCCCATCACCATCAAGCCCCTCCCTCACCCCATCATAGAGTTAATCAGCAATCAGCCATTTTATTCACTGCATGCATTGTCGGAATGAAGATGGATTGATTGATGGATCAATGACACCCACCTTTCTGGTACATACAGTACACCACAGCGTTCCCCTCCGCCTTCCGCATCGATCGCCCCCAGCAATGCAATAATCCAAGATGATGTATGGCTCAGTCATAGATCGGTCATGACACATTGTTGATGGTGATTATCCAGACCAGCTAAAACAGTGGTTACAATCACTAACTTGTTACCTACTACTTCAATGGTTGCCAAAAAAGCAACAATTCACGCCATAATTTCATATTCGCTGACTACCTCCAAACAGATCAAAGTCGGCACACATTTTATTGTCAGTAGACTTTTGGACTGGGGGGGATGGATAATTCCGACGCTGTGATGATTTATGATTTCATATACCTACTTCGTTCCGCAGAGCGGAGAGAGTCGTCAACTTGACGGGCTGCTGCGGAGGGTTTTAGCTTTAGCTTTTCATGTCTCATCGAGATCCAGTTTCCGAACGCGTCTCGAGTAGTAAAAAAAAATTCTTTTGTGCTGCCTTCGGAAACAACGGTCGTCTATCTTGTCTATCTGTGTCTGGTGTTGACTTGGTCGGAGGAGAGAGGGTCTGATCGTCCATCGGACCCCCCCCCCCTCCCTGCTACCGTGTACTATGTAGGTAGTGACTGAACGTCTCGAGTCCCAATTATCCCAATATTGTCCGCGATGCGAGCAGAGAGAAGAGCAAGGTCAAAGTACTCCGTACGGTCGGAGGCTTTCCTTTTTCCTAACTTCAGCCCCGAGAGGTTTGGGGGTCATCTAGCGATGATAGCGTAATGATTGTTTTCAAACTTAAGGGGTGGTGGATGTGTGTGATTGAGTTAGTACAGTTAGTGACTTCCAAGTAGTCCACGATGTGCAGTCGAACACCACCAGGCCGGTTGGACTTCCTTCCCTGTCCATAGTCGGTAGGACCTAGGGCTCTCAGGGCTAGTTTCGTTGTTCAGGGAGGGGGGGAGGGAAGGGGAGGAGAAAGTGACCGCGACGACTGATGAGCTGGGGGGGTTGGACTACAAATCCCACATCTGATAGTTCAAGCATGGCGTTATGACAGTGGAAGTGCAATCACTGTACGAAGTTCCAAGATTGGGGGGAGAGTGGAAGATCGAATTTGATTCCATTCCACAATCCGACATCTCATTCGTCCGGCCAGCTCACCAACCGATTACTGGGGAGATGACCTCCAGATATGGATGGATGGATGCTCTTGTTGTCCGCCATCCAAGCAACCAACCAACCTCCCCCTCGTCGCCCCTTGACAATTCGACAATCTTAACAGTCAATCAATCAATCAATCTCGACTCCTGGAAGTCCATCCCACTTCAGATCCACAAAATCACAGCTTCAGCGCCCTTCAGCTTGGATGTTTAGGCAATGTGACCGGCATACCCTGCTAGTAACTGTGCCGTGTTGTGTGAACATCATGCCTGACTGACTGACTGACCGTCTCTCTTGTCTGTTTGTCTTCCTATACTTGCAGCTCTGCAAGTCAGAACTACGAGACTGCCCTTCCGCTCTCCGCCTATGCCTGAAATTAACAAACTACCGACTTCGTACCGGATCTCCTCCCCCTGTTGGTGGTGGGCCTACAGTAACAGCCAGGATCCTTTGCTTTCTCCCTTTTGCTTTTGTTTTTTCGAAATTACTGATTGATCGGGAGCGAGCGAGCGACGGTCGAACCCATGAATGCATAGACCCTGGGTATTATGACCATACCTTGACTCTTTCACTCTCTCGCTTGGGCAAGAAGTAAATGCGATGGATCCCTTTGTCTGTGTCATCGACGCCCCGGGACTTTGTCCACTTCAGCTGTGGCTTCTTCTGTACCGGATTATATTGCATTCATCCACCTAAAAACGAAGGTATGTGCATCGAACCACCTAACTATTCAGTACAGCCGACCGGCGGTTGCCTCGTATCTACTGGTCTGTACCTGCGAGGGAAAGAAGGAAAAGCAAATCAAAAAAAAAAAAAAAAAAAAAAAAAAAAAAACAAAAACCAAAAAAAAGGCACCGGCAGTGACTGGTCCAAAACCATAGCATCATCTCATCATCATCTGGAGATCGGCTGATTCTGAGTCGAGAGATTGGCAATGATAATCAGATGATGGTTTGGCGAAAGATTGGATCGAAGTTCTTTTCTTTTCTTTTCTCTTTTTTTTTATTCTCTGACAGAGACAGCGACCGTCGTCGGGATTAGACGCCACCTGAAGGTCCCCATTCATTATTCATTGATTCATTCCTGAGGCCGACATGGCCCACGTCGACTAAGCACTGCACTGGCAAGTAGCATCAGGTTCCAGTTCCAGTTCCAGTTCCAGTTTCCTTTCTCTCACCCCGATTGGGGCAACAGCTGCCGGTCGTCGCTGGATGCGTACGGTATTCACTGTCAATCCCGGTAAAGAAAATACCATTCAACACAAGTTCAATTCACAGAAGTCAGGACTCAGGAATTAGAACCTTGGCACTTGCATTCGGGACAATTGCGTCTACCCCTTCTCATTGGTGCTACGGCCAGGAATTCGAGGTTTCGCGGACTGGATGGGGACCGCCTTTGACCAACCTCAAACAAATCAGGGTGTGAGGTTGCTCAAGGCTGCCCCCGGCTCCTGCGATCACCGATACCTGATTACCTGACAGCGTAACAAGCCGCAGCAGCAACAGCAGCAGCAGCAGCAACACCGGCGGCGGTTGTTCCAGAACTTCCGACTGTTGAAGTGGAGCGTGTGTGCCACTTTCCTCCCGGCACAATAGTCATACACATACAGCCCAGAAATAGCCACGATGCTATCTCTCCCCAATTGCCGGAGTAAACTATACCATGATACCATCATCATTCACCTAAGTCTCCGTCTGACTGTCTCTGTACTAGCCAATCCACTTCAAACTGAATGATGATGCTGATGACTCCGTTATGGAGTCTCACCACGCCCTCGTCCACCGTCTGCCCAGCATCCCAACACTGGGGCTGGGGCGCATCCTTGGGTCGTCGACTGGGTTGGTCACTCGGGCGCAGGCAACATTCGCTAATTGGCGCCTACTTCCACTACACTACACTACACTACATCTACATACAGTACTCCGTATAGCAGCAGACCACCACTGGTCGAGATGAGATGGTAGTAGGATGCGGCGACGATCGCAAGACGCTGTTTGGGTTCAACCCGACCTCCAAGGCGTCAAGACTCCAGATGATGCTCCAACCCTACCCTACCCACTCGACGCAGAAGCATGCGGTTGGTCGTCAATCTGTCGACTCTGTTCCGTATTCTCTACCTAGTATTCCATCCATACTCTACTAACTTCCTGTCCGGTGATTACCTGCAGCGGTATCTGGGCACTGGATGGATATTGGACTATCCTCTCGCTGCTTCTCGGTGTTGCTGACCAACGACTCTGCCACAAGCTTTTCGGCTTTGTGCGCTCTTCCTTCTCTCTCCTATTGACCTTTTGCGTTCCTTCTTGATTGTTTGCTGTCGAACTCACGGCCTCATTCCGACTTCATCTTCTGATTCGAACATGCTGCTGCCCATCTACCTCATTGGAACCAGCTCCAACCATGGAATATCAACCTTAAACCTGGTCAAATAAGAAGGATAAGAATGACCCGACCCAGGCTCGTTCCCCGGCTGTTTTCGTCTAGCAGAACAACTCGATATTGCGCCCGGGATTAGAATTGCGGTTTAGTGGCCGGGTACTGCTAGCACTATACCTTGGCTATGATTATCCGTGTTTTCCGCGAAGGGACGAGAACCACCAGCGCGGACATCATCGATTCTCTAGGGTACAGTACATAGAGCACTCGGTCCTGAACTACTTTTAGCGGTTGCAGCCTGGTGGAAGTTAAGTTGCACCTAGCCTCCATGATTGGAGACGTTGCTTGCCACACCAAAAAGCAATTCTCATATCCGGTTGCGGCACCGTGGCCCGTCCGGAAAGCGGGAGAGTTATTCTCTGCTTCGTAGTCAGTTGATTTGGGTTTGGTTTTAGGTGCGGCATATGCTTTTTGGTTTGTTTATACTATGTAAATTATCCCTCGCCTTTCCGTAGGTCCGAATTGATCAACAGTTCACCTTCGTGGGTGGATCGGAGAAGGTTTCGGTTGAACAGGTATTCGTTGCACCCAACTTGAAGCTACCTGTTGCATAGTACCGGTCAAGTCAGGTTCCTGTGCTCTCGGCCATACTGCCTCGAGATTGTGTATCCATTGGCAAATGAGCGACGGCGTTATTGCCTGGCTCTAAAGGCTCGAGTAATCCATATTTAACATTGTATGACCGTTGATGCGTTTGACGCGTCCGGATCACATGACCTCGGTTCATCGAATCTACCACGAAGATCCTGGATTTTACCGACCGCAGCAGGCATTTAGTATTTCCCTGTTTCCTCCCAGCTCGAAATGCTGGACCACCTTGGAAGAGACCAAGTTCCGGCGTACTAAGTATAAAACCAACTAAGTGACTGGCGATGAATCTTCCGCACGGAGCAAAGCAATTTGGGCATGGACAGCGAGCGTTGCTAGACCTCCTTCTAAAGTCCCTGGACGTTTCCAGCGGGGTTAGTCAGTCAGGTAGTTAGCTAGTTAGCAATGCTAATAGCAATGCTAACTTAGCAACCCCGGCCATATTGTCATTACACGAAAAGTGCAGCCTAGCAGATAACTAGACCTCGAGATGGTTCACTAGACCTCCCGGACCCCCCATCCCTCTCAACGTATCCGCTAGCATATGCGATTCCATCCGTGTGTCCTTCGAGAAGTCTCACTCGCCTTACACGAACTACCCGCCTGATGTGACTATCTCAAATCGTGAGGGTGCCAAAGGATTGGACGCGACGGAGGACATACTTGCTTTACATTTCACACTCATTCACTACTGTACTGTACGCTTGACTAGTCCCAGCCCCTCTCACCCGTGCGCTGTTCAGTTAGTTCCTTTTCTCCCTTTCTTTTTCAAGCAGAGCAAGATCGCCGCGCAAAGCAGCGGTCAAAGTCAAACCCCCAACCCTCAAAGTCGATAATGAGGCCGTGAATTACAGCGTTGTTGGCTCCCTCCGTCTGCTTGTGCTCGTGCTCGTGCTCGTGCAACATGACCTTTATCGTCGTTGAAACCTTTACCCATCGACGTAGATCCATCGAGTCTGGTCGGCAAGGCACGGTAGGAAGGGGGAAGGGGAGGGCACCAGCACCTGCGTGACTTGGATTTTCACCTTCACCTTCATTTGCACACATCTCACCATCAGCGTCCTTCTCATGTCTGAAGAGTATGTTTCGTATGGTGGTTCAGGATAGGATGGCTAGTGAGATACTTTCCTTTCCCTGGATCGCGGTTATGGAAGAACATCCTATGTACAGTGCTGTACCAGGAAAGGTTGAGACCCTTGTGAGAGAGAAACAGAGAGAAAAAGAGATGTTGTGTTGCTGTCTCCCCTCGCGTCCTAGCGTTATACGGTAGGAGCATGAGGATGGCGCATCGCCCGTGGGGAGTTTGTTATCGGTTCATCCCCTAGTTTCTTTATCGATTCGATTTCTTTCAACACGCACGTTTAACATGATCGCATCGTGTCATGGGCTTGAGTGAGGGGGATAATCTATTGAAGCCCAGGAAAGGCGAAGGGCGGAGGGGAAGTTGTACTATACGGTATACGCAAGGACAAGAAGCAGAGAAGAGAAACAGCAGATATGTACAGTACGTTTTTGTGTAGATGTGTAGATGGGTATCTATGTATGAGGGAAAGTGTCACTTGCTTGCTAGTTATCTGTAGGTGCAAAAGAAAAAAGCCCTCCCTCAGGAATACGTTTGCCCTCAACCTCTGTCCTTCCCGCCTTGCACACTTGCTCAGTAGTTGTTACTGTGATCTGGTGGTCGGATTCCCTTGCATCGAGTTATCCGGGTCTGGCATCCTTGCGGGTTGGATACTGTATTGCTTGCTTGAGGTGAACACTGTCGATCTTTGGATATTTGTCTGGTCGGGTTCTCTTTTGGGGGCGAAAGTAATAAACAAAACATCTTTCCATTCCCTGTGGGCCAGGCTGGTTTGGTCCCTTTACAAGACCACTACAAAATTGATTGATCTTTTTTTTGGGCTTTTGTTATACGATCTGGGTGGGTGTAAAGTATACACATACTTATAACGTGTTGGGGATCAACATTGCACGTAACACTCTGCACAGCACAGTACAGAATTATACAGACACAACTCGTTGAGGCCGAATTGTTTGTTGGTTGCGAAACCTGGGGTAGTCGTGCACGGAGAACCCCGTCAGGTCAGGGTTGACCGGATCTATCCATGCGTCCTTACGGAGTACTATGAGTAGGAATAATCCCCCACCCCCTTGTCCTCCCTACGTTCGAGGGGATACAAGACAGCAACTGCCCCCCTCGTGGGACTACCCTCGAGGCACCCGGAGACGGTCGGTGTATGGAGGCATTTGAAGCAAGGGCACGTTGACGATCATCGGTTTGAGGTTTGAAATGTTTCGGTGATGGTTGCGGTGTTTGTTGATGGGCTAGTGCTTCCATAACAACAGGCATTTGGTGAATCAGGGACAATATTAGGGCCGGACTTTTGGATCGTTTCGTGGGGTGAGGTGATGTGATTGTGAGTCAAGGGGGATAGGAACAAGGGCATTCATTAATAATTCCGGTGGTTTGGTTGGAAATTGGACACTGACTCGGTACTTGTGGTGGTTCTGGGGTTGCGACCGACATCTTGCAAGGATGGTGAAGAGTCTAATGGCAATAATGCTTCTATGGGAAGTCGATCACCAAGAGCTTCGGATTTGTGTAATGTCCCAGCGGATAGGCAATCATTTATTGATAGGTTCTGTTCCGGCTACTACAAGTATATTTCCCTCTGTTCGCTTGGCAAGGCAATAACTACATAATGAGAGTCGATTCTCAAGCATATCAACATCCCAACTCTCAGACTAGATATGCGCGAGTATGATTAGGTGATTCCGAGCATTGAGTTCCTAATCAATTGAAAAGTCGAATAAACAATGCATGAGCGACATCGAAACATCAAGGAGGTCATCTAAGCGAGCGCCGCGCAAGACCCCGGCTTCCTTCGACTTCTGTCCAGTCGAGACCTCTCTGCGATTTACTTATTATTCCTTTCTATTTTGTTTCTTTTTCTTGTCTGATTAACTTCTTTTACCCCTCTCAGGCCTTTTATTCTCTCCATTCTTCTCCATTTATTTATTTTTCTTCTGTCCAGTTTCACCCAGCTAACTTCACGGCACATGGGAGGCTTGCCCGACGGCAGATGGGACAACAACAAACAGGGATAGAACGAATATGTTCATCCGACTGCTGGCATTGAGAATCCGATTTGTCCTTTCTCCTGTCCCCACCGTAGGTCCAGATTCGTGGTCATCCGAAAATAATAAGCTGTTCGCTGGTGTGTGCGCCCTGCACAGGTACAGGTACAACTGCCACTTTGACCCCCTCCCTTTCCTGTGGCATACAGCAGACCGATGGATGTATCTACACGCAATGATCAACACCACAAAAACAAAAAGGCCCCAAACACGCTCCCCTCGCCCAGCCCCTATGGTTTGGATGACTTTGACTTTACATAAAATCAGTCAACCAGCTAACTAGCAACCACTTCAGACAGATCATGTCTCACCATCAGACCACAACCCCGAACCATACATCCCCATTGCTTTTGCTTTTACTTTTGCTTGCTTGCTTGCTTGCTTACCGCGCGTCAAGGTCAGGATGGGGTTGTCATCATCCCCTGTGCCCCCCGTATCTGTGCGGATCCGAGACAATCAGGCTGCCGCCCATCTTCTGGATGAGGAGAGAACACAATCTGTCTCCGTATACGTATACCGTACTCCTCTCGTGAGTGGACTATATACTACATCTGTTCGAACAAGGGAAGCGATCCAATGCGACCGACCGCTCGCGGACTTGTGATCCCCATCTTTCCCTCGAACTGGAAGTCGTATATGCGGCCGCGACGGAAGTACTATACATACCGATGCATCCGCGGAGCTTGAGACTTGCCACTGCTGCTGCTGCTGCTGCTGCTTCTCATTCAATGAATCAGTCTTTAGTACGATACCGAAGCAGACAAGCACAGTACTGTAGCCATCCTCTCGCCTTACAGGGAAGACTGGTTGTTGCTGTTGTTGTTCACACTCTGCACATGCACCCATTGAAAAAGAGACGTCACAAACGAGGAAAAGCAAAGAACAAGCAAATTGACCGGAAGAGGTGAACGCTGACCCCTTTAAGGGCTGTACAGCCCAGGCCAGTCCACGTAAGGTCGACCTGGCCTGCATTAAGAAGCGATCCGGACTGACAACTTGATCAGCTTCCTTTCGTGCTGGCAGTTATCGGGCTTGACGACTCCTGTTCTAGTACCGACGAGTTGGGGATGACTGTCATTAGGGCTATGGTTTAGCTATATACGGGGCTATATATAGCTGGTATCTGGTCAAGGTAATGGGCGGGGCGAGCAATAGGAACACTTCTGAAGGAACCTCTGAAGGAAGTGGAGGGAGGGTAATAGACGTGACCTATGTATACGATGATGATAGCGATAAGGGCAACGCAGCTTAACTCATTCACTCTAAAGGCATAGAGCGTATCAATTCTAGTGGCTGTGCACCATAACTATATCTGCCTCATTGAACTCGTTTCATGCTAGACAATCTATAAGCATATCAAAATATCAAGAGGTTGTTCCCAGGTAAGCCTAGAACCCAGAATAGCAGGGCCCAGAGGCAAGAGCAAAGCCAAATCACAACAAACAAAAGAAGGTTGCCCTACTTGGTAGCTTTGGAAACATAGGTCACTTGTCTAGCTCAGTCTACAAAAGAAGTTTACTCTATCTCGGTGTGCTAGCTTTCTGGTTGTAGTTGAGACGGTAAGTCGTGATGACTTACAGATATCGGAGTAAGATGGTGGTGACTGACAGCCGGGCTAAGAAATCGACCTATAATTAGTCTGACTGAAGACTCGAAGTACACAATACACTTGCCTGGGATTAGACAGCCATAACATCTAAACTACTAGATACAGTACTAGCAGTGCAATAAAAATGTACTCCCGAAATGCACCAATCACCGCACGAGAACAGCCATCCCGGGCCGAGATTCCTCCGTCAACCACTGGCCCTGGTGTCTGCCTCAGGCCGACAAAAACTTCCCATCCCAGCAGAAAGATCCTGTCTCTGGACTTCCGCGGCGACACACTTCCAACCTCAACCACTTCACCTCACTCTGCACACTCCCCCACCATCACAATTGAAGTCGGCCCGCCATGCCTCCCCGGCTCCAGATCCTCCCCTTCCGGGCGCTCACGTCCGCGACGCCCATCACCACGGCCGCCGCCGCCAGCAGCACCGCCAACCCGCTGACATTCCTTCTGGCCGGCTTCCAGCAATCCCGCAACGCGCACATCCTGGCCTCGCTCTCCGACAACGCGGGGGCCTACAACAAGCGCATCCGCCGCGGCCGCGGTCCGGCTTCCGGCAAGGGTAAGACCTCCGGTCGCGGTCACAAGGGTCAGAAGCAGCACGGCAAGGTGCCCGCGGGGTTCAATGGTGGACAGACGCCGGACATTGTTGTGCACGGGGAGCGGGGATATAACAATATGTATGTTTGCACTCCTGCACTTGCATCGACTCAGGGGACTGGGGGATCGGATTCCTGCGTCATTGGGATTCGTTCTTGGGATCGGGGTGTGCGTGTTTTGAGGATTCCTCGACAGTGAGGTCGAATTGCAGAATCGCTTCCCGACTGCAAAGCAATGGTCCTGGAACATCTTTCTGCCAATTCGAGATCAATCCTGACGCAACCGACTCCCAAGCCGAACCCCCGGATGTCCAATTCCCCAGATCCTCCTTCTAAATCCCAGTCAATCCAACAATAAACACCACTAACCCCGACCAGCCACGCCATCGAGCTAGCCCCCATCAACCTCAACCGCATCCAAGACTGGATCGACCAAGGCCGCATCGACCCGACGCGCCCGATCACGATCCGCGAGCTTTTCGATTCGCGCTGCATCCACCAGACCAAGGAAGGCGTGAAGCTCCTCGGCCGCGGCGTCCTGAAGGACGAGAAGGGCGCCGTCATCACCCCTAGCACTAGCACCACCACCCCCTCCACATCCGAAATCGAAACCGAATCCTCAACCCCCACCCTCCCCGACGGCACCAACGTCCTCAAACAACCCATCCACATCGTCGTCTCGCGCGCCTCGGCCGCCGCCATCGCCGCCGTCGAGGCCGCCGGCGGCACCGTGACCACGCGCTTCTACACACCGCGCGCCATCCGCCGCATCCTGAAGCGCGAGATGCACCCGTTCGTGTCGACGGCGTGGACGGCGCGCAGCAGCCCCGCGGGTCTTCTCACCGCCGCCGGCATCGAGGAAGACGCCGCCGGCCAGCTCGTCGAGAGCGAGATCATGCGCGCCATGGGCTACACCTACCGCCTGCCCGACCCCACCAAGCGTCGCGACATCGAGTACTACCGTGACCCCGCCCACCGCGGCTACCTGAGCCACCTGCTCAAGCCCATGGAGGGTCCCAGTTTGTTCTTCCGGTCGCCCGTCGAGCGGAAGACGGCGGCGGGTGCGCATAAGGAGAAGGTGCTGCCGGAGAATAGGCTTTGGTAGGTTGTCCTTGTTCCGGGTTGATTTGGTTATTGGGCGGTGGGGGAAAGGGGGGTGGGAAGCATTACAAAGTGTGTTGTTGTGTGATGGTGGTGGTGGTGGTGGTGGTGGTGGTGCCGTGTACCTGTCTGTGTAAGGGGTTGTTCGGACTCTTTGAAAGATCTTTGGTTTTTCTCTTGTAATTTGTATAAATATGTTTTGTTATACGGTTATCGTGGATATGGATTTTCTTTTCTTCTTGGTCATTCATGTTCTTTGTGGCTGGCTAGTGTGGTTGCCCTTGTAGGTATACCTCAAGCTCGTAGATTATAGCCGAATGGTTTTGTTTGGTGGTGAGTCTTGATTCCTATTTCCTGGTCGGCAGGTTTTCACCTCAACCGGACTATCGTCTGCTCAGGGGTCTCGTCTTTCGGCTACAGGCTAGAGATAGTAGCAGAAGCACCCAGAGCAGCCAGAATAACTTGCAGCTGATTCCACCTACCGATCCAGAGTGCAAGCGACCAGCAATATCTCTTGTTCTCGTGCGCAATTACAGTAGCTATGCCTAGCAGCGTACAAACACACCAAGTATAGGAGTCATTAACATTCGTATAGTGGAGCATTCTCGATATCTTGACAAACTTCCCATGCCCATTCTCCCTTTATTAGCAAGGTCACAGTGAAAGCCGGTCGCTCGCAACAACCACAACAGAAAGGCCACCTGGATATCAATACACCCCAAAGAAAAACACCCAAAAAACGCCATGCAATCGCCTTGCAAATTGTGTAATGCTCCCAAGTCTCATTGTCTCACAAACACAAAAGGTATACCGAAAAAGAAAACGCGCTCAAAAGTCAAATACTGGATATATCATAAACCCGCTGTGAACATAAAAGAGGGTATCATGGATGAGAAGACTAGGCGCAATGCCGCGCGCGCTAGCCCGTAGTCATCTAAAGGTCATAAGTATAACGCCATCAAGGCTTGGCTGCAGCCCGTTCTGGGACTGCCTTAGAGTTTCCAAATGGACTCGGTGGGGCTGCCGTCTGGGTTCTGAGAGAACTCTCGCATCCACCGCGAGCGAATTACATCACGGATGGTCCAACGTTTGGTGGGATCCATCTGCAAGCATCCTGTGACCACCTCAAGCGCATCTTCCCGCTCCTGCCGCGTGGGAACGTCCGCTTCCTCATCGCCAAGGACCGCTTGTTGGTTCCAGTTCCCATTGAGAATGTTGTTCTGGATGCGCGGCGCGAACGGATCTTGAAACGGCCGGGAGCCAACGATAACGGTGTAGACGATGACTCCAAACGCCCAAAGATCGACCGAAGGATGGATGACTCCATTGGTCGAGAGAAGCAGCTCCGGGGAAGCATACTCCAGACTTCCCGCAACGCTGGTGCTGGATCCCGCCGGTCCGATATTCTTCGGAGGCGGTCGATCCGCCACATTATCGTAAGGATCAGGCGACGAACCGTCGTTGTCCGTGTGCATCCACTCCGCCATGCCAAAATCACAGAGCACTAGGGTTGAGACCTCGCTCCCATCAGGCGAAACGGTGGGATCCAGCAGGCAGTTCTCCAGCTTGATGTCCCGGTGCACAACGCGAGCGTCTTCATGCAAGTATCGAAGTGCACAGGCAAGCTGATATGAGTACTTTTTGGCAAGTTTGAGGTCCAGACCGCCTCGATTCTGGCGGACAAGATCGAATAGAGTGCCGCCGATCGCGAGCTTCGTAAAACAAAACGTAGCGAAATCAGTCTCGTACACAGCATCCAAGGTCAGGACGTTGGGGTGGCTGAGGTAGCGCCAAACTCGGACTTCGTGGTCGAATTCTGCTTGAACCTCGTCGTTTTCTTTCTCACTCTTGCCCGAGACCTGTTTTTTGACGATCTTGACAGCGAGGTGTTTGGTCTTGCCATCCTCTTCGACCTTGTACGCTTCTTTCACAGTGCTGAACCCCCCGAAGCCGATCTGTTTGCCAAGAACATAATCCGTCCCGACCATCTGGCCTTCGTCATCAGGTTGCGGCGCAGACTCCTCCCCGCCGGCGCTCCACATTGAGAGAAACATGCTGGCAGGAGACTTGCCACTGGAGGCGGTAGATCTGCGCGACCGTTGCCGGGTAGAAAGGCGAAGGCCTCTGGCCTTGCTCCCGAAGGGAGTCACAGCACTTCCCGACCAAGAGCTGCGATCGTCAAGCGAGGCAAACCCTTGTACAGGCGATGCCATGTAGACCGGCGATGACAGAATCCGAGAACCCTCTGACGGAGTTCGGATTTCTTCAGTCACCGGGGACGCAGTCGATCTCGATGTGAGAGAGGTTGGATGTTCGATCTCCGAGGCCACGGCGTTTTCCTCTTCTTCCGGAAAGCTGCCACGCGAAGAACCGGTAGGAATGGGCCGATGGCGCCGCTGCCTTTCCGGACTGGAACTAAGGTCCGACTGGCGGTCGTGATCGTCGGGCCCGTCCTCCTGACGTAGAGTGTTCCTCAAGCTCGAGCTGCGCGACTGAAACTTTTGCGGCCGACCGGCCAGAGGCTCTTCGAGAGGCAGGCGTCGACCAGAGTCCAGTGCAACGATGGGGTCAAAGCTGATCGAAGGCCGGCGTTCTTGCTGCAGAAAGCTGTCCAGCGGAGAGGCCTGCACATCCTCGGGTTTGTGAGGATAGCTGACATCTTCTGGGTCGGAAAGATCAGGATGACGAGGAACGGAGATAGGAGGTGTCGCCGAGTGTAAGCCACTCAAAACACTGCTGTCTTGATTAGTACCGCCACGGGGTGGGTGATAATCGTGAAAGATGTTTGTACGATCGCCATCCGTCGCTCCTCCGCCTTCAGCCTCGCCCCGCCATCGGGGTCGAGGTGTATGTTGGAAAGACGTCTCAAGCTTCAACCCTGCCAGAGTGCTGGGTCTTCCCGTCTGAGCCATGCCCTGCCGCACGCCAGAAGAGCGGCACGTCTATGAGAAGAAGAGAAGAAAGACGCGGTGGAGAAAAGAGTTCTATCTCTAGTGAAACCTGTAGAAGACTTTTGAGAGGGAGTAAGAAGCATGAAAGAGGGGAAAAGAAGATGACAGTGAAGATGGGGGGGTGAGTATTGAGAGGGGTGATTTTATCGAGTGGTGGTGGTTCGGTGGGTGGGTGTTAAGTCGCAGAGGGACAAAAAGAGGAGAAGAACAGTAAGAAGTACTGTAACTTATTGTACAGTACTTAGTAAAGGCAGTTTAGTTCAGTTAAGTTATCGGAGGGTCCCGATCCGATAGGAGAGAAGCTAAGCTCAAAGGGAAGAGACGAAGAAGTATTCAGTGCACTAAGGCGCAGGTTAGCGTCACTGAGTGAGCTGATCAGACCAAAAAAGCAATCCTTCTGCAGCAGCAGGAAGGAGGGCCCATTGAATCATTGACTGATAGATGATTGATGATGATGATGATGATGATGATGGCAATGAATGGGAGAAAGGGAAGAAAGGGAAAAAGGTGTGGAGGAGAAAAAAGATCGGGAGAAGAAGGGACCCAAAAAAGGCAAGTGAGTGGGGGAATCTTCGGGTGATGACGGAGGCGACTCTATTGCCTGACAGCCAACTGGTCAGCCTGAATGTAAGGTGACGGAGGGATCAGCCATTCACAGCCACGCTGCGTAGGACTGTATAGACAGTAAGTTAGTACTGGTGGCTGCGGACCCGCCGGGCGGTTCTTAGGCTTCCTAGGTTGGATTAGTTCAGATTATGGATCCTTGATCTTTCAATCACTTATCACCTGAAGATATGGGCCCTGACCCTGGGCCCTAAGCCCTGCTGTTCCCTGGATCTGGTCAAGTCCGTCCCTCTCTGGCCGCCTGGGCGGTCCAGGCACGGGATCGGAGCTGTGGGTAAGCGCGCGCAAGGGGCGCTTGTTTAGGAGGACCTCCCCTATTCTCTTGCATGCTTGAATCAGTCCGGGGAACTCGTTGAGTTGCATTGCGTTGCGTTGCGTTGCGTTGCGTTGGGCTTCACATTTGCTCCATTCACCCACCCACCCACTCCCCGGCACCTCTTCTGGTACCTAATTTCCCTTCTTTCCCCAATAACATTGGCGTTTTGGCTATTGTTGTTTGCCCTTCTTTTCTACAGTTTGTTTTTGTTTTTGTCTTCGTGTTTAATCCGCTCTGGAAGTCGTTCCCTTTCGTCTTGTTTGCCCGACGAATTCCCCTCCCCTCCCTGGTCGGACTTGAAGTACCCACCCCCGCCGTTGCTCCTCGTGGTCGTCGTCTTCGTTCTTTCTTCCCTGGAAAATTACTTCCACTCTTCGCTATCGCAACTCTCTGCGCCTACTGCTCTGGACTTTCCTTCTTTTCAAGCCGCACCGGGACGCTGCGCCGTGCCGATCTACATTCGCCATCGGGCTCCAATGTTCATGATTCCAAAAGTCGCTCTTTCGCCCACGGAACATCAAACCAATTTTCATCTCAACCAGTAAATTCGCAGGCGCGAAAATCATAGTCAAAATGACGAGGCCCCGGATTGTCCGGGCTGGTATGTGCAACGAGTGGAAGTCATGTGGCCGTCGCGCTGATCAGCAAATGTATGATGACAGATACCATGGACCTCCAGGACCAGCATGCCCCTTCCGCCAAGGATCACTCCAGACAGCCCATGAATCCATCGGGGATTGCCCCCCACCAGGAACAAGCGCTTCGCCAGGCCGACCAGGATACCAAAGCTGAAATCATGCATGGTCCCAGCGCCCATGACGGCCAACCCGGTGACAACCGCGCCGACGGGATCGATATCTACGACGATGACGATGACGACGACGACGATGAAGACGAAGAGATTGAGGATATAGATCACCACGGCGATCGCTCCGGGGAACACGAAGAAGGCGATCTGGCCGACGGCGAAAGTGATGACATGCTAGATGACGATATGATGGATAAGATTTCGAGCTCTCCGTCCATTGACGACGGTATGTCTGGCCTCCTCCGCCCACCACCATGTCACTCTGCATAAATCTCCGGCTCTTGGGCACTCCCTGCCCGTGGAGGTCCCGATCACGGTCGAATCTAACCCAAACCTAGAGGATATTGACTTCGAATTCGTCTATGCGCTGCACAACTTCTACGCGACCGTCGACGGACAGGCTAACGCCTCGAAGGGTGACACTATGGTGCTGCTGGATGACAGCAATAGCTACTGGTGGCTCGTGCGGATTGTCAAAGACGGCAGTATTGGTAGGTCACCTGCTGGCATAGGTATATCCAAGCTCACCGTAAGCAGGCTATCTGCCGGCTGAACACATTGAAACTCCGACCGAGAGACTCGCCAGATTGAACAAGCATCGCAACGTGGATGTGAGTGTGACAGTCGTCGGAATCTGGCCAGTTACTGATACTATATGTGGTAGCTTTCGGCAACCATGCTCGGAGACAATTCAGAGAAATCGAAGAACCCCCTGATGAGGGCAGTGCGTCGCAGAACAACCAAAAACGTCCAGTTCACCGCTCCGACGTACATCGAGGCGTCTGATATCGAGTACTCCAGCGATGAGGACTTAGACGACGCAGCGTCCTTCAACGATGATGAGGGTTCGCGAGCGGAGGCGGAGGATGCGCACGACGGCCAAACCGATGACATCGTTGTCCAGCCCTTGAGGACCAAGTCGCAACGCGATAAGGGTGCCGAAGAAGGCAGCATCGACGACACTGAAGAGGCCGCTAGCAACAGTCCGATCAAGCAACGCTCTAGCCAGGAGCTATTCGAGCCTGAAAGTGAGTGTCTCAGTCCGGTCTTCGGGACATTAGCTAAGGGAGAATCTAGCCGACAACAGTGTGAGCCGGTCGCGAAATGGCACCGTCCGCAATACCGATTCCTTCTTCAGAGACGACACCGTCGAGACCAAGAAGATTTCCCTAACGCCCAACCTCCTCCGGGATGAAGTCGGCAGTAGTGCTCTCTCCGGCGATGCCAGTGAAGTAAGTCACTTGTTCCGACCGTGTGGAATGTCTATTGACCTGCATCAGAATCGCGGTAGCATGGAGAATATCGACAAGACCCTCAGTGCGATTGATAAGAGCAAAGAGGATAAAAAGCGCAAAGACAAGAAATCTGGGATGTTGAGCGGCCTTTTTAAGAGGAAGGATAAGAAAACCAAGTCCCACGACGAGGATACTGATGAGGCGGAGAAGAACTCGAGCGAATTCTCCCGATCTTCCCCTCAGCCTAAAACATCCCTGGACTCGATTCCTTCCCCAGTCTCTCCTGAAGCTCGATCCCCCAAGCAGATAGTGGTGCAGAAGCAGCCCAGTAAGCTGCAGAAGCAACCTCCGGTGGCACTCTCTCCAACGAAGCAGGATTTCCCTCGTGAACAGGAGCCTGCTAGTATTGACCGAAGCATCAAGTCCGTGATGAGCAGCAAGTCGGATCAGACCATCCGACAAGTCACGTCGGAAGAAGCGAATGACATCCCCTCCTCACCCCCACTGGGGCCGTTCGATGACAGCCAGGAGATCATGGTGTCTTCCGCTCGGGTACCGAGCCCTGCGAAGAAACTGGTGCAGCCCGAACCGCAGGATCAAATAACGTCACCAGTTGAATCGAACGGCGACTGGCAAGAAGCGTCCGAGAACGTATCCTACGCGCAGCGTTCGGTGGCCTCGCCCCCACAGCGATTCCAGCCTAGACAGTTGGATTATCAGAATCAGGGGTTCGACTCTCCGGACAGTGCTTCGATCGAAGAGCCCCCAGTTTCGCCTCTCGGGCCCGGGCCAGGGATGGATTTCTCCAATCCGGCGAGACATTCTGTCGTCTCGGTTTCCCCGCCCATGTCTCCTGTTACGAGTCATCGCGACAGTCGAGGCATTGATGCCCGTTCCTCGTTTAGCAACGCATCTGCGCCTACCCCTACATGGAGCGACGCGAGCTTGCGGTCCTATCTGGAAGAGGAGAACGACATCCGTGACTTGTTCGTCATCGTCCACGACAATTCGAATATTCCACCTGCTGGCCCCGATCACCCGATCACCGGCTGCCTCTTCAAGGAAGAGAGCAAGCGGTTGCGCGAAATGAGCAGCCAGCTGGATTCCATGCTGGCTGAATGGGTGGGTCGACGAGTCCGGGAGTCGGCAAGTAGAGCGGATGTGCGGTCTCAGGCTTGATGCCTGTCGTAGAAGGTGGATTGTCCATCGTCGATGAACTTCTGGTCCCGCTTCCTAACCACCCCATAGGCTCTGAACTTGCCATGTGCTGGCCACATGGAAAGGGTTGGCCTATGGTGGACTGTTTGCCGCTCCGATGGGTGCACACTGAGTGCGGTCCTGGAGCGGCTGTGGTGTTTATAGGATCGTATAGTTCTGACTTTTCCTTTGTTTGCATTCTGTTCTGTCCAGTTTCATGAACTGGCTTTTATGTTTTGTTCTTTCTTTCCAGCCTACTCTACATGGCTGCTGGGATACCCCGAACTTCAGGCCATCTAGACCAGATCCTGTCGTTTTTATTTCTTATTTTTTTTTTTATTTTTGAATAGTGTTATGAAGAGATGTTCATTTCAATTGCATTTGCATTTGCGCTTGCATTTGCGTATTGTGTTTTGGATGAGAGGAATGTATGATCTCTGTGTATGTGGGAAGATTCGAGGTATATGTCTATGATATGAGGTGCGTCGAGTGATGGTGGAATGTGGCCTGCATCTCGTGAGGGCTGAATTGGGGCAAGGCTGTCGTGCGGAACCGTCAGCTGGCCCTCCTTCCCTCCTGCCATGTCATCTCCATTCCACTGTAACTAGCAGCGTAAGCCGTAATGAATGTTTGCTTTACTGCACGAGAGATAAAACCCTGTAAACCAGCCAGTTCAGTCAGCGTCAGCCTCGAGATCAAACCTCTCTCCCTCTATAACCCAGACAATCGTCAAAATGGGCGACCCATACTCCACCTCCTCCCCACCCCCACCAGCGCAGCAGCAACCGCAGCAGTCTGACTATGACTACAACTACAACTACCACTACAATGCCCCGCCGCCTACCGCCTCTTCATCCTCCGCTTACCATGACCAGTACCCCCCGACCTACCAACAACAGCACTACGGCCATACCTCGCAATACGATGTATCCCAGATCCCCCGCTCCCATCCCGACGAAGCGGGCGGAGCTTTGGTCCCAGGCCCAGATCAGCAGCAGCACTATGACTACGACCACGACCGTCTAGGCCCGCAATATGAGCCTCCGCCTCCGCCTCCGCCCCACGGGTACGGGATCGTACGGCAGGGGAGTAATGCGGAGTATTAGTGGGTTTTTTTTTTTTCTTTCCTTCTCTTTTATCTTTTGCTTTCTCTTTTGGCTGCTTTCTCGCGGGACTGAGTCCCTGGTTCTCCGGTTCCGGTTTCTGCATGTCTTCTATGGTATCGCATGGCAGACAGTTCGATGTGATAAAGATGAAATACAGCGACTAACAATAGCGGGCTACTAGCAACCAATCCCACCACGACGACCTCTCCCAGTCCCAAAACCCACCACCGTCCCAACCAGACGACGAGGGTGTCGGCCCCGAGTCCACTGACCGCGGCCTGGGGGGTGCCATCCTCGGTGGTACAGCGGGTTATTACCTGGGCCATAAGAAGAGCCACGGCTTGCTCGGAGCGGTGGGCGGGGCAATTCTGGGTAGTTTGATGGAGAATAAATTGAAGGGGGCGGGGAGGAAAGAGGATCATGGTGGTGGTGGTGCTGCTGGGGGAAGTCACTATAGTGGGAGTGACGATGAAAGGGGGAGTCATTATAGTCATGGTCATAGTCATCGGAGTAGTCATAGCCATAGTCATAGTCATAGCCATAGCCATCACCGGCATGAGCATGGGCATGGGCATGGGCATGGGCATCATCACCATCATCATCACCATCGGCATCATCGGAGTTCGTCGAGGAGGAGTGGTTCGAGGGAGGGGGAGGGGGAGGGGTATGGGTATGGTAGTCGAGAGGGAGAGGGGGAGGGGAGGTATTGATTGATGGGAGAGAGGTTGGTAGTTTGTTAAATATGCTGTTGGAGATTGGGCTTTGTTTGTGGATGATGAGTATTTGTTGATTTATGGACAGTCCTTGGTGGTTGACGCAATTGATTGTTGTCCTGCTGATGTCTATGGGGGAAGTCTCTTGCTTGAGCACTTGTCACGTAGTGATGGTGGCGAGAAGGGTTGATAGATCTATTAAAGCCTATTAGTGAATCAGCTTCTCTGTTTTGTTTGGGTGTACAGCTGCCTGCACTGATACAGTGCAGTGCTGTGTTGTGCGGTGGTGCCCTGCTGTGTAAGTGCTACCATCTTGCCGGGGGCTTGTGCCCGAGGACATCATTCACTTTTTTATAGTGCCAATGCAGAATGACACCAGCACGGACACATCTTAGCATCGCATCAGACCCCCAGGTCCAATCAAAGAACCTGGCAGGATGATGAAGGGAATGACGACAATGCCGTGTGGGATATCACCATTGTTGCGGCCGGTGCCTTGCAGGAGATTAGCGCCAGTTGGACCCTGGTTCGGTGGCTGGATCGGAATCTGGGGGAGAGGGGAACCTCATGTCAAGACCACATCCCTCCAAGGTAAGTCCAATGTGGAGATCAGAACAATTGAAACTGTAGATAATAAACAGTCAAGTGTCGGGACATTGAGTAAGGTGTCGATCGTCGGGAGGGAAGCTTCTGACGGGGTCTTGAGACATCTGTCAGTGATTGCGTCGTCGCTGTCAAACAACACGGTTCTTGATTTGTATGGACGCCTTATCGGGAGCACTTGTTTCGCTCAGTTGTTAGAGCTGAGATCAAACTCAAACCCAAACGGAGAACGAGTGGCTAAATGACGTGGAGCTGAAGAAAGCCAGAGGTCGTCTTGCGGCTATGAAGGGATAATCCATGTCATCATGCTGCGAAGCGCCCTGTTATGGTTATCGTGTGGAGATCCCGCATTCCATGGAACTCCCCCTGGACTGGCTGCCTTGCAAAAGGATCGGATCGGAGCTGGGATAGAGTTGAGGGGCATGGCTTCTCCTTATCTGGCTCGGATGATGGTGGCTGAGTGGATGAGTGGATGAGTGGATGAGTGGGATCGACAGTCAGCTGCTGCTCTGAGTGAGGCAATGAGATGAATTGATATAATGATCGAATTATTCTAAAATAGTGAACTAACTGATAATCACAGTTAGTCAGTGGATGAGTGGTGCCGACCCTTCTCCGAGGACCCAATCAGGGCCAGGCGATAGGGAAGAAAAAGGTTATCGATGCCCCGGGCTTCGGGGGCCTCGTGACTCCATCCCCAAACGGAGTGTGACTCTTTCCTTCTCCAGTCACTTCTTCACTTCCTCTTTCGTACACTATCAGCATTCCTTATTCCCTATTCTCCATTCCCCCTTCCTTCTTCTTCTCTTTTCCCCTCTCCCCTTCTTCCTTCTCTTTCATCCTCACACACACACTCTCTCTCTTCTCTTAGACAACCATCTTTGTCACTCATTTCCCGGCTCCACCCTTTGTCTTATCCCGATAGATAGAACTACTACACCACTACAACCCTATTCCGTCTTATCTACGCCTACGCCTCTTATCATATCAATCCCTCCTCTCAGACGGGCCTCAAGACCGCTGCCCAACTATCAGCACGCTAGAATAAAGAGAACCTGATCACCCCAGTCGAATTGTTTTAGACGAGACCATACAGTCTACCTCATACAATGCCTCCTCCTTTGATACAATACCTGCAACCGGCGCTGCCCCAGCATTGCGAACCAACCTCGCCTTTCCTCGCTGCCATATCCTCCTACCTCCATGTCTGCGTGCCTACTTCGTTAGCCTTGATATCTTCCCTCTTGGGCACTCTCAGCATCATCTCCTGGCTATTCGCACAGCTCCCGCAAATCTACAAGAACATCCAACTCCAGTCCACATCAGGCCTGTCACTCTTCTTCCTGGTCGAGTGGTGTCTAGGTGACGCGTGCAACCTCCTGGGTGCCTTGCTCACCCGACAGGCCGGCTGGCAGGTGATCGTGGCCGGGTACTACGTCTTTGTTGACGTCACTCTCGTCTTCCAATACTTCTGGTACACAATCTATCGACGGGGACAGGACGGCTATGGTGCCCTCACCCACTCGCACTATGATAATGGAACGGGAGGTATTCTGGAGGGCGTTCCTTTCTCAGAGGACAACTCGAGCTCTGAAGTCCCACGTCCCCTGGCGGGCATTCCTGTGTCGAGCCCCAAAGACATGAAGGACCTCAAAGAGCCCACTGTAAGCACCCTCAACGGCCAGTCACCATCCTACAGCAATGAGAAGTACAGCTCCTCCCGCCGCTCTATCATCCGCACCAGCAGCAGTGGGCCCAGTCTGCCCATCGGCTCACCTCGCACCCTTCTGCTCGCTTCCATGCTGTGTGCCGTCCTCGCCAACGCTGCCCCCACCGAAATCCAAGCAACAACGACAACATCCGGCCTCTCCCCGCATGCTCTTGAAGTGCTTGGCCGCATCATCTCCTGGATGTCCACGGTCCTCTATCTGGGCTCGCGGCCGCCCCAACTCTACAAGAACTACTGCCGGAAGAGCACCTCCGGCCTCTCCCCACTTCTCTTCATGGCCGCCTTCTCTGGAAACTTCTTTTACTCGGCCTCCCTGCTTACCAACCCCAACGCCTGGTACGACTTCCCTGCCTACGGCGGTGGCGGATGGGCAGATGCGGACGGCAACAACCGAGCGGAGTGGGTGAGCCGGGCCATCCCCTTCTTCTTGGGCGCGTTCGGCGTCTTGGCCTTTGACGGCACCATGGGCGTGCAGTTCCTGATGTACGGCTCCCGCGACGACGAGTCCATCATGGAGGTCGAGGATCCCAAGGATGGTCGTAGCCACTGGACTCGTGTCCGCGGCTGGATGAGGGGCTGGATCCCCTCGGTGTCATCTTCTGCCGTCGCCTCGCTTCGCAATCCCGAGAATCAGGCCCTGCTCCGTCAACATGACCGTGAGAGATACGGGGCTGCCTGAAGCTCACGTTACTCAAACCAACTCTTCAGTTTTGTTGTATTACACCGCCACCCAGTGTCTCCCCGGAAAAGCCTCGGTCTCGGGACCTGTTTTTCTGCCTATCAGCTGGACATGATCATCACACGACTTTATGCTCATCATCACCCATCAACTCACATTACACCACATACCCTTGTCATCAGCTTGGTCCTCAGGTTTCAGGATACTATGATATCATTTTTTTCGGGATTTGTTCCAAGTGCATCATCATTGGGGGTTTTACCACTCTGCGCAACCCTATCAGCGTACTCATACTCATCCTACCGGCGTTGTTGGATTTCTTTCTGGAATCGATTTTTTTGTCTCTTTTGGAAAGCGAACAGGGTCTATTACATACAACACGGGGGCGCATTGCATTGATTCCACTGGTTAGCCTAGCTGGCTTGATCCTTGTTTGCATAAAGGTCGCTCAACCGTCTTCACCTCCAGGTTTCAGTTCTTTTTGCCTTGTGTTTTTTCATGTGGTCGAGACGATAAACCCCCTCTCTATTTTTTTCCTGGTCGATCTTAGCCTGCTTCTACGCATCATCCATATAACCATACATCATACATGAGAGTTCAACCAAGAAAAGCCTTGGCGAAGCAGATCTCTCAATCTCAAACGCTTTCTCATACAGAGTTCTCTACCTCAATTACCAAGGACTTTAACTGTAGATAGCCTTACATGCATACCAATTGCACCTTGTTTTATTTCTTGTATACCCACCTTGTATGTTTTATCTTATGGATCCATCGATTCAGAATATAAATAATATGATCTTCCATTTGAATAACTGACTATCTTCCTTGCATGATACTAGATTTGGATTGTTTCTATTCGATCCGTTATTACCCAGATCATAACCAAATATAAATCCTAGTCCACCCACTTTTGATGATCTCCTGGTTCCCATATACCTCACCCAAACCCAAGCGACTTCCTTCAAAGTACTATGCTCGATCAAAGCACTACGATATCCTGTCCCCCTTGGCCAAGAAAAAGCCCAACGAAAAAGGACGCATTGATAGCTGCGTATAAAACGAAGAAATCATCATCATAAGAACGAATAAATCAGTCATTCAATTATAATTTCAAACACTATTAAAAGAGTCCCCAATCTATTTCTCCCTTCATCTCTAAGACCACAACAAAAACAAAAAAAAAAGCATTCGAGCAACCCTTCAGCCTGTGTTCCCCGCGTTTCTCAGGACCCCGCATTTCCCTTTCGCTCGTCGATCTCATTAAGTGTTAGTTTCAGTGTAGGTACAGTACAAGTTCAGTTGCTGCGGATAAAGGCAAGGGGAAAGGGGGGGGGGGAAGAAAAACGTCGAAATCATGTACACACCCAATGCAATGTCCGTGCAGGAGGTGGAAAACGAACTGAGGAGGCAACGGGTGAAAGAAGAAGAGGGGGAAAAAAAAAATAAACAGTGTATAAATGGAGTCGGTTCATGAGCGTGATGTCATCCCATGGTTTCTCTTGGTTTTCTGTGCATAAGAAGAAAGTGGGGCAGATAAGGACATGAAGTGCAACATTTGTTAGGTTTGGCCAATGATACACGCACAGCTCGTGGTGAGAGAAGAAACTGCCTCCGATCGACCAGCGATACACGGCATTGAAGGACCGGCAGCAAGAAAGCAACCGGCTTGGAAAATATACCTGAAGACTCTGAAACATATATGCAACAGCAACCATTTTCACATTGACTGACAGATTTGACTTCCGGACAGGCCAGCAAAGCTCCAAAGCAGACATGGTAACTCCTCCCCGGCAAGAAGAAGATTTATCTAAAACAGAGGCGATTTGACATCTTGTACACCCCGTCTGATAACATCCTCAATCGGCCATCTGGGAGGCACAACCTTAGGAGTCCGCTTGCGGTGCCATGCCTTCTCCATCTCCGGAGGGGGAGTCAGTTCCTCGTTCGCTGGTAGAGCACCACCTGCGATTCCCGTGGAGAACTTGAGTTGCAATACGTTGCCAATCTCGTCACAGGCGGTCAAGATACGATCAAGATCTTCCTTAGTGTGGGCGGCTGACACACAGAAACGGGCACGAGACGAGACCAAGGGGGTGGCAGGATAACCCACAACAACAACGGAGATCTTCCGCTTCAGCATCTCGTGAGAGAAGGCGGGCATCTTGGCAGGATTGAAGAGGAGAACAGGGATAATCGGCGAGTCGTCGTGACCATACACTATAAAGCCAAGACGCTTCAATCCCAGGCGCAGATACCGGGAATTGAAGGCCAAGCGCTGTAGTCGCTCTTCACCCTGACCGGGGACAAGCTCGCCCTGGATCAGGCGCAGTGCCGACATGATTTGAGCCAAGACAGCCGGAGCAGGTGCTTCTCCATAGAACACGCCGGAATTCGTGGCTCGCAGTACATCAATCATGGCCTTATCCGCTGCAATGTAACCGCCGTTGGCACCGAAAGACTTGGTAAGCGTGCCCATGAGAACATCTACCTCATTGGTATCGATACCGAAATAATCACAAACACCACGGCCCCGGGGTCCGACCGCACCGATCGAGTGCGCTTCATCAATGAACAGGTTGTACTTGTAGCGTCTCTTCAATTCGATTAAGCCAGGAAGGTTGCACATGGATCCCTCCATAGAGTAGAGTCCTTCCACCACAACCAGGATCTTCTTCCATGGGCGATGAGTCCGTGGCTGTCCTTGACTGATAGCCTCACGTAGTTTCGCCTCGAGATCACGCATGTCATTGTGTCTGAACATAGCAATGGAGGCACCGGAAAGGCGGGCACCGAATCGGATGGACGCGTGGTTCAGCTCATCCGAGATGATCAAGCAGCCTTTGTTGACGAGAGCCGGGAAGATGTTCGCATTGGTTCCGAATCCCATGGAGAAAACCATTGAGGCTTCTTTACCGACGAATTTAGCGACCAAGTCTTCAACCTCGACATGCAAATCTTGCGTGCCGGTTTCAGCACGGGTGCTTGGTGAAGTGATTCCATATTTCCGGAGCGTCGCCTCGGCGATATCGGCACAGGGGCCTTCGGATTGAGCGAATCCAAGGTAATTGTATGAACTCAGGTTCAGTGTATCGGTTGTCGTGCCGGTCAAATAAAAGTGTCGATTGTGGTCGTCCGTGGCCCGATCAATCAGCGTAATGTATCGGCCGGGCACTCCGGTCACCGGTCTTTCGAAACAATCGTTGATGCGTAGCTTGAGGCGGCGCACGTAGAAGTTGTCAAAATCGCTGTTGAGGGCGCCATAGCCATTTCGGGGCTTCAGGTGACGGTAGTTCTCTTCGCGGAACCGCTTTCCAAAGAAATCACGCACATGTCCGAAAGCAATGAGGATAAGGTAACTGATATAAGTAGTAAGGAGATAATAATAGGGCGGCTCGTCCATTATAGGCTCCGGGAAAGGCCCGCCGGGATGTCGGCTGGAATAGCGATGACTGTGGTGGCCAATCGGTCCAAACTGAGCATGTTGCTTAGCCAGCCGACGAGCCTCTTCAGGCGAAGGGGGCTGGAATAAGGTGGTCGGAGGCTCATCCATGTTGGGATTACCCGCGGTTGCCGTGGAAAGTGAGATTGTAGGAAGCGACAGAGAAGCAGAGCTAATCGGCGGTGCGACCGTACTAGAATGAGAGCTTCCACTAAGCGACTGAACAGTACCCTGCACAGTCTGAGGCTCAGCCCTTGACTTCGGAGAGGTAGAGAATAGTTGGCTTAGGCGACTAGGTTTCGCGGAGGGCGCCTTGATGGCAATGCCGCCCTTGACAGAAACGGAGGAAAAGAAGGGAGCGTTGGAAGGATCGTTGGTGAGAGAAGGACCGGCAGCTCGACGAGGCATCGCAAGGAAGCAGCCGGACAGAGACACGGAGAATCGTGCGGGTTCGATAGGAGGAAGAGCGCAGTGGGCTGGAGACGGCAAGAACCACCTGGTTGGCAGCACTTACGATTTTTCGAGTAAAGGAAAGATCCGCTTGCTGGTTTATGTTACCTAGCCGCTTGTTGTCTCCGATTGGTATGAACAGCAAACGGCGTTCGGAGATTGTCCACCTAAATGGCCGTTGAGAACATGGTCAGTAACTTGAGCAATTGAGTGTCGCAAAGCGGCAAGACGATCAATGAATGCACAGCGCAGAAAAATGAAAAGGGAACAAAAGGGCTTTTGTAAAAGGAGAGTAAAGTGTAAAGAAAGGAGGAATGATTGCGAAAGGTCCAAAGATGGCCAGTTAGGAGAGGGGGGGAATGGCGGAGAATCAGAGATGATCGGTCAGGTACTGTACCTTTTGCACGTGGAGCAACAGTGGCAGGAGGCACGGAGCCCTGCAACGAACAAGGTAAATTTAGAATCCTTGAGGCCAGGAGAATCCGCACGAACACTAAGCCACCGGAACAGAAAGCGAAGTGCGGATGAAGGTGAGGAGGGGAGAAGAGAAGGCGGATGTTGTTGGAGTGGTGGTGGTGGTGGAGGAGGAGAGGAGGAGAGGAGAAGGTGGTGGGAACGACCGGGTAGTGAGTGAGCGAGAGTCGAGTCGAGTCGAGTCGAGTCGAACAATTCGGGAGGGACTCGTTCCTGAAAAGGTCAGGTCGAGAACTGATTCCAGGTTGAGTGAATGACTGATTTGTGCAGACTGCAGAACCACCACTGGGCAACTTACCCACGGTCATGTCAGCCCATTAGGCATTATTAATGAAGAACTAATGAGAATAAACAGATTAAGCGTTCCCATCCTCATCACGCCCCGATGGGTCCTTTTCCACTTTATTCTTTTCTTTTTTTGGCTTCTTTTTGATTTTTTAATGCTTTTTTTTATCTTTTTTCTTTTTTTTCTTTCCCTTTAGTGAGTAGTAAGCGGATGTCACGGAGCGGTAATCAAGCGGTAAGTTGGACCCTCGTTCCCGCCGCTTCGGTGGTTGAACAGCTGGTCAAGTGGTTTTTCCCTGGTATTCTTTCCCGCAAACTTACATGGACGGAGTTAGAACGTACCGTACGGAGCTCAGTAACAAAATAAGAAAGGGGCAACGCAAGGTGGATGAACTGCCACACTGCACTTCTGTTGTACATACTCCGTAGACTTGTAAACTTGTAGCCTACTCTAT